TTCTTTTATTAGCTTAATTTAAGTCTAAAATAACTACGCGCGTCGTTCTTTATTTATAACGAAGAGTATAGTAATTTTTAACTTCTATTACTTCTTATAAAGTTCTATAAGACGAGATATAAATTCTAATATTCGAGTCTAATTCGCTATTATATCGATAAGAACTAAGAGATCTTAATTCTTAATTATTCGCGCTACGTTTCGATAAAGCTTAAGATCTTTAATAGATAATCTTATAAGTACGATATTTTAGATCGTTTAGTCTCGAGTAATGTTATTAAACTAGTAATATTTCTTATAAGTTTCTTTTTCTTTATAATTTAAAATTCTATTTAAAACTACGCTACTTAGAGTATTTATAAATAGCGAGAAAAGATTATTAATAATTAAATAGATAATAAAGAATAAGCGCTTAATACTTACTATTTATCTCGTTAGCTACTTAATATCTAAAGTAATAGCTTTTAATAGAATATCGAAAACTAATAGTTTAATTAAAACGTTAAAGAAAGAAGTAGATAATTTCATAGAATATTAGCTTTTAAAAGTTCGAAGAGAAAGTATATTTATTATACCCGACATACGAGAATAGTAAAGTATTTCGCTTATCTTTTCTCTACTAAATTCGAAAGACTAATAAATATAAAAATATCTTAAATTTTCAGAAATTATTCGGCGTTAATATATCTCCCTCGAACTTAATAATATTATTAGTAAATACTAAGATAACGATATAAGTAATAAAATAAAAGGCTAATTAATTATCTTCGTATATTATAAAGATTATACTATTAAGAATATTAAGATCTAATAAGAAATTTCTTAACTTTCGAGATATATACTTATTATTATCTTCTTTTCTACCCTTTAAATTAACGAATTTAACTTCGATAACTTAGATATCTCGATAAGTATTATTTATATTCTATAGAAGATATAGCTAAATATTCTTATAGTAAATAATATATAATCTTTAAGGCTCTTAATTCGATAATAATACATCGCTTTATAATTCTAATTATATCGAAGATAAAATATTACTAATTAGAACTCTCGGTTAAATTTTAGTAAAGATAGAGAAAAGTATAAATAGGCTTATTTATATCCTTAGCCGCTTATAATTATAATTCGAAGTATTATATATTTAATAATATCGTAATAAAATACTTAGATTTTCTACGCTTAGAGTATCTTTTTAATATATACAAGTAAAGGCCTATGAATTAAATTTATGGAGTTGGATTTTTCTAAGTCAAATCGAACTCTAATCGCTTGCTATGCGTTTTTAACCTATATATAGATATATATGTACGGAGAGAGGCGCGCTAAGGCCTAATTAGGAAGGTGTATTAAGTGTGAAGGATTAATCCGTAATAATTGCCTACAAAAAATAGAGAAAGGCCATATCCTTATGATAAGAAGTATCGAAATATCGGAAAGAAATGGAGATAATATGTTAATTAGTGATATGAATCCCACATTATCTCCTGCCGCAGTGAAATCTTTCGAATAATAAAATAGCTGTTAGAGTAAGATATCGGACGATTTCAATTCGTCTAAATATGCATCGTTCCGGAGTAATAATTTAATATAGAACCGTAGAGAGCATATAAGGTGGGATCTTAGAGAGCTAAGCCGTGTTCTTGACGATGGTAGCCTTATTACCGCTTAGTTTCTCCGTAGTATTCTCCGCATTTGCCTATTATAGTTCCTCCTCTTACTTCTTAATGTAGTGGGGATGATAGGCTAAGTTGCAGTGGTGTTCTCCGCTTACTGAGTGATGATTTGATATGAAACCGTGGAGAGCATATGACGTGGGATCTTGAAGAGCTGAGCCGTGTTCTTGGTGCTGGGGGCCTTGTTGCCGCTTGGTTTCTCCGTAGTGTTCTCCGCATTTGCCTGTTGTAGTTCCTCCTCTTGCTCCTCAATGTAGTGGGGATGACAGGCCAAGTTGTAGTGGTGTTCTCCGCTTGCTAAGTAATAATTTGATATAAAACGGCCAAGTTGCAGTAGTGTTCTCCGCTTACTAAGTAATAATTTAATACGAAACCGTAGAGAGCATATAACGTGAGATCTTGGAGAGCTGAGCCGTGTTCTTGACGATGGTGGCCTTATTGCCGCTTAATTTCTCCGCAGTGTTCTCCGCATTTGCCTGTTATAGTTCCTCCTCTTACTCCTCAATGCAGTGGGGATAATAAGCCAAGTTACAGTGGTGTTCTCCGCTTACTGAGTAATAATTTGATATGGAATCGTGGAGAGCATATAACGTTCAAACGCGTTTGATGTGACTATAATATTTGAATATTAGTTTAACTCACCTATCGCTGGCTTAGAAGGAGTATATAGAAGAGAATATATCCGTTCGAGCTCTTTTTAAGAGTCTTTTAACGCGTTTATAAATAGTAGTAAATAGCTATTAAGCTCGCTTACGATCTTAATTATCAGTAATAGCGAATTCGTCGAGAAGTAGTCTAGGGGCGTTAGTAAGAGACTCTAATTAGGCGAGGGATATCGAAGACGATTATATTTATATTAGTGAAATTAATAGAATTAATAGAATTAATAGAATAATAAAAGAATAACAAATAGGTAGAAGAATTATTATCCGATCCCGGACGCGTCTGATGTGACTATCATGACTACCATATTTGAATATTCATTTAATTCACTAATAGTAGGTTAAACTTCATTATTTTTATAGCGTTAGAAAGCGTATACTAAGCTCTATAATTTACCAAATTATAAAGAAATAGTATTCGTAGAGAGCTAATTATTTCAGAGAATAAGACTTCTATATATAGATTTTTGTAGATTTTTAATAATTGCGGACGCTATTTTATTTACCCGCGGTGTCTAATTAAAAAGCGTAGACCTAACGAATTTATAATTAGCTGTATATATAAATTCAAGGTTTTCTAATTCAGCCCTACCTTATTCTTTTATATATACTAATAATTGCTAACTTAATAATCGTATATTAAGTTATTATTAATATATTATTAAATTAAAAGATTAGCTCTCTATATAAAGTTTAAGATAAAAATATCTTTATAAAATTAACTTAAGAGAGCGTAGATTTATTAATTCTCTTTTTGAATTAAAATATATAGCACTCGAAGAGCTAGTTTCAATAGATTATATATATTAACTTTCTTTTTAATCTCGATATATAAGCTATTTAATTAATCTAGTCTTAAAATATATAAAGATTATATCTCGCTATAAGCTTTAGATAATTTTTATTAATATACTTATAATATCTAAATAAGATCGACGCTATTAGATAGAGAAGTTATATAATTTTAAATATCTTATTATTTTTAATATTTTTCTAAAATTTATATATTCTTTCTCGTACTCTCTACTTAGTTTAATATACGGAATTTATATACTTATAATACGTCGAGACGCGTAAAGATTTTCTCTCGCGATATTATCTAGGTTTAAAATATATTTAATAAAGAATAGTTAAGTATAGTTATTATAATAAAAGAAAGAGATAATTCGATAAATGTAGATATATCTTAGAATCGACTGCTTTAGCTTTTAAAAGGACGAGATTAAAAGATATTTCGATAGCTCTAAGAAAAAACGTAAGACGCGGTCTTAGGGCGGCGAGCTTTATATTTTAATAGGATATAAAAGAGATTAAAAACGGCGATAGAAAACGCCGTTTCTAATTATCTTCCCACGAGTACCTCGTTATATATACTTATTATTCTTCGATATAATATACTACGAGAAGAGAAATAAGTATAATAAATATATCGCGTAGAAATAATTAGAAGTAACTATAATAGTATTTTAAATACTATTTAAATAATAACTATAGGAGCTATTAAAATTATTAATCGATAATCGATAGCGTATAAATAGAGTAATCGAAAGATGAAAAGCACTTTGAAAAGAGAGTTAAAGAGTGCGAGCTTTTCAGTAGTAAAAAGCTTATCGAGTATTAGTTTTTAACTATATTTAATTCTTAGAGAGACCTTCTAAAACCTCTCGAACCCTTCGAAGGCTCTTTAAGGGCTCTTTAAAAGCTTATATCGAAGGGGCTATTAAAGTAAGCTCGAAATTTAATTATTTTAATAATATTTAATTGATTTCGAGCTTACTTTAATAGCCCCTTCGATAGAAGCCTTCGGAGATAAAGAGCTCTTAAAGAGCTTCGAAGAGTTTAAGGGGTTTTAAGAAATCTAACTTTAAGAATCGAGAGAGAGATGTTATATTTCACTAAGAATCGAGAGAGATATTATATTTTATTTAATATACTTAGAGAGAGACTCTCTAAAACCCCCCTAACCCTTCGAGGGCTCTCCGAGAACTCTCCGAGGGCTTCTACCGAAGAGGCTCTTCTCGCAAGCTCGATAATTTAAATAAAAATCTTAGTTTTTAATATATCTTTACGAATACTTTATTAAATTTCGTCTTCGCTACTTTATTTAAAAGCGTATAATTAACTCTATAACTCTATAAATTTATTTTATTATTATTTATTACGTAACGTTAAAGGAATTAAATAGAATAAATTAATAAAGTTAATATTTAAGGCTTAGCCTTATAATACTTTCTATTTTAAATATACCCGTATTTAAATTAAAAATGAAGAAATAAGGTGTATTTTAGACTAGAAATCGTGAAATCCGAGGATCTGATTGGTCATTTTTTTTTGTTTTTTTTTTTTTTTTTTTTTTTTTTTTTAAAAAATTTTTTTTTAAATTTTTTTTTTTTTTTTTTTTTTTTTTTTTTTTTTTTTCCCCCCCCCCCTTTTTTTTTTTTTTTTTTTTTTTTTTATAAAAAAAAAAAAATTTCCACTAATTTTTTAAAAAAAAAGGATTTAGTGGGGGAAACGCGAAAAATCGCGTAAATCCGTCACTTGATTACGCGCCCACTAGTACCTAGCGCTATTTGTCACCTAATCATCCGGCCATAGGATGAAAACATAGTCACTCAACAACGAATGAGTCTGCCAGCAATAAACATAAACACAGTGACCAGCAATGATTGACTTCGTCAGGTAAATATGCCCTCACACTATAAATATTTACGCGCATAGCCATGCTAAGTGCTCCTGAGCGTCGGTAGGTGGTGTCGCAGGCAGACCGCAACACGCGGTCCGGAATTGCCAAAGACCAACGGGGCTACTGGGGACCCGAGCTGCCTCCAATCGCTACCTACAACAGAAGACAACATTAGCCTGGGGACTGGAGCGATCGACCGTGATCCCGTGTACGGCGACCCGATTAGTGGACCAAGAAAGAGACGCCGAAGCTACAGCCACAGCCACGGGGATAAAGATCGCGAGCGGCCTGTCGAAGCGCCACACTCGATTCTGGGAAACTCAAAGAAGCGGCGACCCAACTCCTCCTCCTCTCGTATCAAGGATTCCGAACGCTGGGGCGACGAACGCCCTTCTAGCTTCGTATCCGATTCCAATGTAGAGAAAAGTGATGACCCCTCGAGTGGTATCCGCCCCGCGTCGGTGTCGTTAATGAATTTATCTGAAGGGACAGCTTCAGCAGAGGAGAAGTTAGTTTCTAAATACGAAGATACACTGAAGGGAAATGAGAAGGAGTGGTATCTCCGTCTTCAGAGACTTATGAATACGATTCGGGAAAACTCAAAGGAGCGGCGACCCAACTCCTCCTCCTCTCGTATCAAGGATTCCGAACGCCGGGGCGACGAACGCCCTTCTAGCTCCGTATCCGATTCCAGTATAGAGAAAAGCGATGACCCCTCGAGTGGTGTCCGCCCCGCGTCGGTGTCATTAATGAATTCATCTAAACGGACAGCTTCGACAGAGGAGAAGTTGATTCTTAAAAACAAAGATACACTGAAGGGAAATGAGAAGGAGTTGTATCTCCGTGTTGAGAGATGCGTGGATACGAAGATGTATCAGGATGGTGCTTGGGAGACGAACGTGACCAGCATATGGGAGGAAGAGGCTGCAAAACTCCAAGCTGAGAAGGAGGGGGTGGTTGCAAAGCTAGCATCTCCAAGTATCACTGCCAATATGACCGAAGTAAGAAAGGCCCCATCAAAAAAGCAGGTCACTTCGGTAAGCAACATTTCTTCTCAACTGAGATATTATGTAGACTGATTTGCATTTAGCTTGAGCGCCGTCAAGAGCGAGCCCGCCAAAGTCTAATGAGAGTCTGCAAAACGCATATTAGAGAATGGTATAAGCTCGATGGGCTTTCGCCAGACGAATTAGCTAAAAGAGTCAATTATCTTCTGGACGAAGAACGCTTTCAATCTCCAGAGGACCATTACGACGATAGCAAGGTTATTCATTTCCGTTGCTAGATTTGGGACGTCACTAACGAAGACAGGGTCATCCATCATTTCGTTTCCACGCCCCACAGCTACGGAAGCTGACCGTTGAGAGGTTCTTTGCAAAGCCACAAGCCTCTGGACGTAAAGATCCGACGTTAGCAAAGATCTACGCTTATGGTAAAGCACCCTGCATCTATGCAGCAACAGTCCATCAGTGCCTCACGGCTTGGAGAGATGGAAGCTTTGATAAGAGCATCAAAAACACAAAAGCAGTAATGAACAAGATTTTGCAAAAGCAGCTAGCAACTTGGAACAACCTATCAGACAACTATCGGGACAATGTCTGTAGGGGTTTAAAGCAGAGTATGCTGGAGGCGGTGCCTGAGAACGACAGATGGGAAACCCTGGTTCAACCACGACGTGAGCCTACAGATTGCGCCAACTTAGATCGAGCTCAACACACATACTGACTCTGTCGTCAATGGACTGCGTAGTCGCTAAGCATTTTACACTTGTAATTCTGGGACATTGCAGCGATGCGTTTGTGCACGCTATTTGATCTCCATAGGACGATCTAGCCGCCTAGCCTTTTGCCTATCCGGCGACTTGGCATCCAATACTCTCAACTCATTGCATTCGCCCTTGGCCAGAACATCGTCGAATCCCCATAAATAGACTAAATAGGTAGTATGACCTCGCCGACACTTCATACGTGATTCATCTCCCTCATCCCCAGGTCGCGTGTACGCTACTACGTCGTGCTTGGAAATGCACCGAAAAGGACGCTTGCGGTATTGCTGTACTATGATTATATCGTTTGCAGTTGGGGGGAATGCAGGGCAGTCTTTCTCAACTTTTACGTGTATCAGATATAGGGATGAATTCCGTTTTCGTTCGCTATGTGGCAGCTGGCCTTTTTATGTGACGGTGTTAGTCCCGAGTCTTTTGCGTCAGGAGTCTGGGTTGTGTTGAGCAAGGCTGGGAGAAAGTCAGCCGGGTGAGGGAAAGGAATCCTACTTCCTCTGTATAACCTCATAGTATACGACCTTTCGTCCCCTTTGAAGGGCAACACGATTACAGCTCTAAGGAGTACTAGCACGGACGCACGTAGGACAAGCGTAGATCTTTGCAGATCAATATATTATGACATTTTCAAAAGCCGAATGCTTTTGAAGGTTATAGAAGTTTTAAAAATTCATATGTTTTTAAAACCTTTAAGAGCTTTAAGACCTTGCCTAATTGCTTTGCCACTTTACACAAATACCCACTCCATCACTGGGTACTGAGGGATTATTGTTTCTGTTTGTACATATCCACCTCTTCGTCGACTATCAGTAGGAAAGCGAAGATGACGACCAAAGCTCAGCGCAAAGCGGCTCTCATGAAGGATTGGTAAGTTAGGTCACATCAAAAATAGGGAGAATATAGTCCACGACGTAGGTAAATTACGATCTCTTTATCTGAAGAAGTGGCGGAGAAAGTAGCAAAATGCACTGGAAAAGTGCATCGCCGGATCAATTTATCATCAACTCTAGATATCGGGCCTTACGCTCATCAGATTTAGAATACCACCTCCCTCTCCCAGCGCTTATCGAAGCGAGCAAATTCCATTACTTTCGTCTACTTCACATTGGGCCCTTTGCGCTTTTATCTTCGCACTACTAGGCTCCAGGTACCTCAGTAATAGCCCTCGATGCCTCGCTTAGCTATTCTGCGCGTCCTTCGTTCTCCTTACTCGTACCTTCTTTTTCATTCGAACTTTTTCTTTTAACCCAGGTTATAATCTCCTCGAGATTCTACATCTTCTGCTTTCGTTATAGAAACCGCGTTGGTAAGGGCGGGGGCGGGAGGGGGCGCTAGTTGATGTGATTACGGCGTCAGTATTTGGTAGCGGTGACGGGAGTGCTATCGGGCTGAGAGGGACGGGAGATATGGTTAGCGCAGCGGTTAATCGTATCTACCCCCATTTGCACCATACCCCTTTTGCCGAGCTGTAACCCGGCAAAGGGCGGTTACAGCTCGGCAGGGGTGAAAAAGAGCGAGGGGGCTCCCGGGAAGTCGTGGTGTAGCTCAAGGTGGAACGCTTGGGGCGGGGTGGGGTGCGATACCGGTCAGCAGGCAGGAAATATAAATATGCGGTAAGCATGCAACGCCTCTCCTCTCGTCTTCACATACAACCTATCGCATCTCAACGCAGAAAGTAGAGGCTTTTGACTTCTTTGACATCATTTTTCTACCAAGTGGACTGCTAATCTTAAGCAGATGGTTTTACCCACGTGGCCAGTAACCCGGCGATTGCTGCCCCCCATCCGTATTCTGAGAAAGGCGTACTTGCATGAATGGCAGATTCGTCTGTCGAATGCATATGCCTGGCGCAGTACGGTTGCAGCCCCCACCTTTTTCTCTCAGCCTTGTGCTGTTCAAATGAACCGACCACAGAGCACTCGCCATGATGTGCTGAGCCTCCTCAACTATAAGATTCCGTGACCCAGACTAGGATTTCTCATCTTTAATCTAATCTTCTAAACTGGCCTTTCATAATCCGCTCCTCCCTCCACAATGGTTATCAATACTGATCCCTCGAGCCAGCAACATGCCATTGTGGTTGTTTGCATCGTTTCTCCCATTGTCTCTAGTTTATTTGTAGCGATCCGTGTTTGGACGAGAGCCTTCGTTAGTAGTTCGATTGGCTGGGATGACTGTAAGCTACCTCGTCTCCGTCTCCTTGTGGCCTCGCTCTCACACGTCAAAGATACTGCCTTAGTAACTTGGGTAAGCACTTCCTCATGCTAGCCTTTATTTGTTGCGACCCTGCTCATGAGACTCGAACAGCTCTTTTGCATAGCCTACAGTGTTCTTATTGGATTAGGTGTGCTTGCTGCCCCTCTTCTACAAGCCTATATTAATCCACAAACTTTCTAGGGACGAACTATGGCTTCGGGTGGCATACCGCTGACATTCGGCCTGATCGCTACGTCGTGTACAACGAGGTGCAGGACTCTCGGCGTTTGTTCTGACCATGCTAAAAAGTTTCCCCGTACCAGTGGATCTTCATATCCTCAATCGTCTATCTTATCACCTTACTCGGCTACAAATTCAGCATCCTTCTCCTCTACCTTCGCATCTTTGGCGTGGACAAGAATTTCAGATATTCCACCTGGGTAGTCATGTTCTTCGTCTTTGGCTACCTATTTAGCAATACTTTGACCCAAGTATTCGGTTGCACTCCGATCGACAAAAATTGGAAACCAAAGACTCCCGGCCACTGCATCCTGATGACCAAGGCAGATTTTGCCTACGGTTCAATGAATCTCATATCTGATCTCTTCATCTTCGTGTTACCTCTGCCGATGGTCTGGCGATTGCAGCTATCTTGGAAAGGCAAGCTAGGCGTCACCCTCATTCTCATGGGCGGAGCCATGTAAGGGCCCACAGTCAACCCAGTCAATCCGCGGCATGGATCTTAACAGTCTAATAGAGCATTCGTCGTTGCCCTTGTTCGTTACAGCCTGCTACTCCACAGGTTCTACGTGACCGACATAACATGGTATGACGGTAAGAATTTACTTTGGATGTGAGTCACCTTTTCTCGATCTCTTCTTGCAGTGGTTGAAATTCCGATAGGGTTCTCGAGGTCAACACCGGACTCGTATGCAGCTGTACGCCCGCGTTGAGACCTTATTTCACCCATATTGCCTCCAACGGCTTTTTCAAGGCTGCATTCGGAGGTTTGATATCGCATCCAAAGGACAGCGTACGACACAAGAGACGGAGCGACTCTGGCCAGTTGGTGCGGCGGAACACGGGAGGCGATGGATTCGTAGTCCTTGGGAATAATGAAACTGAGATGGAGGTACCTCATAATAAAGCGTTGAAGATGGTGCAAGATGTCTGAAGTGTCAAAAGTGGATCATGCGCCAGGGGTTCTCCATAGATACGAACGGCTTTTCCAATGGTCTGGGAAGCAATCAGTGCGAAAGGGGAGATTCCCATGTGTACGAGTACGAACGAACAAAAAATCACGGTATCGTTACTGAACGTATTGGAGTGAACGAATCGGTAATTTTGACGATCTACGCACACATTGGGGCACTGAAAGCAGAGTCAACTCGGAAATTTAGGGCGCTCCTTGATCAACACGAGTACTCAATGGGAGAATGTTTCCGTTCGCTGGTACATTAACTTGATATGCTAACGTAGAGTCAAAAAGCAAGCGGACGTTAGACGACATTTCGAAAGTTTCCTTCTTCTGGTGTTAAGAATCCTAGCGCGTCCAGAGTATGATGCGAATGTATTTCGAGCGTCTAGTGACCGAGGATCTCCTTGAATGCCATTGTGATGATCGATCCTCTCACGGCATTGTCCCTGAGTGGCAATGTCGTTCATTTTGTCCAATTCGGGTGCAAACTCGCCGTAAGGGCTTATGAGGTTTACTCATCAAAACCTGGCACATCCGAGGAGAATCTGGAGATGGAGGGTGTTATATCTCGACTTGTTAGGACTGTGCATGATCTTGAGAGCCGTCTAGCTTCGGTGGGCCCTTCAACCTTTTCAGACTCGATTTCGAAGCCATCTCTACGATTGCAGGAGATTGCAGACACGTGTAAAATGATAGGCGAGGATACTCTACGTTGATTGGAAGCGATGCAGATAGATTAATTCCTATTAGTATGGATCAGTGTTCGCCAGGTATTGAGCATCGTTTGGACCAAGGACGAAGTCGACGCGCTTGTGAAGCGGTTGAAAGCCTACATAAGAGCTGGACACAGCTATTCTCGTGTCCAACCTTCGAATGGATGTTTGAAGAGCCCAAAGCAGAGACTAAGCCCCTGCCATGGACCAATTTCGTGGAGTGGCTCCGACACGGTGATGGTATATACTGGGTTAATGGGAAAGCAGGCTCCGGAATGACAATATTCATGAAGTATATCTACAGCCATAAAAGAACGACGCAAGTTATGTCGCAATTTTCAGGATCGATGCAGCCTTAGTCGCTACTTTTTCCTTTTGGAACAGTGGCACTCGCGAGCAAAGATCGCAGTTTGGTCTCCTTCGCTCCCTACTATTTCGGATTCTCCATCATCGACTGGCACTTGTCCATCCGATATTCCCTGAAGAACATGCTATGCTACGAGACCAGCCACCGAACGCTGTGCGAGACTTTCCACGGCATGCTTGGTCACTACGCCGTTTACAGGATGCAGTGCAGCGGTTGGTTGATATGCAGTATCTTCAAATGAAACATTTGCTTGCTTGTTCATGGACGGATTAGACGAATTTGAAGGCAATGATGACCAGAACGACCGTCAATACCTAAGCGAGCTTTTCAGAAGCTTTGTGTCGGCACCATCCATAAGAATCTGCTCGTCAAGTCGTCCACTACTTATATTAAAGAAATCTTTTCGAATATCGCCTACAAGATCTGACGTCTGGAGATATGACGCGTTTTGTAACGGACCGTTTGTCTAATTATCCGAGGATACGGCAGATCGCAGAGAATGAACCGTTTCAAACGCATGACTTTGAGAAAGAAATCTGCATCCAGGCTCAGAGTGTTTTCATTTGGGTGAAGCTTGTTATTAGATCATTGCTTGATGGTGTGAGCAACAGTGACCGTATGGCTGATCTTCGAGCACGATTAGAACACCTTCCTGCGGACCCCGAGGACTCGTACCGCCATACAATGACGAAGATAGAGAAATTTACTTGAAAGAAGCGTCACAGGTGTTTCAGCTCGTCCAGAGAGCACGTAAGGTGCAAAGCATGAAACGTAATGACGATCAATGCACAACTCTACTTGCCATTGAGGGGACCTCGGGCGTGGCAGTGAACACCGCGTCAGACACTTGGACCGCGCAGAAGCTGTCATCGCTGTACGACGTTATGAGACGTCGCTTACTAACCTGGTGCAGGCTTGATTGAAGTTCCGGACTTTATCTGGAACCGAGTCGATCCGCTGGGTCCCAATGCAGCATTGCGAACCAAGATTACTTGGGGAGTCGCATACCTCCACCGTACTGCGAGGGACTTCATAGAGAGCAAATCAGTTTGGAGTATGCTCGTGAAGCATATCGATCCAAAATTTGGCCCTTGCACGTCACTGCTCGAGTCCACCGTACTTTTACACAAGGTGTCGGGACCACTCGTCAACAATCCACTCGGCTTTAGTCTCTTCAGGAAGGAATTATTGGAGCCTACCTGATACGCCTTACTTTTCGCAAAGCGAGCCGAAGAGACCACGGGAGAAGCACATCTCGAAATACTCGAGGAGCTGGACAAGGTCATGACCCGCCACCTGATCTGGTGGACGGGAGAATATCCCGGACACTGGAGTCTGTTCCTTGGTGTTGCAGGCGCACCCAACACTCTTTACTCCTTGGTAGAAATGGATGTCTTTTATGATCTTCATCGATTTATGCTTGCAAAGATTGCCTCAGATTACGTCGAGTATTTTGACAAGGATAAAGTCAAGGAAGATCTCGCATCTGTTCGTGAGTACTTTAAGCCGCACCTATCAGACCCTGAAGCTCCTGTCCGCATGGTAACATTGCTTGACATTGCCGTTCGCCCAAGTTGCCTAGGCTCGGAAACGGCCCAGATCCTCCTGGAACACGGCGCTGATCCAAACGAGGCATCTGGGTACGAGCCAAGATCAGTATGGGAATACGTCTTGAAGCGGGCTATGGCTTCATCTAAACAAGGTTTTGGCGAAGAGAAGTGGTTGCAGATCATGAAGCTCTTCTTGCAATACCATGTGGAACTGAGGGGATATAGCAACGAGATGGATGAACATCCGAAGACGCATGTTGGCCGTCGTTGAGGGTTTCGGAGCAAAGGACCCTGCGGAAGTTGCCTCATTGCGGGCCAGGGTTGACAAAAAGCTGCTAGACAAGAGGGGAAACAAGACTAAGCGTTGGGCGAGTGAGAAGCCTGTGTCTAGAAAGACGAGCGCTCACCAAGTCCGAATGTGAACTGAGGTGCTTTTTCGCCATCAAGACCTCGTCTGTGATCCGAAATCAAGGTCGTAGTCCAACCGTTCGCGATCGGACCAAGATTGAAACTAGGAAGGGTTTCTTGCCTTGTCATTAGCGGCAACAACGAGCTCGGCATCCGAGCCGTTTCCGGCTCCCGGGCTTGATTGGCTGGTGCAATGTAGGCAATGTGGGCAAGGATGAAGGGACGGGTGATCTGGGCTTTTCGTGTCATACTCCAGGTATGAACGCATATCCTTCTCTCGGAATCGACTGAGATGATGAGGGGGAGGGTCCTTCAAAGGAACAGGCCCGAGACAGAGGAGAACGACTAGTCAGTGGAGACCGGATAGGTTTTCGAGAGGACTAGGTGCTGGCGAGGTGGCTTGCGCCAAGAGCAATCCGGGAATATTTTCAACTTATGACCAACACGACTACCAGAACCTCCGAGCCTGCCAAAATCGACAAAGCTACCTTCAAGAAGGAGTCTAGTATTCTATCTACGGCATTTGCGTAAAGGTGTAAGACCATGGCGAAGGAGATCGAAGGATATTCTGAAGGGGAGGGGTTGATAAACATGCTTCGCTCTGGTGTTGAGTCATTGTTCTTCACGAGCCAGAAGGACATTGTACCAATGTTAGCAACCAAATCTCGTTTGATCTATATCATCTCCTTTGCCTCTAGAGATGTGCTCTTCAGCGAATCCCCTCTCCCTTCAACTAATTGTACACTATCTTCCTCCCTTCTTTGGTTTCTAGACTCAACTCTTCCGTTCAAAAATCTATGTACCAATTTAAACCATCATCACCCTATGATTTTATCAAAAACAATGTTGAAGACTGACCATGCCAAACTACCTTCGTCTCACTTTTATACCTAGTCACACCCTTCACTTAGTGTCTTTCACCCCAAATGTATATCCACGACCATACAGCCCATTCATTCCTCCTCCAAATCCAGGGTCACAGATCTCGAAAGTAGAACTCATCACCCAATTCCCTCCTCCTCCTCATCTGACTTGTGCGTGGCGTATATAAAGTAGCAAGCTACCTTTGAAGAAGATAATTTCTGGTAGTTAAACATTTCGAGGGCGACGGTAATAAGTATGATAAATATTGAAAGGGTTAGAAATCAGATACACCAAAGCTGAGGGAGGGATAGAAGAGCGTGATGGGAGCGTCTGCTCATGAATGGGTCGGCGCTGGGCTTGGGCTTGGGAGCGGCGATGAGGTTATGGAGTCCGGGGCGGCGGAGAGATGATTTTGGGGATAAGGGAGTCATGTTGGAGACAGGAGGAGGAAAACAAGAATCCGGGAAGTTGTGATGTGAGAATTAGGATCAAGGAAGCTGGGATCGATGGCGAGGTGGTGATTTTTGAAATCGTCTTGATTTGCGGAGAGCAAATTTCGGCACTAGTCCCACGACGTCTCCACAAGCTTGAACGCTCAACCACCATCCACCCTCGCATCAAGGAAGAAAATAAAACCGCAACAATGTCTCTCAGCACCCCTCTCCGCCGCGCCTGCCTCCCCTCCCCCTCAATCCCCCAAACCCAATGCCGCCACGCGACCCTCATCCGCCGGCCCAAACGCCCCTACACCTTCACCCAGCTCGTCACCCTCTCCGACGGCAGCACCTACACCCACCGCACCACCTCCCCGGCCCCGGTCTACGTATCCACAAAGGACACGCGCAACACGCTGCTCTGGAACCCTTCGAGCCAGAAAATGCTGAACATCGAGGCCGACGAGGCGGGCAAGTTGAGGGCGTTTAGGGAGAAATTTGGGAGGGGGTGGGATGCGGCGAGGATGGAGGAGAAGGATGAGGAGGATGGGATGGAGGGTGGTGCGGAAGGGGGGAGGGAGCCGGAGGAGAAGGAGGACAATTTGATGGATTTGATTAGTGGGTATGGGCTGGAGGCCGAGGCGAAGGGAGAGGCGAAGGGAGTGAGGCAGGAGAAGGAAAAGAGTGGGAAGAGGAAGGGAGGGGAGAGGTGACGCGGTAGGAGAATTGGAGGTGCGGAGGAAGAATGGTCGATTTGTTGTTCTACGGATTTTTGCATTCAGCATGGATGCGGGAGATTTTATACCCAATCGTGCACTGCTTCAAACAGAATTCTATATTAGAAGTGTCAGGACCTGGAGCGCAAACCATTGAATCTGCGCAACCTTCTCCGCGTTGCCCAGCCACATCAATTGCCATTTCTAGAGTGCATGTCCCTTCATTCACCTACTTGCTGCTGCTTCCAAGCATGTCCCGAGTTGTCCACGGGACTATCTCCCACGCTGCCGGGCTTCCATCGCATCGCTTCTTCCACTACCACAATCCAAGACTTCATGGGGCAACTCCCCTCATTTGCTCTTGTCCCTTCGCGCGTGACTTGGTGTTTTGAGTGACATTCTCCATAGTCTTTGTCTTATCATAGTAGCTGGCAAATCATCGGAGGTTTCCTGGTAATCCAAAAATAGGATCCTTTACTCAATCGCACGTCCAGAATCACTATATCTCTTCAACAAGTCAGCTTTCGCCAGAAAGAGAAAATGTCTGGATGCTTTAATACATACCGATATAGAACTATAGTAATCCAGGGTCAAAGCACACTTTGTTTGACCTGATGTAATTCAACCGGTCTGATAGCGTGCAATGCTTGAGCCGCAGGCGTAAAGTCTGCCAGATACCATTGTTGCGTGTGCTCAGTAGAAGCCCGGAGGTCTCTTGGCGACATTGGATTGAGGTTTTGAATCAATATCGCCAGCAGCCCCCTGTTCAGCGACCTTGTCAGCACCATCTGCTTCGGCGTCCAGCTCCTGCTCTTTTGGCCGCCCACTTCCCCCCCGTTTGCGGTCCTTGGCTTGCCACAGTTGGTCTACTTCTGCAACATTGCGTAATACTGATACTCGGATATGAGCTTCGCAGGACCATCAGGGATAGCTCGTGTAGCCACTTACCGTCTCTCCACTCCTGCTCCTGCTCCTCGTCTCCAGTGCCCAAAACCTTCTCAACATCCACGTTATCCCCACGCTGCGCTCGATCCAGAACATCTTTCAGCAGATTGATCTTGGCATCAGCTTTCCGGCTAAAAGTCGAGTACTCGTTCTTCAGTGTGAGCATTTGAATAGCGTTTGACCCGATGATGAGGAAGATGCAGATGAAAAATGTTGCGGGGTTCCAGTCCTTCGAACGCTGAGGCTTGGCTGGTACTCGCGAGGTCTCCGGGCTTCGGAAAGCCTTTGGAATGATTGAGTGCCATACGGAGGGTTGGGCAACACGTGGTAAAGCATATGTTCGGCAGTTTTGGAAACGCGAGAGATTGACTGGTCGTAACAGATAGAATGATAAATGATGGGGCGACGATCTATACACAGCAGTCAGACGCTGGCAAGTCAACGTAGTAGACATTGTAAATATTGTGTCTGCTCAATTATAAGACAGTGGCAAGACTTAATACTTTACTTCTTACTTCCTAGTTCGGAACGTCGGGACCGGGAAGCGCGACTTTCCCGAAAAGCTTAATTGCCGCATTGTTTACTCGTTTTTGAGCCTCCGTCAATTCAGCTTCTGCAACACTGATATGCAGCATCTTGGAGTATGACTATGGCTTGCGTGCTAATCCAGTACTGCTGCTTGCTAGAATACATAGACGCAATTTTACGATGACCCGAAAGGAGCTGCCAGCACGCGCAGCAAATATCCAACGTGCAGTAGCTTCAACCACAGCATGTACCTCTGCAACAGTAGAATCGTTGCGGTCCTTCCTTGCGCCTACCTTGAGTCCTGCTCTCCAGCAAAAGAAGCCATCCGCCAATGTTCCGCCGCCAAAAGGGAAAGGATCCTTAGCTCGACCAGTGAAAGCTGCTGTCGCGCGGGCCGGGAAACGGCCTGCAGTCACTATCCTCGAAGTCCCGGGAGAACAATCTGATCAAATACAGTCGCAGGATAAGTTGGTTCTTGCAACAGAGGTTGTAAATGCGACTTTGAAGTCCCTCACCGACGCTATCAAGGATCCTCCAGCAAGAAAGGTTACGCAGGCCAAAAGAAAACCACTTGCAAGATCTTTGTCGAGTTCCTCCTTTTCCAATGGACTCGAATCGCGAAGCCAGACACCTTTACAGTCATTATGTGTCAATCGACTGGCCAACTCGCCCGGCAAACACAATCGTTCTCGACGCTCATCATCCACAGCTTCGATGAAGCAAACAATGGACGGTCTGAGAGCTCAGGCGGAATGCGCGCGTGTTGCATTTGCTACTCTCCGCTCTCTTCAATGCCAGAAAGAGTCTTCGACCGCGTCGCCTTATTTGCAATTGGAAAGTGGTATGTCTGCCTTGATCGCCAAGATGTTAGCTTTGGGCTTTGACGACATTGCTTTACGGGAACTTCGAATTCTCAAGAGACGGCTTGAAATTTCTAAGGCTGCGTCATCTGATCAGGGCACTGCTGCTTCTGCGGGTCTCTGGAAAGAGGAAGAGAAATCAGATCCCAAGACCGAGACGCTGGCTGAGATGCTGAGATTCCGGAACACCAGTGCCAGGGGACAGCTTTTATCCTTAATCGTCACGACACAATTGCAAGTGCTAAAGATTCTCCGATTAAGAAGAGACGCTTCCGCTACAGAAAACGCCTTCCAGCACCTACAATTCAGGGTACCACATTCTCCGGCGAACCTCATCCAGCGACAACTCGAATCGAATGTGCCTGGGTCCGAAGAAAAAGTTGCCCAACAATTGGAGTCTCTTGCTCAAGCACTTATAGCATTGTGCCCCACTATCTCTTTGGAAGACGACTACAAGTCGCTTGCGCCTGGCAGCAATGTATCTCCAGATATCACTTTTCAAATCCAACTCTTGGCTTTCCAGGTACGCTCAACGTGGTGGAAGATCTCGGGTCACCAAAGCGATATTGCGAAAGAGATTGTCGAACCTTTTTGTCGATGTTTAGCCATCTTCAGCGGTCGCTCAAAATTGACCAAAGTGGAGAAGTATGAAATCGCAAAAAGCGCCCTCGAGGTTATCAAAGAATGCGTTCAGAGGGTGAAGGGATTTCGGGAAGAAATCCTGTTCAAGACCTATCAAATGTTGGCAGAATCAGCCCAAGAAAGCTCGCAATATTCCCAGGCTGTTCGCTGGGTCAGGACGGCAAGAGAATGCGCCTCCGAAAGTGCGTTATCACAGACGCAGTTATGCGACACAAATTGTCGATTGGCCAGCCTTGAACTTCGATCGCTGGACTCTGAGCCTAGCGATAAGCTCATTGCTGTGTTGAGAGGTGCTGCCAGAAGCCTTGAAGGCGACCTGCAGGGTGAATGTGCAGATTTGGATGAGCTCCTATTAGCCGTTGCTAGCCTTAGAAGATCCGCGTTCTCTTTTGTCCAGGACAGCCACAAGTCATCGAAAGCCAAGGCGATAGGAGCTCATTCCGCGCTCGTCAATGAATGCTCAAATATCGTGTTGTTATGTGCTAGGTTCTTAGTCCGTTATGTCGGTAGTGGTAATATCCTAGGAGGGCATGAGAAGACCACAGTGCGCCGTGATCAGCGAAGGAGACTGGCAGCTAGATTTGCAACCCCAACCATTGAATCAGTCGTGGCAATGGCTCGGCTCTCTGCTGACTCGGAAGCCGGAATCTGGAAATCTCTAGATATAGGGCTTCAAGACTGCTCTAGACTTGCATCGAGTATCGCAGACTCTAATGCGAATGAAGTTCGCGCTACCGGCGAGGACACTCGAGCTTCGTCCTTCTCTATATCAATCTCTAATGCTTACTGGTACCGTTACCTGTGTATGAAGCGAGGGGCAACAGACGCGAAATCCTGCAAGGAATGTCTCCTGGTGTCAATCGAATTTATCCGAGATCGTCCGTTGTGCGAAAAGCTGGCAGGGTCTCTACCTTTGAAGCTCGAAAAGTTGGGACAGCTTTGCGAAGATATGCGAGACTATAAGAAGGCCGTGGACTCATACAAAGAAGCTCTTCATATTGAGCTTGATTCCGGTCTCCTTCGGGTAGCCATGGAAGCTGCAGCTATCCAGTCAATACCGTATGTGCTTGAGCTAGATAGCGAGCTACTGCCTCTTTCTCGAAAGCTATCGGCGTATCCTAGGGCAGCGTTGAAAGCTATTCATCAAGGTTCTCGACAACAATCGTTTTACGAGGCAGACGGGCTCTCTGCAAGTGAACGTGGCGTTCTGCTTGAGCAACAACTCGTATCGCTCTTAACAACTCTAAACGTCCAAGGCTCACTATCGACAACTTACGACGCATTGAACGACATAAGCACGTCATTGCTATCCACGTACAACCAAAACAAATTCCCAGTGCGACGTCTCAGGGTTGTTGTTCGTTTGCTCCGTTTACTTCTGACCGCTCCTGGAGCACTTAGAAATAGTCTCGTAGACAAATTGCTCGAGGAACCCACAGAAGCTGCAACAGGTGCTCATTTCGATATGGGTTTATTGGGATTCCTACCGCACCTCACCACATGCCGATGCCTTCTCATCACTCTGCGCCGAAGAGTCCCCAATATCGGGGACCTGGAGTCAGTCATTACATCGTGGTCAAAGTTGGTCCAAGCAATCGTCGACTGGGATTCGCTCCAAACACAGGTATATGACATTGCAGATTGGCTGGTACAGCTCGAGATGTTGGGCGAGTACCTGGAAATGCAGGGACTAGGTTTGTACAGAGTATCAGCCTTGAATATCGCGGTCGTAATTCACCAAGCTGCATTATCGGTGCCATGCTCAGCGCTAGTCTCAAAGCTATCTGAACTGGGCTTACAGCACGTGAGGCTTGGATATAATGGTCTTGCTGGTTCCGTCCTACACAAAGCGCAAAGGTATCTTGAAGCCTCAGATTTTTTCGGTAAGGTCAAGCTGAGATGGCATCTATCATACGCTGAGTACGCACTTGCCAATGGGAATTTGAAGACCTGGTCAGAACCTCTGCGCTCCACATGTGAATTTGCTAACGTCAAGCAGCAAGGAGAGTCTGGTGCGAGCCCAAGAGCTGCTTCATGGTGGTACCTGTACAGAGAAACCCGAAAGAATGAGGTCCAAAGATTGGAGCGACCTGTCTCAATTGACTGCGGATGCATACTACGTTCATTCATTATTAGCGGCTGCAGAAGGTCAACCATCCAAGGCGCTCTTCTTCGCCCGATTATGTGTGAAAAATTGTCACCGATCATGGGCGATCCTAGAACGGAGTCAGAACAGAGTCGATGGAGCAATACGGAAGGGTCCAATTGAAAGCGAAAATGACCCTCTGGTAGACGGCATGTCGGAGTTGTCGATAGCTGCTTCTACTGAGAATACATCAACGTCCCATTCGATGCTTTCCGGTGTTGCATTCTGGACCCTTGTTCCTCGGATAGTCCGCGGCCTCAATCACCTGTCCCTGCTCTTCTCCTATAGTGGCCTTTATCCCGAAGTAAGGTACTACCTCCAACAGGGGCAGAAGATTGCAACAGCCGTTGGGGCTGCGTCTCTCAACAGTCAAACCACCGCGCTTCTTGGGAATTATTTGATCCGCAGTGGAGGGGTTGATGAAGGTGTGTTGCTGGTACAGCAAGCAGAAAATCTAGTCTCCGGACTTCCGCGCGATCGACACTATGCGTCTTTGCAGCTCTTTTTGGCTTCTCATCATACCAAACAGGGCGAATTGAGAGCTGGAAAATCTGCTATTGGCGTTGCAGAATCGACAATTGAGAATCTGGTGGCAAAGAGCTTCGTAGACAGCTTAATCCAAAGGCGCTCAACGGCAACAACTCTCGAGATCGACATGAGTGCACTGACTCTACAAGGGGCTAAACCGGCACGACCGCCTCAAAGAAGACAACAGCAGAGCATCTCGAAGAGGCCCCAGAGCAAGTCAGTCGCACAACGTGACTCTTCAAACTCATCACCGGAGGAAGCTCCGGCAGTCGAGGTGTTTGCCTTGCACCGTATGAGAGGCGAGATTATTCGAGCGCGCATATATGCAAAGATGTCTGAAGGCGGTCTCGAAGCAGCCGCTTCGCTGTTGAACGAGAGAAACGCTCACACTCGAGACCAGCAGGACCTAGTGCTGCAAGCTCTACTTGCATCACGAGTACACTTTCGCCAAGGACTCGAGCACTTCGTCAGCGACCCCGTCTTCTGCGTTATACCCGAGTCTACCATATCGTGTCCAGCAATCAAATCCTGTAATAGCGACAGACAGGATAAGCAGAATAAATCTAGCAGCCCTCCAAAGAGCAGAAGCGCTGCATTTTCAAAGTGTGCCACAGGCAAGGCGTTGGCGAGAAAGATCAAACCCAGAAGCCTGTCCCTGGCCAAGGATGAAGCTAAATTCCTTCGTGTTGCGCAAGACGAAATAAGTAATGTCTTCCGATCAGCAACGACCTCCTCTTCTACGGCAATTGTGCATGAGATATCTGATGTGCTTGGGAAGATACTCATGGTACTATCTGCTGTTTCGTCGGCAAGTTCAAGAGCTTCGATTCCACCTGGAGTTCTGTCATACTTTCTAGGTGAGTCATCATAAGCACGAAGACAGAAGAATGCAGACTGACTTGTGTTCGCAGAGGTGGGCAGAATGCTTTCGATGACAAGGGAATCTTTGGCTATTCAGGTGGAGTGCAAATTGCCTAACGGAAAAGATACGTTCGATTGGCCAAACGACAATGCAGTTGAGGGTCAAGAGAGAGCCCAGGTGCATGACAAAATCGAACTTTCTACCTTTCAAGCTGAATATATCGACATCATACCCCAGGATTGGCGTGTTGTATCCATGACTCTGAGTCAGGAGCGAGATGAGATCCTCGTTTCCAAACTACGCTCTGGTCAGACACCGTTCATCCTAAGGCTTCCACTAAATCGGCACAATTCCTTAGACCAGGATGAGGAAACCTTTGGATATGATCAAGGAAAAGCGGAGTTGCAAGATCTTATCAGTCTTGCCAATATTTCGGCCCATAGTGCACAAGACCTGTCCCGTAAAGGAGCCAAGACCGAGTGGTGGGAGAGAAGAGCTACCCTTGATGCCAGGTTGAAGGATCTTCTTACCAATATGGAAACCATTTGGTTCGGGGGGTTCAAAGCTGTATTCTCACAAACGGCGCAGAATCCGGCTCTCTTGTCACGCTTTCAGCAATCACTCCAGAACATTTTGGATAAGCATCTACCATCTCGGCAGAGATTGGGACGGGGAGGCCAGTCAAATCGCGTGGCGCTAGATTTACGCGTGCTCGAGCTTTTTGTCGGCCTCGGAAATCCGAGCGACTCTAACGACTTGGATGAGCCTTTGGTGGATCTTCTGTACTTCGTGGTCGATATTCTGCAATTTAATGGCGAACGTAACGCTTATGACGAAGTTGATTTCGACTCAGTCAGTTAATACCCCACTCTGATTCCTAGTCTTGAGTTGCGTCTGCTGACTGCTTTTAGATTGTGATCGACATCACCGATGCCCTTCGGCACTACCACCAAGCTGTTGAGAACGAGCAAGGCAGTGAGTCGGAAAAGCATACAATACTCATTCTGGACAAGCATCTCCACTGCTTCCCATGGGAATCACTGCCGTGCATCAAAGATCACGCTGTGTCTCGGCTGCCTTCTCTCGGATGCTTAAGGAATAGGATCCTACAACAAAAGCCGAATCCAACAAGTTCCGATGGCCGGATATACGCCAGTAGAAAGAACGGAGCATCTGTACTGAACCCAGGAGGTGATCTGACGTCTACCCAAGGCAAGTTCGAAGAGCCCCTGCAGGAGCTTTCAGGCTGGGAATGCATCGTTCAGCGAGAGCCTACCGAGGCCGAAATGGTGACCTGCTTGGAGAGCAACGACATATTTCTGTACTTTGGACATGGTAGCGGTGGGCAGTACATACGGTCTAGGACCATTAAGAAACTCGGCAAGTGTGCTGTAGCTCTGTTGATGGGCTGTAGCAGTGGAGCGCTGACCGAAGCCGGGGAATTCGAGCCTTACGGAACGCCGATGAACTACATGCATGCTGGATGCCCTGCGATGCTAGCAACGCTTTGGGATGTGACGGACAAAGACATCGACCGTTTTTCTCATAGCGTTTTGGAAAAGTGGGGTCTTTTCGAAGGCCGTCAGCCGCCTTTATCAAGCAGTCCAGTCAAGAAAGGAGCGAAGCAAAAAGGCAAAGGCAGAGCCAAGAATGCTGAGAAGGTTGGGAGGGATGAGAGCAAAGCAGTATCTTTGGATCAGGCCGTCGCGCAAGGTCGAGATTCTTGTATATTGAGGTATCTAAATGGAGCAGCGCCTGTCGTGTATGGTGTACCTGTGTATCTTTGTTGATTAGCGAGATTGGGTAAAGAGCATTGGGTGGGAATCATCAATGGCACTGGGCAATAAGAGATCACGAGCGTAAGCTCAGGAGCACACAGTGGGCAGTCACAGTTACCAAGTCTCTAGCCTTTTGTTTTCACTTATTATTGAAAGAGCAAGGTGGTCTTGGTTGGATTGCAGGAGACGCGTCCTTCTCATGTTGGAGCATTATGTCTAAATCTCTGTCTCGCCATTACCACAGTCTATACTTTTCTTCTTTGCTTTCTTTTGCTTTCTTTCTTTCGTTTTGATTTCCTTTCATTTCTTCTCATCCAAAGAATCTTTTCTCCGATTTGCATGAATGATGGAATGGCAACCTGGAGATGAAGAAAGAGACAAGGGAACTTTGCCCTCTTTTGGACTGCGGAAGTATCCCCGCAATCCCCACACAACGACGTCACACTTCAACTCCCTCAGATCAAATATGTTTAACCTTCGCTCTCTCCAGTCCAACATGCTCAATCCTCATCCTCAATAACAATGTCTGTACAAACCAAAGCAACAATCGCATCCTTCGGGGGCAAGCTCCTCAAACTCTCCCACAATGCCTCCTCCACCAACTGCGAAATGGCTTTCAATCTCTACTTGCCCCCTCAAACCACCACCAATCCCCTCCACAAAGTGCCCCTCCTGATATACCTGGCCGGTTTGACGTGCACTGGGGACAACGGGGCGGAGAAGGGATTCTTCCAGCATGCGGCGAGTGAGAAGGGCATTGCGGTGCTCTACCCGGACACGAGCCCACGTATGGCACCCCATGATCTTCGCTCGGTCTGGAACCACGCCTAACGGGATTCCAGGTGGCCTGAAAATCCAAGGCGAAGACGACTCCTTCGATTTCGGAAGCGGCGCGGGCTTCTACGTCGACGCGACCAAATCCCCGTGGAACAAGGGATACAAAATGTACAGCTACATCACCTCGGAGCTGCCCAAGACCGTTTTCGACAACTTCAAACAAGTGGATCCGGAGCGGATCAGCATCTTCGGACACAGTATGGGCGGGCACGGCGCTTTGACTTTGGTGAGCATTTCCTTGCGTGTCATGAGAGATGTATCGTGCGTGCATCGCTGATCCTCACCGTCCCCGATAGTTCTTAAAGAACCCGGGGAAATACAAGTCCGTGTCCGCCTTCGCCCCCATCGCCAACCCGAGCAAGTGCCAATGGGGCCGGAAAGCATTCGGAGGCTATTTCGGCGACGACGAGAAGGCCAAGTGGGCAGAGCACGACGCGACGGAGCTGGTGAAGAAGTGGGCCGGGGAGCCGTTGGATGTCCTCATCGACGTCGTACGCTCCCCCCCCTCCCCTTTCCCCCGCTAACAGTACGGACGCAGGGGCTCCTTTCGCTAATCGGTTCGGTGCGGTACCAGGGCACGAGCGACAATTTCTACAAACAGGGCCAACTCCTGCCCGAGAACTTCGTCGAAGCGGCCGAGGGGAAGGGGAAGGTGAATGTGCGGTGGCAGGACGGTTACGATCATAGTTACTTCACGATGGCGACGTTTGCGGATGACCACGTTGGGCATGCGGCGAGGTACCTTTTGGCGTGAGTGTAGCTTGTGGATGTGGGATGGAGGATGTAGGCTGAGGTTTGTGTATATACAGCAGGGGTACGAAATTATAGATCTAAAAGCTAGTCCGCTGAACTCGAAAAAGGCAAACAGGCCCATGTTGAGTGAGCAACGCATACCTTCCATGTGCTTCATGATGTCTAACGTGGCTTTCCGGAAGTTGACAGTGGTGTCCGCAGCTTGCTCCGAGTTGATAGTCCTGCGCAAGAACATGGCAATTGCTAATACAAACTTTCATCATTTGTTTATGTCCCAGGCACGGCAATGTGCATTTGATGCGAACAGTCCAACTTTGGCCATTCTGTATGCGTAAGGCATCTTGAATCTTGGTTACCCTCCGAGCAGCTTGGTTGTTGGGTTGCTGAAAAAGGAGTTGACAATTCAGGTGACCTGCGTGATGAAGTTGGCCAGGTAAGAAGATTCATTTTCAAGGACGACAAACTTTACACAACGTCGTGTTTGGACGATCCCTAAGATCTGCGTCTAGATCACCTCTCGTTCGAGCAAGTGCTTATGCAGTTTCAACGCAACTATGCTCGGGCCTGATTCATCACGTCGTGGCGGCAACTACGAATCACACGCTCGCCTTGTACCCCGAAAATGCCCACCCAAAATCCGCGCCGATCCATGCATGCATTTCGCTGTGCTAGTCTATTGAAATATAGATGCCATGCTATCTCAAGCTAGCTCCCTTAAACCTCTTAGCAAGCTGTTCGCCATCTGAACCTAAATCATAACCAACACTCGGTTCACGAGAAAAACGTAAAGGACGCTTGGGGGGACGCTCACCGCTTTCCCGCAGTATTTCCAGCAAGGTGGCCCAGCCAGGGGTTTCAAGGAGCTGGAACCCATCCGCGAGGTCGTGTGTACGAGCTACACGGCAGAGCAGGGCCTCTTCTTCCTAGTGGGGGAGTTGAGGATTAGCAAAACGCAAGAATATTGGGTAAGGAAGAAAAGAAGCGGCTACCTTGCTGAGAATGCCCATGCCGTGCAGGAAGCATAGCAGATGAAAGTCGGAGACAGCCTTTATGCCCTTCTGGCCATCAATGTTACTTCCGCTCACACCGAGCTGTGTTGCTACTGCTTTCCATTCCTGGCTCTGACCAATCGCTTCCCGGTTTTCGATTGCGAAATTTGAGCGGTTGAACATCTGGGACGATTCAGTGGGAAAGCCATGAGTGAGAGTGACCAGCAGATATTCGACTGGGAAGCTAGGCTTTGCGTTCTCTTGCACGCTTGCTCCATACTCGTTGATTCGTCGGTAGAAGACTTCAGGGATGTATCGCGTACGACTAGTGGAGCCATCGTCCTCCTCTTCACCGCGGACGATCATGACCGAGGGATCTGCTGAAGGCTCGACAATGTCCGCCCGGATCATCTCGACGGCAGAGTTCGAGACCTGAAATGCTGTGATGGCGATGCCTCCGTCTTCGTCTCCGCTCAAGACGCAAGTGACGAAATTCGAGCCAAATTTACCAGTGTCGCTCCATTTGGTGGGCTTCGGGTTTTGGGCTTGCAATCGGGCTGCGAAGGCAATTTCGAGCGATGACAGGTAGTAAGAATCTATGTGTCGTTTACAAACCACGGTACCGTCTCCAGCTCCAGCATCGATCAAATCTGTGAATATGACCCCAACTTTTTGCAAGCCACATAATCGTGCGACCTCATCGATCTCCTTTTCGTTCTCCCAGTCATGCAGCGTGCATCCATCAGGTTCATCAATCTGTGGCGGCTCGTAGATGGCTTCAACCACTGCTTTGACACCTAACGGCACCTCCTTGTATTCCTCGTAATGACCGTAGAGAAAGCCTACTCGTTGTGATCCTGAAGCCCTCCAAAAGTCCAGCAATGAGTTGATGAGCGAGGGTGACGCAAACTCGACATGATCTACCATTCGATAAGGTTGGGCCTGCAAAGTGATGGCGCTCGGCTGACATTTGGTACAGATTCCTTCGGGCCACTGTGGGTGCCCTGACGGACAGTCCCGCTTTACTCGGTAGAAGGGTTCGCTCAAGGGTGGCATGTAAGACGATTTGAGTTCGGGTTTGTTGGTGGCGGAGTTGATCTTCCGGAGGTAAGAATGGAAGGAAAGATGCTTGATTTTCCTCTCTTCTAGGTACTGTGGCGCGTAAGGCTCGAGTGGCATGCAGTAATCGCACATCCCTTTCTGACTGTGTCTGCACATTTTCTCGTCACGGCGCCGCGATATCTTGCCATCTTGCTTGTCTAACCGGTTGTCCAACTCTGACTGATGTACTACTTCCCAAGGACTCTTGATGGTAGCTGTCGGAGAAGTCTGAGGGAGGGGAGCGATGGGCAAGTCTTCTGTTGGTAAAATGGGTATACCGTTTAAGCGGTTCGACGAGTTGTGCGGTTGTGAAGGAGTTGTGACAGGAGCTGTAGAGTGTCCGTTCATGGGAGGTTGTTCGCTGTATTTTAAGAAGAGTTTATCTCCATGTCTAGATAGGAGAGGGTCAGCACTGGGTGACACGCTATTGATCAAATAGTCTATACCTGAGGCCCACTTTTGTAATAGGAACGCCATTCAGAGAGCTCAGCAATCTGTCTTCGCCACCAAACGGCTTGTTCGAGAGTATGATGGACCGGGAGTCGACGTCTTTGGGCAGGTTATCGAGAATCTAGTGAGCCAAATTCAGTCTTGCTCTTGTATGACCAGGGGACCGTGGAGAGTAGATACTTTGGAAAGTAGAGAGGGAAATTGATCAGTTGGGCTAACGGTCAATCTGAACTGCCCGTTCTTGCTCTCGAACCGCAGGAGAATGGAGCTTGAAGGCGGCATAGCGATAGCAGAATCTAGGATGTGCAAGGCTTGTATCACCAACGCGTATTCAGAGCTGATATCCTGGTAAGTAAGTGGTGTTGGAGCATGATGAGAAAGTTGTGCTCCAGAATCGGCGTGTCGAAGAAGGAACTCGAAGGTGACGGAGACGGAGCTGCATATCGGCAGCGGCTAATCTTCGGGCCGACTCCGCGGCTCTCGAGAAAGTGCAATTTTGGCGAGGTGTTCTTTGTTCTGAACTGGTTCGACGCGACACTTTATTGCTCTCGATAGATTTGAAAATCGCCGATACTTGTACTTAAGAGCTGCCCATATCCGTACCTTCTGTCTATAAATCGATGAATACCGGACTGCATTAAACGGGCTTTCTTTCTGAGGGGCTCGAAGAGGACTTATAGAGCTGCCATCTGCCCCATTGGAAAAGGTGCTTCGGCAAGTAAAGTGAGCTATGGTGGACCTGATTGGGCTTGCAATGCCTTTTGCGTATCTGGGCCTATTGGTTGGTTCTTTGGCGACTTTCTCCTCACTCTACAGAAAACGGAAAACAGGTGGGTGCCCCGTACGGCAGTCGTTCAGAGTACGTGTGCAGAGAGCTTACATGACCATAGCAAGGTCAGCATCGTTAGAGCCATGGTTCGATCCTCACGTCCAACGGAACATCTACCTCTCTCTTCTCCATCTCGAACCTCAGCCCGACCAAGACAAAGCCACACCAGTACCCGATAGCATATTAAAAGCCGCATTACTCCAACGGGCTGCGGAAGACATTCGAAGAATACTTGCAATACGAGGAGCTAAGCAGCCGCTGAGTCAGCTTTTGCAGAGAGGTAGCGTCGGAGATGATCTGTGGCAGAGGTTCCTGAGGGCAGAGAAAGAGATGGAAGCGGAGGTGAAAGATGTTGTGGAGGAGGTAAGAACCCCTCTCTGGGTTGATGGTAAAAGCTTAACGAATCTGCTAGGCGAACGCTCTCGCTACGAATTGGGGACAGACCGTCTTCCAAAGTGCTAACGAGATGGTCAACAACGCAACCATACGTGAGCGTGTGGGTGAATTGCAGGCCAAGGGTAGAGCAGACCGTGAATGGTGGGATAAGGAGAGAGAAAGCATATCCTCGAAGTTCATGCAAGAATTGGACGAAGAAGTGCCTGCAGGGGGTTCAAAACCTGCATCGACAAAAGCTGGCAACAGCGACGAAGAGGCGGTTCTGGTAGAGGCTGGAGGGCCCGCCGCAGGGGGGTCTACGGCAGGATCGAAAGGTGGCACGGTAAAGAAGCGGAAAGGAAAGAAGTAGCATCGTCCTGGTGAGGTTCTTCAAAGTGTACAATAAAAGATATTCCCAATTCCACCGTGATCTGCGGACAGGATACCTTCTGAGGTCTTTCTTTTTTCATGATTTTGTGCTCTCGAAGGCGCATTGCCTCTCGCAAGTCATGCTCCGATCCCTACTCACTAGGCTTCTTGTGGCGACTCTGGGCTCTCAGATTTTCCGTCATCTGGTGGAAGCCTAAGCTCTGGTCGTCGCCGCAAGTATGTTGTGAAAATTTGTCTTCGTCTGGCCATGCTTGGGAGATAACCTCTCAACCATTTGTTCGCCCAGGGTCAGCCGGCTACGGAGGGTCAGCCTAGCATCATCTCAGAAGAAGAACCTTCAGGCCACTTACTCTATAATGCTTCTGATGATTAGACTCCTTGTTTACGCGCCACTCGTGCTCATTTCTCGCCCTCGCCTCCTGCTTCAGAGCCTTCTTCTCCGTTGCCCTCAGAGCTCGCTTCTCGAAGTCGCTAACCCCTACCATGCCCATTTCACCTCTAGCACGCGTCGCAAGTTGGCGTCCTGGATGATGATCTGACATGGGGTGGTCGCCGTCGGCAGCTTCGGCTGCTGTTATAGCTCTGCGATCTGCACGCTCGGTGGGTGTGGGATAGGAGCGGAGATTCTGGCGATAGTAGCGGGACAGAGAACGATGACCGAGGACCCGTCCTGAGGGTAGACGGAGTTCGTGGTCGCTGTCTGGGTGGAAGTCTTGCCCCCGAGGAGGCGACGCCTTGTCAGCCTCTGCGTGTTCCTCATCTTCCCTGATCATTTCCTCATCGGCGCCATCCTCGGACTCGCCTGGAAAGTCATAGAATTGGTCAAGCTCCTCATCAAACGCGATCTTGCAATGGCGCTTGTCTATCATGTGGCTTCGAATACCCTCAACTGTCTCTTTTACCTTGCCGCAGTACAGGCATTCGCGAAAACCGGAGATGATGTTGAATAGATAAGAAAGAAGACCTTCGGCATCTTCTAAATCCTCCTGATTTGGTATGAACATTCCATGTACTTTGAACATGTGTTCGAGGTTGTCACCCATTGTTGACGAGTCGATGTTACAGAATAAACATCGCGCAGGTGTATAGCCTCTCTCGATCTCTACTCGATGGGGCTGAGCTTGCAAGGAATCTGGCCCCTTTGCTTCTCCAAACCTTATTGTACTGTTGGCCCCATCTTGAGGTTTTGTGGCATTCCTTTCGAAAAGTTCTGCAGAAATTGGGGCCAGGGAAGCAATCTTGCGTTTCAGATTGTATCCACTTCGACTGTTAAATCACCACTCTGAAGTTTTATATCATTGAACAGAGGCTTACTGGTAGTCTGTGTGCATATGAGCCCGCTGGAGCTCGCTGCTCTCGAACTCTAACTTGCAAGTATTGCAGGTGAATGCGACAGACATTTCACGATTCTGTAGAATGATTTCCTGAACGGATTCTGGATTGATTTGAGACGTAGGATGAATACTTCAATTAAAGAGATGATATTGGGGGAAGGAGATCACTGATCAACACGACTCGGGCACAAGTATTCGTACAGGTAAGTCTCTGGTGCAAAGGGCGAGGCACGATTATTTGACCATGCCTATCGTTTTATATTCAATCGACCACCAAAGACTCAAATGAGTAAGAGCGCGTATCTGGACTAGTCGTTATGAGTCAGATTATTGAAATTCTTGGGGTTGGGGTGACCATGCAGCTACGGCGGGATCCCCACAAACGTGACTCAGGCTCGGTGCGGGCGATGGCTCATGGAACATCATACACCAAGTGATGCAAAGTGAATCGCTCCATTCGATTTTAACAGGATACAATCGACTCTGAATCTCTCTTCTTCTTTCGACGCATGGTGAGATCATTCCTAGTGACGGTCAAGAAGACATAGACAATTGCCAAAATTACAAAATTAGAAACAGGAGCGAAGTTTATCAAATTGGCTTCTACGCCTCAACCCTTTCTTGCACTACAGGAAACCATTCATCCGACTCAGGACTGTCTTCCATGATTGGCTTTGTGACAAGCCATGGGATCAAGTCTTGAAACCGGGCCCACTGAGGAACTCTTCGTATTCCAATTCAGGCTGGAACTCGCAATATAGGATCTCCTAATATATCTTCAGCATTGGGAAGAAGATGGGGTACCCCTCACTTTGAGTGGGCTTACCGATTCGCTAGCCATCTTGAAGTTATAAGCTGCCTCCTCATCCGAAATAATGTGCTTTTTCAGGCCGTTGACCGCAGCCGCATCAACTTCTAATTGAATCTTACAGCTCTTCTCCATAAGTCTGAACAGATATCCAGCCTCATCACAGGTTTTTCCTACAGTCAGAAGGCCATGATTCATCAGTATCAACCCTTTTCCTTTCGGTCCGAGGGCGTGGGCCAGTTTCAGCCCCTCCCCTTCACCAAAGACGATACCGCCATATTGGGAGTACACCCCTTGCACACCGAAAATGTTGCATACATCTTGGTTAAGCATCTCCAGAGGCTTGGCAAAAGTCGAATAGGAAACACCATGGATTGAATGTGCATGGCAGATCGCATGTACGTCTGGTCGGGCTTTGTGAATTGCAGCGTGTATCAAAACGCCGGCAGCGTTGACAGGTCTGCTTCTGTTGCCTCCAACGATTTTGCCATTGTGGTAATTGACCAGGATCATATCGGATGCCTTGAGCATACCAAAGTGCACCTATTTTTAGTCAGAACTGGGAACCCGAAGCCTGCATTTGACAATTATCGGGGGGACTGTACGCCTAAAGGATTCATCCACATCGCATCTGTCTGAATTGGGTCGACTACGCTGATATGACCCGACATGCCTTCAGTATATCCAAGCCTGGCGAAGACGCGAAACACGCCGGCCATATGTTCCTTTCTGAAAATCATTCGGTGTTAGTATTGCATGTGTAAGATGGTGTTCGAAGTACTCCGTACATCCATTGCCTTTTCTCTTCAAGTTTGTTGAACGAGGGGATGCCGGGAAGTGTTGGCCCGCAAGATATAGCCTCAAGAGGTGTGAGCTCGGCAAATTCTGTTGACGGAGCGTTTGGCGTGGCATCGGACGTTGCGATGGGCGCCATGACAATAAGGTTGGCCAATTGTTTACCCCCGAACGTGGAGCTTCAATTATCAGCGTCTTCGGACCAACACGGCGACCAATGGGCTTTCTTGAGACGTTTCGAGAGGAATCCAGAATCACCTGAGCGGTGGTGAGTCAAAGGATGGTTTGGGGATGGACTCCATATAGTACTTACTCTAGGTAAGCGAGCTAAGCGAGTAACGCTAGAGAATACTTATGCGCTGGACGGCCTAAGTACTTACCGTCTGGGTCCCGAACTTCAGGTCTTCGATCTGGACCATAATGCTGTTTTCGGAAATGGCCCTATCAGTGCGGATCATCCTCCGCGCCAAAGAACTTGTACAAGATATCTGATTTTCGGAAAGCCTCTTTGTCTCGGCCAACCTGCTTGCCGAGTAGCTGCCATGAGACAATAAATTCATAGCCGTCCTTTTGCTCACTCATGTATGAAAACATTTCCCTCATATCCTCCAGAGTCTTTAGACGTACATCATGAGAGATATCTAGCTTGAGCTGTTTCGCCAACTCTAAAACCAAATCAGCGATTGCAGCAGCGATTGGTGTCGATGTCGACGTACCCCACCGACGCTTCTCGGGGCCCTCTCCAAACCCTGTTGGCCAGGCCGAGGAACCGGCTTCTCCGAGAACGGAGAAGTTGTGACTTGTAGACTCGGGGGAAAATTATACCTTGATCTTGCACCACTGCCGTCGGCAGAGTTGATGCAGATGACTCGGGGGTATGATGCAGGAAAGGCGATCTTGCGATTGGCACCGCTGTTCGACGCAGAAGCGAACACGATGATGTTCTCACTCGCAGCTCGATCGATGGCCTTCTCTATGCTGTGGTACCATCGTAGGAAGCCGAAAGACATAGTGATAATGTCGACCCCCCCTTCATACGCTGCGCGGATTATCGCCTGGATCGATTGTTAACAGTCAATGACACGTAAACTTCAGGTTGAAAGGGGACGAACACCGGCAACATTGTCAGGATCTATCGAGCTATTGGAGTCTTTGACGACACGTGCCACGTATGTAGGCCTCTGGTGCGACTTTCATCAAAAGCGATGTGGCATGCTGTAGACAATAAAGCTTGCTCTAGGGTAATTGATCATTGCGTGTCACTTTACAGTTACACAAAGCACAAGAGCCTAGTCCTTGCCGAAGCCTCAATAACCAGACCATTGACTCCAAGGCAAAATCCCGATTCCGCTAGGAAGCGGATTTGACACACAGGATCACAACTTTGCAAAGCCCACAGATAGTACATCGTATACAAGTGCAGCGTCGCAGCGCAGTTCAGTCAGGCGGAAGCTCAAGATGGTCAAAATTTACTTCATGGCACAAACGCACGACTGCCCTCCATCAGGACCCATTGCCCTCGGCAATATCATTGCTTTACCTTCGTTACCTGAAGAAGCATTGAGTTCAGTTCCCGCCTTACCAATACGACTGATCCAAGAGTCCTATCAAACGGATTGGACAGCCGAGGTTGGGAGACGCAGGCAAGGACAAATAGGCCTGTGGACGAAGTTCTTGCAGGTGTTAGGAGTCGGGATCGACTTCGGTGTCGATTATGACATTGGCAAAACGGATATATGTGACTTTCGATCGAGTGGATACGCGATTATTCACGCCTGACAACGCCTATATCGAAGAGAGTATGTCTTCTCCCGAGGTGCGAGATTGATCGTGAGGAGCAAATTCAGGGCCAATGTATACATGATCGCAGGAATCAAAGTAGCGATTGTACGTCGGTCACGAGTACGAAGCTGAGGCAGCGTAAGGTACACGTGCAGCTTGGCGTAGACGGCACTGTGGTAGGAGTGCCACTCGGTCTAGGACCGAATGTTGGGGTCTCATGCAGCCGAACGCAAGGAATCTCCTTCGACGGTGCATCCGATTTTGTTTTCGCTTTTCCTCTAAGAGGAATAATTTATTCGAAGAGACAGGGCATAGTGCATCGTGAATTCAGCAAAGGGGGCTCTTCTTGGTCTGGATGATGACCATCGGAAACCTGCTGCAGAGCGGAAAGAGGAGGATAGAGAGGATTTCGAGCTGTTGGGACTCGCAGACGAGGACGTAACTGCCGAAGATGTTGATTTGGAAGCGTCGGCAATGGTTGATGATGATCAGGAGGCATGCAAATGTTTGATCGTCGACTGATCGTCTGAAGTAGCTGGGGGCATGATGCTTATCCACCATAAACACTTGAATTCTACGGCGTAGGTAGTAGCGGCCTCGGAGTGCTAATGTAGAGGCTCTCTCTCCGCCTTCTCATCAAGGCGGTCGACTGAGAGCTTGAATTGATACCTCAATCGCCTTTGATACCATCACCCCACAAATGCAATGAAATCTAAGAATGCGATCGCCGCGGCTCCCGTGACTTTCCATCAGGTCCTAGCTCTCTCGATATCGTTGGGGAATACGTGCTCACAATGAGCGTGGTATCCCATTGCGAGGGCCGCCAATGCTTAACAGGAACATTGCAAAGGCAGTTGTGGTAGACACCCACGATCTGCATCATGGAAGTTTCGATGGCAGTGAAAACGGTGCAAAGGCTTCCAATCATTACCAAAGGCCACCAGGCGTAAGCTTGCCAGTTTCGATCACCGGCTTTACCCCAGCGGAGTCGCGTCACGGGCGTGTGAAGGGACTCCCTCATGGTCGAGGTAGGTCGATTCGATATCCCAGATCCAAAGAGCGATGAGCCAAGATTGGGACAGCATGTAGGCCAACAAAGTTATTGAGCGGCACGATAAGCCGGCGCGCGGGGTATAGAATGATGCTAGAAAGGCTAGGATGGAGGGAATGAGTATCAGTACCAATGATCATCCGATCACGTATCTTCATTTTGACCTTCAAGCCTTCAGGCGCACTCGGATTTGGACCTTCGCAGACGCGTTTGATCCAGGTTTTTTTGCTCCGGCGACGGCGCCATATCCAAGCTGGTCTATATCGAGATTCATAGACCAAAGCGAAGAGGTGGAGGTACGCTTGTTGTGGCTCGCAGGTGGTCCCCTCGACCACCCCTTCGAAGATGTTTGGGTTGTTACCAGCAAGGAGGGGTCCGCTGATGATCCCTAGTTGTGTGGGATGACCATGAACCTCATTCCGAGTGCTACCAGAGTGAGTCTACGTTGACAAGACTGAGAGTTCTGACTGCCTACCCAAAGCATGGCTGGTATCATTGTCTCCGAGATTATTGTAACTGTCGATAAGCGTATACAGGAAGGAGCCACCAAAGAAGACCACAGGAGCTGAAAAGACTCGATGAAGTCACAGTGGGTTCCATGAGAAAAGTACAAGGCTGGAATTGTTTCATTATAAATGTTTCAAAGACCCACCTCCAACAGTCACACCGAAAGAATACCATGCAGCAAGCATCGTACGAAGGCGAGTCCTTGTCTTCTTAGTGAAGGTTACCACGACTTCTCCATCTTTTCGGAGAAGGTCATTCATACAACTTCAGGCGGTTTTGTCTACGGCTTCGTTGTCCGGCACCGTAAGCATATTAAGGTTTCCGACCAGTACTGTGTAGAGAAGCTGAGCGCGCTGTGCGATGGACGGACGTCCGTTTTCTCAATCTTCTTTTGTACAAAGCCCATGGTTTTCTGGCCCAGGGAAGCCTCATAGATTCCACTGACAAGAATGGCCCCGATAGCGTGAATATTGTCATAAGCCAGGCATCGTGTCGAGAATAGCAAGCACGGCGGCAATCAAGGCGAAGAAGGGTGTGCGAAAAATATTCGATGTTATCTCATTAAGTGGTACATCAAACAGTCCTTCAGGAATATGGAGCTTGCTTCGTCGAGGAATTGCCAAACAGAATGCCACAGACGGGATCAAGAAGGCCAGAAACGGGTTCACCCATTGATTGAGTTTCAAAGTTCTGGAACGCTGCTACCCAGAGCACGTGCTTCTGCAAAAACTAACGGTGATGCTGGCTAGAACCCGTGTACCGGCTTGATTTTCTACTCGGTAATTAGCCTCCATTGTCGACGACAACTCATGCTTTTCTAGTTCTAGCAATGTATTAGAATAGCTCGCGCCGCAAGGACTCTACCCGTTGATAAGATGTTCCCAGCTGCCCACAATGTACGAAGGGGTGTTAAATCCCACCAAGGATCCACTGTCAACCTTTAGAGACAACATACAACAACGGGTGAAGTCTTGACCACTCAAAATCAGAGCGCGTCTCGAGGCAGCCTTGTCGGAAAGTTTGAGAAGCTGTGGGAATGTTTCCGCAATTTCTGTGGGACTGGTGGTGTTAGTAGTGTTGTTGATGATACTCTTTGAAAACTCAACGAGGCTGAATATCAACAGCCATGATGCAGTGTGAAAATATTGCATACTGTATGGTCATGTCACTGCGCCGAGCGCTAAGGGTATCTATTTGCGACTGCTGGGATCAGGTCGGCGATCCATCGCAAATGCTCGACTCCGGTTATGGTGGCCTTGCATAATTAACAATCTGATTTGTGTATTTGTCGCCACAAGATGGACGGCTGCAAATGATGTACAGTATATAAATCAACCACAACTGACGTGAGGCTAGGTTGATCCCATGTATGCTATTGGGGTTTTGCTCGCTTGGGTGTGGCTTGGAAATGTTGAGAGTGGGTTGCGATACATACTCAGGGCATGGACCGCACCAAATGGGAGGCACCTTGCGCATGAGGATCCAATCATAAGCGTCCAAAGAAGTGACAAAGAGTGCAATTAGTAAGGACGAAATCAGCCATACACCAGAAAGATAAGATCAAATGCGAGTGCGTATGACAGGTGACGTCTGATCCAACTCAGCCACCACTACGCAGTGTGAGCCTCGTCGCGATTTTGCATAGAATATGGAAGGTAAGATAAATGCTCCGAGTAAGGGGTCGTGCGATTAGTGGGATTAGCCGCTAGGTCCCTTCACGAAGCAATCTCGCAGACAAGTCCGGTAGCCGAAGTTTTGATATGTAATCATGTAGATAGCGAGGGAAGCGGAATGGGATCAGAATGATAGGGGACTTGAGTGTGCAGAAACAGCAACCGTCCCGCGGTCCTTCTGACGGAGATTCAATGCCAATAATAAGATAGTGTAATAGAACCTTCTATCAGTCGAACTCAATCCTCTTCCCCCGCAAGAAATACTCACCCGCAAATCTGAATACAAACCATCCAAGGTACGTCCCCGTGACGATGGTCACCGGCCACTTCTGCCACTCTCGATCCCAGTCCAGTGGTATAGGTACCTGTATGACGATTAGTCTTCATTGACCCTATCCACAAGGGAAGTCTTCCAACGGACTGCACCGAGCCAAGCTCCCACTACTGCCCCTACCAGACCTCCCCATACTTCGTCAAATGGTAGACAGGCTCCGGATATTTCCCTCCACATGCGCGCGTTGACGCCGTGCACGTAGAACAGGGGCAGGACACCCAGCAGCGATATATGCGTTGCGCACAGTAGATTGTGCCAGAAATGGGTAGTCAGAGGGGCGCCGAAGAGTATGAGTATAACGGTCAGCAGCGGAGCCGAAAGCGAGAGGCAGAGGAGGAGGGAGATAATCGCAGGCTGTGTTGGGCGGGTAGCAGACAGTTAGCACTTTCAGCTACAGGCAGCAACGCGACGAAGGAGGGGGAATCCGGATTGCAGCATACAGTGATCCTGGACCCAACAGACGTAGGCTTTGATTTGGCGGATTGGGCGAATTGGACACGCTTCCGAGTTGTAGGGCCCTTTGAAGACGTAGGGGAAGGCGTCGAGCCGCCGGAGGACTGAGGGAGGCAGACCACGCAGTATGTAATCTGAAGGTGGGCAAGAGGAGCGAGAGCCTTGAAGAGGACCGACACTGGGTCGGCGACCAGATAGGGAAAGCAGAAGTAGTAAACAGTGAGAATAATGATGGGGTGGAGGTGGGTGTAGAGGCGGGCGATGTCGCTGGGAAGGACGGAGATGGGCTGGGAGATGGGGATGAGCTTTCGAGGCTTTGCCTCAGTTGTTTCTGTCATCTTGAAGGAAGCATCGTTGTTGTTTCGCAAGAACTCGATTGATTTTCAAAAGACAGTTCAGGGGAACTAGGCCGAATTGGGCTCGCTAGCGGGATGGTTACAACTCTTGCCCTACCTTACCCTCGCCCTCCTGCTTCGGTACACACGTTTGGTTTCTCCAACCAGTCAATATGTTGGTTTGAACACTGCAAGCAGAGACGGGGGAGTAAAAGCTAAGTGATTGCTGCGAACTCGTTGTGCGTGTCTCCTCTCTTCTTCTCTCGACCACGCTGGCCTCGTTTCATCTTCGTCACTATCTAGATCCCTTGCCATGTCTTTACCACGAATCACTACAGTCGTGGGCGCTGGTCTTGGTGGTCTGATCTTGGGCCAGTGTCTGAAAGCAAAGAACATCCCCGCCACCATTCTAGAGAAAGCTTCTTCTTCATCACGTTTCAACTACGGTGTAACACTCCAGCAATCTGTTTACCAGCCTTTACTGCGAATACTTCAGATGAATGAAGCAAGCTTTTTGGAAAAGTGCTCGATTGGTGTGCCTGAGGTCCAGATGAATTCAGCGACTACCACGACGACCATCCGCTGCCATCGCGGAAGATTGGAAGCTATTCTCCGTGAGGGGTTGGACATCAGATGGGAGCAGTGTCTCAAGAGTGTGAAAATGACCCCGCAAGAAATTTCATTGCATGTAGAGAATGGGCCCACGTTTGCAAGTGACACCATTATTGGCGCTGATGGAGTTCACTCGCAGCTTCGCAAGTCATTCATCCCAAGTTCTTGTCTCAATGTTCTCCCCTACGTTGTTTTCAATGGCAGACGCAGCATTACCCTGCAAGATTACAAGCATGGACTCCAAAAACACATGTCGGGCCAGACGATAATCCATGCTCTACGTGGTAATGTGCTGTTCCGGGTGTATGTGAACGAATACACTGCAACAGATGTCTGTTTGGGCTACACATATTCGCGCCCGGCACGGGCCAACGATCAACTTTATGAACCGTACAGACCAACAATTGGAGCGGAAAACATTCCAGAGGAATTTTACGCTGAACTGTCACTGTTCAAGCAGAAGGAGCTAGGGCAGGGATTTGCAGACATTTTTGACAGCGAGAAGGTTCGCCAAGACAGAGTCTTGCATTGGTTGATGCGAAGCAGCACGGTCCCACTCAAAGAGATTCAGGATCTTGCAGTCCGAGGTGTTTGGCTGATTGGGGACGCAGCCCACCCAATGCCAATCTTGGGTGGGGAAGGTGCAAATAAGACCATCACAGATGCGATAGTATTAGTAGATCATCTCTCGAATGGATCGGCTTCTAACAAGAACGAATTCCTTAAGAAAAGACACCAAGAGTGGAGAAGGGTTGTCGACGAAGGCGAAAGGAGACTCTCTGAGATGCATGGTTTAGGCTTCCCTTCGTTGTGATATTGTCGCTATGAAGCCAACCACGCTCCTCTGCTTCGACTACCGATCCGATTACGAAGTATCGCTAATGACGAGAGAACTTTAGAGACGTACAGCCATGACCACAACTCGGCGAGCGATGGAAATAACTTGGAGCATGACGTCACTCATACCGCTTCCATCGCTTCCATTTTGGCTGCGGTTGAGCCAAAATCGTGTCTTAGTTGGAGCCTTTCCTTTGGGCGAGCATGTATTTGCATTTGAAAAACGAGAAGACGATGCATGCCGAAAGGCTTACCTACGATGATGGTCTTTGTGAGACGAGCGCCAGGCTTGGTGATGGTCTTCAATACCCCGAAAGGTTTGCATGAGTAAAATTTTCATGTCGGCTCCATTCATCTGATGCCGAATATAGGCCGACGGATTGCGGCTGGACGTAATATTCAAGCCAGGAGCATTGTTGACATCAGCCCAGTCCTCGTCATGCCATTCGAAGAGCTCGATGCTGTCAAATTAACCACCCTATATCATTACACATAGTAATTATGGTGCTGTGTGTCTATGTTGCTTGCTCGGTGAAGCTCAATATACTAGCAACTGGCCTGTTGACGAGTAGGACAGTAACACGCCATTCCAGACCCACGCGGTAGCGCTAGGCCTGGGTTCTCTCTTCAATCATTGTTGAAATCTCGATCAGAAAGTAGGCTGACAGAGAGATCCGGTCACTCAGTGTATCACATATAGAGCACTCCGAGATATCCGAGCTGGAAAGAGCTGTACGTTATGTTGAAGACCAGACTTTCTACTTCAAATGTTGAAACCTGCATCATGTCTGGGATTGTGTCTTCTTGTAGACACATTTCATGGCTCGATGCCCGCCTTAAAAAGGCGATGCTGATTCCAAAATGAGAATCCAGGTGCATCAATTACGGACGGTTGTGGTTCGTTGACACAGACACAGAAAGGATGAACGAAGACAAAGAGGACAGTATAGACGTTCTGAGTAGACTACAAACTTCGTGACACGTTGTTTAGCAGACCGGATCTTGCCATGAGATTCAGAGCCCATTGTTCATATCTGATGAAGTGGAAAATCAGTGTGTGTTCTTAACACCGCAGTGCTGCACCAATCAATCTTCTGACTCAGGAGTTTGGCCCCCAATCTATGCCAAGAGGCCTAGAGCCTGGGGTAGTGTTCCAGGGGCTTCTAGGCAAGATCTATCTTAGCTCATCGGCCCTTAACAGACCGATGCAGCAGTGGCGCATGCATCCGCCTTTGGGCTTGAACGCGTCGTACCTGTCATGAACCTCGTGACTTCCTTGGGCTTATTCAACTTGCTACTATCCGTCTTAACACTTTCTACTTATCTCTGACGACACTTCCCCACAACCCTCAACACTCCCTCTACCTAACTTCTTATCATCATCATCATCATCATCATCATCGTCACCATCTTCATCCATCCATCTATCTATCTATCTCACATCATCACCTACGAGACCTTGCTTGCTTAACTTACCTTGCTTGCCCTCATACCGTCATCCATACAGTTATCTTGTACCACATACCTATCTATCCATAGTCGTCCTTGACTGAGTCTCCCAACATGCGCACCTCACGCTCATCATCCAACGCCTCTTCAACATCAACACCTTCATCTCCATCCTCAGACAACTTCCAGATCTTTGTCAAGCTGCTATCTGGAGACAGTACGGGACCCAAATCTTCATAGCAGAGTACAACAGAGCTGACGTACGACATAGCCATCCCTCTGACCGTCCCTTCAGACACCACGATATCAACCCTTCGCCAGCTACTCTCGTTGCGAACATCCGCCCCAACAACAGACATCCGCCTCGTCCACGCCGGCAAGCATCTAACCTCCGCCGATGCCTCATCCGGCACATCCACAACTCCAATCTCTGACCTCCTACCCCCATCCTCGACTCTCCACATGGCCCTGCCCATCCGCGGCGGCATGCCAGCGAAGAAGATAAAATGCACGTTCAAAGATTGCAAAGACGGAGCGCAGAGGATAGTGGGTGATTGCTCGTTCTGCCAAGGGCATTTCTGCGGCAAGCATAGGATGTTGGAGGATCACAAGTGCAGTGGGCTGGAAGACTGCAAGAAGGAGAGTCATGAGCGGAACGCGGATACTTTAAATACCCAAAGGACGGTGGCTGTGAAGGGTATCTAAGATGTGGTGTGTGTGGGAAATGGGGGGCTAGGAGAAATAGAGAAACATAATACAGATATTCTTCACAGACTGCGTTAGCTATTCGTTGTGATGCTGATTGCGACGTACGCTCATGATCTGCTTGGACGGTAAAATTTTGTTTCTCGGTTTGCGAATGTCTGGTTCTGATTAAGTGCAATGTGTTGTTTGGAACTGATCTCCCTGATATGGTCCATACTTCTATTCTACTATCCGAGCGCCCAAGCAAAACCCTTGCCTTGTCCTTTATCCAAGCACCATCCGCTCCGGACTTAATGTCGTGTCTCACAAACGAGCTCTGGCTTCCTGACTCCGATTCCGTCATCAACGAACTCGTCCGAAAAGTGCTCTTCCATCAATGTCCCGATATATATTCATAAACCATAACGGACCAGATTCATGCACTGTCGACGTCACAGGTCTCCGCTCAATCGTCCAATCTTCCGATTTCATCCCCTTCCATCTGGAAGCGCTGTTGATGGAAGCTGGGCATTCAGGCAAGAGGTTCCGAGAAGCATCGGCCTTTCCAAAGCCGGCCATCAAAGCAATAGGAGAGCACGAGCTGGAAGCCGGATCCATGTGACTAAGAGCTAACTAAATTGCCGTCCCTTTTTTAATTCTTATGTACACCCCCAAGCCGTCGTTGCAGTCATGGATCCCAATGCCAAAGCTCCAAGTCGCCATGCAAAGCAAGAATGATCGTCATCGTCATCGTGCTCCCTCCTCCACCGCCTTACTCTGCGTGGGTTTTCCCTTGCCCGTACTACTACTATACTTCCACCAAAATATCGTCCCAAAAACAAGCACCATAAAATTGATCCAGGCGGCCATCATCCACTGGCTCCACGAGATGTTGATTTTCCTCTTCCCTTGCTCCCACTCGTCACAGACCTCCAAGAACCGCTTTGGGTCATCCGTAATCACACCGTCAACTTCCTTGTTGATACTCCACCTCATCATGTCCTCCTCGTTGACCGTCCAGAAGTACAACGGCCTCCCTTTCGCTTTCACATCGCGAATGAAGCGTGCTCCAAAGAATGGCAACATGAGGGTCTTTTGTAGCATGTTGAAGGAAACGTTCGGGACTGAGAGAAATTTGCGCGCGTACGGTATGGAGAAACCGATATGCGTTATGGGAAAGGTGGGCAGGTGTTCCGCGCAGAGAGGAAGGAACTTGACGGCCCAGCAGCCGAGGACCAGGCGCTGATTCCAGGGTTTGAGGGGATGTGGGGGGACGGATTGAACGGTTTCCGCGATGAGGCGCATGACGTTCTCGGCGTCGTTGTCGAGCTAGTCAATTTTTAGAAGCAGTAAGGGTGGGTATAGATCGTACTATACCTTTATGTCTAACAGAAGCCAGACATTCTCCGATCCGGGAGAAGCCAGAAATTCGAGTAGATCTTTGAATCTAGGCATCGGTTCGTGAGGTGCTGCGAGCGTTCGCTGTTGGCTTATGTAGTCCCAGGAGCAGTCTATGATCTTTTCGTCTTTGCCAAAACATCGCTTGAGGGTTGCGTCCTGCACGAGTCTATTAGTCAATCATTTAGTGGTCGTTACCATGTCCAATACCCACATGAGATAACACTACAACGTCGTCCTTGGTCAAGTGTATATCCGTCTCCATCGCGTGGGCCTTGGCTTTAATCGCACCTCGAAAAGCGCCCATGGTGTTCTCTGGATGTTTGGCTTTGTACCCTCGGTGGGCGATTGCCTGGGGCATTTTGCGACCACTAGGATGTTTTCTTGCGAATGTCCAGGATGCTGAATGATGTCAGTCAGCACTCAGATTGTAGAACCGGAAATTAACACGGACGTTGAGGCCGCGCGACGTTCATATCTAAGGAAGGAGCTTCTGCGAGGGTGTCGTAAATTTTGTCGTCGAGTAGGAATGGTGGGACTGGGATAGGTGAGATTTTCTGTATTATAGGTTTGGCTGCCGCCATCATGGCTGTACGCGAATACGCAAGGATTCGACCGAAAGGTAATGTGGGAGTAGAGCGGTTGATGTAGCAGTAGGTCGGATTTATAGGCAGCAGGGAACAAAGAAGCCATTAAAGACGTGGCCAGCGGATATATCGAGTGAAGGGAGTGGGGTGTTAGTACCACTGCACAGCGACGGGGATATGGGGAGGAGATGATGATAATAATAATAATAATAATAATAATAATAATAATAATAATAATAATTATGGATTTGGGAGGCTTCGGAGGTTGGAGGGCAGCAAGGATGGATGATGCAGTCATGGTGCAATCTTTGCGCCAACGATGCTGGTGATACATAGAATGGGAAGCTTCAGATCTGACACGGTAGAGCCAATCAACAACAACGCGCCAAAACCTTTTTGGTTTGGGGCTTGGCACAGATGAAATGGGAGGAATGGGCGTTCTTGAAGCGGCATAGCTGCGATTGCACGAGGAAGATCATTCCTCAATCGGGCCTGCACCCCCATGAAGAAAAGTCAATACCTAAGCGATTTCGCTGACTCTCCTCGCCACCAACCCATACTAAAGTACGGTATACTGGAACAGTGGAAGGTGCACAAGGATGACAATACATACATGTATAACTTTGAGGTCTTGCTTCGGCGGCGAGCAGCATGTTGGAGCACCTAAAGCCGTGCATTTGCTGAACACTGTGAGATCTTGCCGCTCAATTGCGTAGGTGGAGGATGTGGCAGTGCGGGCTCTCCTTTTCAGGATGTTTCGAATCTGTCATGCCGCATGCATGATGCGTGGGCTCAATGCACCCCGAACCAGGATTTTGGTGTGGTCTACCTCTGCTCGTCGCACATGATTGGGACTGAGCTCTTTGCCCCGAGTGACTGCTGTACTCCGTGCGGCCGAAAAGTCTAAGACCTTGGCAGTCCGGCATGGATACATCCACCGATTGAGACTGTTCACTGAGGGTACAATAACCGGCATCGGTTGGTGGATACTTCCCTGCCAAGAGCTTAGGCTTTTCCGCCACAAGCAGATGCGTTGGAAGAAGCTCTGCTGTTATTGACAGCTTCTTCGCGGCAGAGTATTGGCCTGGAGAAAGAACGCTGTCAGTCTTTGCACGAGACAGTTGGTTGAAGATGCCTCACAGGATCGTAGACATGTAGCCACCTGAAGGCAAGTCAACGCTTATTGGAACCTCAATTTGCTCATCTCCTGCATATGCCTAGCCTCTTGCGAAAGTGCGAAATGGACTACCTAAGTCAAATTTCTTCTCAGACTCAAAATCAACTTGAGGTTTACAGGGGCCATCCATCCAGCTGGGAAGGATAACAGAAAACAGAAACGGCAGCATTGGCGTCCAAACAGCGCAAGCTTGCTCAATTGGGCCCTGACGTGCTAAAGCAACCGCGCCATCTGAAACCATTTTGAACAGGATTACCCAGTCTAAGTATTTGTAGGAAGTCTCTGCGGGTCTGTCGAACGTAACGACGAGGTTGGGTGGATCTCCATCAGGGAAAAATGCGAGAGTCAGGTTTCTTTCTGAACGTGTGCAGCAAAGTCTGGACTGCATATCGGGCGAGACGACAGCCGTTTCCCACCTTGCAATTTCCCTGATCCATGAGGCCACCTGTTCATCTGCTTCCCGTTGAACGGTCATCATGCCCGTCAATCCATCGCTATGCATAGACCCTCGCCCCTCTCCATCCACGGTCCGCCACTGTGCAAAGATCTTTCAGGATCTGGAACAGAAAGCGTCATTCTTAGAATCGTTATACTCTACGAAGATTACTTTCGCGAGGTTCTTCATAGATACGGGATTATATCCAACAGAGATGCACCACACAGCCTCGATGTTGCTCACATCATGTCTAAAATTGGCCTGTGAGAGAGTCAACATTTTGGTCCGGAATTGGCGTCCTAGTGGAAAGGCCATCCCGACACAGTGACTCAAACGGCCATCATCACCTCGAAGAGCTCCAAAATACGCCCGAGCGAGAAACCCAAAGCTTCAGGTGCAAAAGACGCGCGCGCGAACAAACGTCAACGCAAGACCATGTCGAATTCAGAGTAATGCCTACTTCTCCGATAGAAGTTCTCTTGCAGCGAGATATGGAATGGAGGGGCGACGATGTCACCAAGTTTGCAGCAGATATAAGCTCGAGGGTTCGTGATGCGGACACGCTTGTAGGCGCACCAAGTATCAAAGCCGTCGAGTACGTTCTCTTGCAGTGGGGCACAAGGTGTTGGGTTGGCCATGTTAATAAATTTGCAGTACAAGGAAAAGTCGGATGTCAATGATGCAGATATGCTTGTAGGCTCTCAGGTTGTCAAGGAAGCAGACATAGGCAGTACTGTAGCGAGAAAAGCTGAGGGAAAATCTCAGCCAAGTGGTTTGCAGCGAGATGTGCAGGCAGAGGTCGTCACCGCAGATGAGCTTGCAGTGGAGCAACGTGGAGGGCCATTCAGCGGAACCGAGGCCGCTGAGCTCTTCGAATTTGAACACCCGGGGGTATTGTTCAATCTCCAATGCAATGATTGAGGATGGCATATTAGATATCTCTGTTGTTGTAGGGCTTTTGAGGTTATGAACCAACGAGTTGCGAAGAAAACAGCATATACAAAGATGGGTGGACAGAACTCAAGCTTTCAAACTTGCTATTCTCGTGTATCAAAATCGACTTTCAAGCCTCAAAATTTCAGTAGTAATACGGATATGCAGATGGACTTGTGGTGACTGGAAGTTGCCCTTTTGCCTCTCATCCAAGCCGGAATAACATGGCCTAGCCTCCGCTATGCTAGGCATGCCCTTATAGTACATTGATATATTGAGTAGTGTGATAGAGCCGGTGTATACCCTTGTCCAAACTTGAATGTGCCACGATATGGTGCAAGGAGTAGGCGTACCGATGGCATTATAGAAGCGCCCTGGTCCATCGATACGCAGATATACTCGCTAGCTTTGTAGACCATCAAGGCTCCATCTAAGCTTTGCTTTTCTCGTCATACTTGTCATGTCATCGGCCTGGCAGCTGTCCTGATTGCATGGCGACATTCTGTTCCTGGAAACGCTGTCCCAATCTCTCCGATCCTTTTAGGTATTTGTCAACACACTTCATTACGCAGCCTTCCTCTTTTGATTGAAGAGATTTTGTTGTGAAATCGTTCACGCAGTCGTCAAAGCATCTCTGGACCAGCCTCGAGTACATCTAATTGCACGTGATGAGCAAAGCCAAGGAGAAATTTGATAGATTGAGTGCCTTGGTGTGCAGTGACCAAGGGTACGGATTAGGACCAGACTCACAGTCATGAACTCTTTCATCTGCTTCTTTTCCATCCGACCTTGCAGCTCACGCTGCTCTTGTGCATTGAGTCTGGTAGAAAGGGCAATGTCAGTAAGATGCCCAGTACTCTTAGATACTTTGTAGTATTTGCCATTTCGGTACTCACCCATCCATTCTGTTGTTTCCACAAGATGTCCTCCGTATTAGCAGTGAAACAAAGCTCCTGTGCGTTTGATGTGTGATGAATGGAGCTTATGTTGAAGGTCTAGGTGTTTAAAGAATCGGAGACAGTTTTGAACCCGCGCGCTAAAGAGTTGGACTACGGCAGCATGGATGTGTCCCGTGTGTAGACTAGTGCAGTTGTCAATTTCTCATTCCAACCTCCTTAGGCACGACACTCAAAAAGTCCCTATAAACACAGGGTCACTGGTTTGTAGGCCTGTCTTGTCTTGCTTGGAACCTGTTTCTCCGTCTCACTTGCCCAGCACAAAAGGATCCACTGCGCATTGGCACCTGTCAGCTGCAAATCCCCGCGAAGCTTGACCTGACTATACCAACCGAAGGCTCGAGATCCCTCCTCCCTTTCTACGGCTGGTGCAGTACCTTTCGCGATATTCATGCAGTGAATTTGCTGCTATCCAACGAGCTACCGTTTTGGCCAACCTCGTCTGGAAGGCTGAACGACCACTCAACTGGCTCAGAAAAGCAACAGCTGTCAGATCAACATCAGCCAGCTCTGACACCTGGCACACATCCAGGGAACGTTTCAGAGCGAGTCTACCGCCCTAAGATACAGCGAATTTGAAACAGGTACAACGGTCGCCCTACAGCAGGATAGCAGGGCTAAGCCAGTAATATTGGCGCGTGGCCGTCGGCGCGACAACAATCCAGGCACGCCTGAGTCGCAGACTTAAGGGGTATCGCGCCATACAAGCAACCTGCCTAGGTCGCGCACGGGAACTATATCACTTTGAAGATTCTGCGAAGGAATGCGCATTACTCCAAATTCCTTGGTCAGGTGAAGCAGGACGGTCGGAATCTATTTTGGGACCAGGGTCGATCGTGACCAAATCCTCGTCAGAATCGCAAAATATCACAAACGTTCAGGAAATACTTCCTTGCTAGCAATTGTCTTCAATATGGCTGCGAACAACGTTCCGGCATCAGCCGTTGCCGCTCCACAGCAGCAAATACCTTTCGCAACGCAGAACGCTGCATCTCCACCCTCAAAGCGTGATCTCGCATCATGGTGGAAAACTTTCAAAAAGAATGCGAGGAGAGAAGAGGAAAAAGGTGAGCTTGCTGTTCTGCTACGTCAATGGCCAGTCCTTCTGTGATCCTGAAGGCGCGAGCAGCAGGAGAGCGTTCGAGGGCTACCCGATTGTGAATAGAGAATCATTTCATCAAGCACTCAAAGATACTCTTGCTCTTTGAAGTACGTGGTCTGAGCTCACCGCAATGACCAAACTTTCGTGCGAGGCTCTGCCCAACCCACGACGGCATCATCGTAGCCTGAGTCCCTGAATACACCCTTCAATCTTTTATCTTCTCGCTTGAGCTGGTGCTCATTCTATATGCTGACATGTCCGTCAAAACAGTACAAGCTCCCGTCGGCATATTCGGCGTTCCGCTGGAAGTCAGCATCAAATATGCAAATGTCGCCATCTCTCTCACAAACGAACAGGGAGAGAGTTACGTATATGGATATGTACCGATAGTCGTTGCAAAATGTGGAGTCTTTCTCAAAGAGAAAGGTAAGACCATGTACACCCAGCTTTTTTTGGCGCATTTTCTTACAATTCGGCTTCAGCTACCGACGTCGAGGGCATCTTTCGGCTAAGCGGCTCTGAAAGACGTATCAAGGAGCTACAAGTACTGTTTGACTCTCCTGATCGCTATGGCAAAGGACTTGACTGGACAGGGTACACCGTCCACGATGCAGCCAACATCTTGCGGCGATATCTGAATCGTCTGCCACAGCCTATCGTCCCCCTCACCTTCTATGAACGTTGCCGAGATCCTCTTCGAAGTCATCAAGCCCAAGCGGTTGGCGATATGGAAGCCCAAGCTCAGGATGTGGGCGATTTCGATCATGAAGGAGCTATAACAACCTACCAACGATTAATCACAGAATTACCGCCATTAAATCGCCAGCTACTTCTGTATATTCTGGACCTCCTTGCTGTATTTGCTTCCAAGTCCGAACTCAATCGAATGACGTCTGCCAATTTAGCTGCAATATTTCAGCCAGGAATGTTGTCACATCCAAGCCATGACATGGAGCCTCCGGAATACCGGCTTAGTCAAGATGTTATCATTTTTCTCATTGAAAACCAGGACAACTTCCTGGTTGGTATGAGTGGAACTGCAGCGGACGACAAGACTGTCAAAGAAGTACAAGGCGGCGTTCAACGTCGACCAAATACGCCAACCAGGCTTTCTCAAGCGGGCCTGGGCAGGTCAGCTTCAAACGCAAGTGCAGGTGCAGACAGCCTTAGAAAGCAGGGGGGCGTCCGGAGGAACGTGTCTGTCTCTTCGAAGAACTCTAGATCCTCAAGCAATGTTCCAAGCCCCGGCTCTCCAGCTCCTGGAAGTCCACTGGCAGCTACTACTTCCGGAGGAGGTGTTCAAAGGAGTAACACCGTCCCGTCGAAGAAGTCGCCAGCCATCCCTTCGGCTCGATTCAGAAATGCGGAGCCATCGACGCCTACATCTACCAAGCTCTCGCCGGGAGCTTATATCTTGACTTCGCCTCGAACATTATCACCCGGATCTAAATTAGCCCCCACAACTTCAGAGACTCGCTCTCCTTCAACTCCCACACAAATCGCTCCTAATACTCATAGTCCTTCAAGCCTGAACTCTGTTCCAGAAGCAAAAGAATCGAATGCCAGAAAAACCAGCAGAGAAAAGCCACCATCGACCGAGAAGCTTTCTCTACGAACGGCAGAACATGGTGGAGTCAACACCACGATCACTTCGGGTACACCTAATCGGGAACGCAAGAACATTTTCTCAAAGTCCCCGTCGAGTGACAACGATCGCAAGGATGTGCGCCAACCCAACAAGTTGAGGAAAAAGCGAGTTCCAGAGCTGTCACCTAACGCTAGCGCTCAAAGCTCGACACACTCATTGGTACACGGCGCGCCGGAATCGCCGTCCAACCAAGGATTTTTCACGCCTATGCCTACGCCCGGCTCTAGCACTCAAGTGGCCAGCGATTCATTGTCGCACGTACCTCCTGTAATTGCCAACACAGACGCAACACCTCCATCTGGACTACCGCCCCGAATAGGTGAGCTGGATAAACTTAGCGCATTCCATGTATCACAACCGAGCAGTAGCCGAGATGTCAGTCCCGCCCTAAAGCCTTCAAGATCTCCAGCCCCTTCGATACATTCAAGGACTTCTGCTACCGAGGATTCTGAGGTAGAGCACACTGACGGTGGGGCGGCTGCTGGGACGAAGAAGAAACACCGATGGAGACTATCATCTACCGCCAAACCCAGCAACGGTAAAGCTCCAGCGACTTCAGGAGCGTCGCGATTAGGCTCAAGTGCCGTCGCAGAAAAAAGCACGAGCTCTCTCGTGAGCGAAGGAAGGCCACGAAAGTCGACGACAGTTGATTCACACCAAACACAGCAAACTACTGACACCGAAGCAGCAAAGTCATTGGGCATCCAACACTCTAGCAATGAGTCTACGCCATCCAAGGATAGAGAAATAGCCAAGGAGAAGGACAGTGTGGATGAAAAGGAGAAAAAAGGGCCATTTGGCTGGATCAAAGCCAAGGTCGCCCACGCTAAAGAAGAAAGAAAAGAGCGCGAAGCCGAGAAAGAGAGGGCGAAAAGTCCACCTCGTGCAGGTAGCGAGCATGCTGCGAGTAAACAAAGTCTAGGCAGTCTTGGCGCCATCGCGCAAGAAGGTCTGCCAGTTCGAGGAAGGTCAATTGAGCCTATAGCAGCAGGTACGCAGGAGAAAGAGAGAGAGGCAACTGTCGCGCAATAATGATGGAGAGAGGGAAAATAATGACCTCGAGATTTTCTTTTTTGTCCCATGTGCCAAAAGATTGTTGAGAAAATATGAGAGAAGGGACTGATATGGGTTGGCATGGAAGGATACCCCTGCTTCGATTAATTGGAGAGACTGTTTGGCCTATAGGATTCTACGCGGCTGGGTCGCCGGCGGATCTCTTTGCGTGTCTAGATAGTCACGCTCTTATACGATGGACTCTGGAACAAGGATTGTGCCCCTTTCCCGCTTTTCCAACGAATCATCTAGAGGTCTGTACTTGAATGCCCATCGCTGGCGACCTTCACCTAGACCGCAATGCATGACCGTACAGTACACAGGCGTGTTAATTACGGGTGTAGTCTCTCTTCACAAGAAGCAGGCAAGGCGTCAGAGAAGGTGGCAGTCTGCGGTGCTGCCTTCTTTTCAACTCTTACACGTTCAATGGTAATCACGTTTCTTATTGCCGCAACCTCTGTGTAATAGATCCAAAAGTATTGGATGAGTGCTTCAAGGATAGAAAGCCCCCACAAAAGTCCACTTGACTCCTTGCCTCTGCAATTGCAACTCTTAACGCATCCTGCTACCATCTGTTTTTTGTGGCACCTTGTCTGAAGTGCGAAAAGAGATCGGTTGCCATTTGTGCTGACACGGGGATGCAGGAATTGATTGCGGAGATTTGGTCGGGCTGTACGTATGTTGGAAAGGGACTACATCTCAGCCGGTAGCAACATTGTTCTGGATCGTAGAAATCACTACCAAACCATAGTTAGCCGAAAGAAAGTTCAGGCATAATATATGCTGCTATGAGCTGTGTCGAAATATTCAATGACCTACGTCCTGGACAGAAGATTGATTGAAATCCAGAACCTTTTGGAAGGTCAAGCAGCCCAGTAAGCTTACCCGACCTTACTTCTGAGGGTATGTTTACCTTCATCCGTCGAGCCAGTGCAACAATATTCCTACTCGTACTCCCGCAGTAGCGAGCATCCGGAAATCGAGCATAGGTAATTACGGGCCGTGAGTATTATGAGAATAATTTCTCTTTGTAACGAGCATTTTCTCGTCCGTATATACTCGGTAAGTTTGCATGTTTCGCCATCATACGCTTTCATCGACGCTGCTAGAAGGGAACTCATGAGCAACACGCCACCAGTCTCTCTTGAACATACAGCGCATGTTAGAGAACGTAGACCATATAGACCTCAATTTCGCGAGTAATTACTCACTTCACCAAGTACTTACCGAGCAAATTGTCGACAGAGTGAGGACAGTCTAGTCTCAGTAATTCAGACTCGCGGCTAGCCGGGGTACCTATGGCCAGCCCTACACTCGTGCCTCGCTTCGGGGGCCAATCATATCGCAAGCTCATTACGGCATACCCCTCCCTTAGACAGGACAGTCACAGTTATCGCTTACTTCGTCACTGATCCGAGAATAGAAACACGCTATTCCCCAAAGAAAAACTTGGCGCATCCCATGGATGCGAAGAAGTCCAAATTCTTCATCATCCTCATCACTTTCTTCCTCGGCGGAGTCTTCGTATTTCCTGTCAACCTTCTGACGCAGGCATTGCCTCTGCTCTTTTCCTATTTCTTGTAAGATACTCATCCATTGGACCGTGTCGAAGACACTGCCTTCTTCGTAATCACGCTCGCTTGCGCCGTCTCAGCTTTGCAACTTGCCATCCGTGTCTTCACCGTCCATCATCATCATAGCATCCTGCCCCTTCGTACAAGAACGAGATTTCGGCCTCAGTCACTCGCTCAGCATCACCTAGAGGTTCGTCGCAACTGTACCTTCTGCTCAAGCCTTCGCGGCAGATGCTTTACTCCATTGATACTCTATTGATCGTGGCAGAGCTGGGAAGCTTATTTGTGTTCCGTCGTTGTACTGACTGACCTGCAGCGCATTCAGATCCTTTACCGTATTTACCATCCTAAATTCTCCCTCTCATTGATTGAGTCGAGAGCCACACCCTCTCATCATGCATTCCATACGCGACATTCTATCCATGTCCTTACTCCTCACCCTCTTCTCCTCCTTCGTGCAGGCACACCGACTACACCAAAGCCCGCAAAACCAAGAGGAAGAGTCGGGCTTCGCAGGACTCCAAAAGCTGCTGGATCAAGTCGATGCGCCATCCCTACATGCCGCCCTGCACGATCTCTCGCCGAAGAAATTCAAGCACGGCATGTTCCAGGACGACCGCACGGCAGTGGAAGCCATACACAAAGATGAGCCATCCTTAGCCACCAGCGTTGTGAACATTGCCAAGCGTAACGTTATGGAGGACATCAAGAAGGACTTGGCCAAGCGCGCCCAAGAGATAAGCAACGGGACCACCACGACCACCACGCCTGCCGCCAGTGTTCCTGAGTCATCCCATACAGGCTTGGCTACACCCGTGCCTCAAGGTGGAGGCTTGTCGTCGAGCACAACTTCAAGTCCAAGCACGGATACAAGCACAACCCTTGCAGGGGCAGGCTCCAGCATGCCTTCTACCATCACGTCGACCAGCACTTCATCCAATGGAGCAATTGTTGCTGGCTCAGACTCACACTCAACCACTTCAGCTTCAACCTCTGCAGGCGAATCGCCTTCCACTACCGCCACCTCCTCAGCCTCCCTCACACATGGCGAGGTCATCACGAGTACCAACAGCGTAGGCCTCACCATCGTCTCCACTGTCGGCGGCGGAGTACACACCATCTCACCCTCACCCGGAAGCTCAACCCCATCAAGCAGCATGACACAATCTTCCATAACCAGCACCGTCGTGCACACGAGCACACTTCCTAATGGCAGTCAATCTGTCGTCACAGCAGTTACCATCGTTGGTGCAGGTGCAGCTGCGGCAGATACGCCCACAGGCACAGCGGGCGTCGCAACCGCAGGATCATCTTCTGGAAGCCCTAGACTACAGACTGGAGAAGCGCCTATGATGAGGGGATGGTGCAAGGAGATGGTGCTGGTGGTTGGAGGTGCAGTGGGAGTTGCGATGATGATGTGAGAGGCAGGTTCGAATGCACGCGTAGCCCGCGTTCCTTTTGTTTGCTATTACTGTTCGCAGACGTGAATCCGAGGACGTAGGTGGTTGAAAGCTGGGGGGAGGGTTCCCAGCCGTTCGTCCAAAAGTCGTCATCTACCCGGAAAGGTCACATTTGGAGAAGCGATGGCCGTTGAGACGCTGGAAGAGACACCATGTAATTGCTGAGCTAGCTACTTGAACATACGGAGATGCAATTTATGCGCAGTACACATCTATGAAAACTTCCTTGTCCCCTGTCTCCGCTCCTGGCTGGTCCCCCCCCCCCTTTATCCACGTATTGCCATGTACCGTCACCACGGTCAATCCACAATGTGTCAGGACCGAGCCAACTCTCAAAGCGAGAGCTACGCACAACTTTTTTTTGGCTAAAGATACCGTGAGTCCCGACACCGTACCGTAAGATACCCTATGCCGTTCCTCGGCGCCAGTCATTGACTTCCCGTCCAGAGGATGGCAGCGCAACGCGAGGGATGTCGGCAGAGGATCACGTTCGCACAGGTACGCTTTACATTCTGTATGTAGATGGCTAGGTGCCGTGATGGGAACGTGGCAAGCGCTCATTCTATACCCTGGTCCATGGATGGGCTGCAATCAGATGAATGATTGCATTGGTTTGGGATCAGGAGAATGAGAGAGTGTGATGTTTCCAAGGTTTTTCTTTGTGGGATTCGATATTTACAATGACAGCCAGCTTTATACAAATCGCGTCAAGGGTTCCAAAGTAGAACCTCTTGCGTTGGGGTATCTCGTACAGCGTTTCGCCAAAACTCCAAGCAGAGGGGAAGAGACAACACCCAAGACAAAGTCCCCATCCCAGCACCAACTCGAATCCACAATTGGCCTCCGTCGCACTCCACGGCAGTCATACAATCTTCTTTCTCCTCGCTTACAATCTTCTTTCTCCTCGCTTGTCTCGGACGGTCACTTGTACCGCTCGCAAGAGACCATCCACAGGGCCATGGCGTTGGGCCATCTCGACGCTGCAGTGACGAAGTCTCTCTCTTGGTCGGTGCCGTCGAAGTCCTCTGCATCCACCGTCATCTCCATCACCAAACGGTTGTGGAGACCGACGATCCGCAGAAGCGCGTTCTTCTTGTCCATTCCGTCTCGGATAAGAAGCTGCACGGCGGAGAGTGGATTGCCTGAGGAGAAGTCCTTGTCGAATCCCAGGATATCATTTTGTAACCCTAGGATCAGCGGCAGGTTCTTCAGAGGCCCGATGACTAGGGGCCCTGAGGAGGCGGGGAGGCCGAACGACGCTTGCAACAGGACAAGCAGAGGTCGTGCTGTGGGAGGAATATATATGTATTAGCTTTGAATGAATGAATGCGAGGAAGAGTTGGGAAGAGGGGAATATATAGGCAATGCAAAGACGTTGCGATGAAAACGGAATCGACACCGACAAACAAGGAAAGCGAATCGGATCAAGAAAGGTGGCAAGCTACCAGAAATTGTAAGAACACGTAAGTCCAGCCACTCCTGCATGGTAAACTTTTGGTCATCCAGATCCTGTTCTGCCAGCAAGGCGCGCGCGACCGTGGCGACCTCTGACCAAAAGACTTCTTTCCAAGGCTCACGGATTGGATCCACGGGATCAAGAGGGTTTTGATTCGTAATAGAAGCCGTCTGTACTGCACTATGGAAAGCCCCCATGAGACTCACGGCCAAGGGAGACGAAGGCAGGGGATCGTAGGGGGATCTTGATAGGATGGAGACGATGTTCTCTAGCGCAATCCGGGTGTCTTTGTTCTCGGTCAGGTCTGTCATGTAATGAGCATCTATTTGACACGATATTTAGGTGGCACGGAGTAATAGCCACGCGTCGGAGACTAGTTTTATTTTGACAGGTGTCACACTGCGGCTTACCGTCGAGCACACAAAGCCATGACCAGAAGCAAGCAGCGACGTGGCGAGCTCCGCAAGAAGTAGCCCAGGGTGGGAACATCCTCCCAACGAGGTCTTCCGGATTTGTTTTCTTGATGGTAGGTGCAGCAATACCTGGTAGACCGGCCAAAAACCTGGTAAGGTCGATAGTGGACGTCGCATGCCGAATATCTCCGGCCAGCGAAGCCCTGCCTGAGGGAAGAGGCAAAGTCAGAGTATACTCTTGGCGAAGTCTCTCACTGCGAACGGCTTGGGCAAGAAATCGGCCACGAGGCGGCGTGGGAGGAGCACGAAGACGAGACGCTAAATATCCTTAGTGAAGCTATGTGGAAGTGGAGTAGCATGAAGCTTACAATAGATGTCTCGGATTTGTCTCGCCACATGGTTCTCTTCCTCGATCAAGGACACCGGCCGTGATTGTTTCTTCGATCGAGACGACGTGGGGCGTGCATGAATGGAGGATGTGCTCCGAGTCTGGGAGCAGAAGATTCGCTCCACGTATCGTTGAAAAACTTTCACTAGGCCTGCTCGGAAGCCGACGCGTGGTGAGTAAAGCCTGTCACGGCAGGCGGCCTTAGCCTCAGGATGGCCTCTACTCATTGCAACAGAAAGCGGAGGTGTCAAGAAGGAGGATGTCGGCCGAAATTCAACGAGAAGATTATAGAATACAAGATGACAGGACTGGATTCTCTTTATGTGGAAGGATCCGCTCTGAGGGGTCTCTGGTTTCGCTCCGCAACATTCTAAATTCAATATCAAATTGAGTGACAGAGGTCATGGGAACCAGGCTGTTGACCCGCCTGATCAAGGCCTACCACTGAAGATCGACATATTGCTGCCCATTGACTGTGCAGGGATTTGGGATTGGATGCAGCATGCATGCATGCACAGACTGATAATCTTTCTTCAACCTAAACCTTTGGAGAAGCTAGGCTGGTTGATTTGGCTTATCGTTGATGATCGGAGACTGCCTGCCCAATGGCCTGTGTGATGATGTGCATACCAGCCGTTGCACATGCATACAGGTCATTGTAAAAGTTTGACATCGCCTTCAATCAAACGCTCCTGCGGAGATTTTCAGTCTCTTCGCAGATTAAATTCCCCGCAAATATCCCAGACCGCAGAGGAGACTTTCTGCATACTGCCCTGTGCAGGACGCTAGTGAAGGCTTGGCGCCAGCGACTGAACGAATTGGGACGTTGTATAAGAAAGAAGAAAAGGACAAGTTACAGACTTTTACTATTCTCCAAAGACCGGCTCAAGTCTGTTGTGACATTTCCGAGGATCTTAGATAAGATGAAACAAGTTGTGGACAACGGCGGTGACGATAAATTGTAGTAAAGTGCAACATTGAAGCGTATACATATGGGGCTGATTCTGCCAAGGCAAGTCTTCAAAAGAAGGTTCAGCCCGCGGATAGCAATGTACATGCAAATGTACATGCAAGTCATAATGCAGACCACGGTAGAGTAAGCTCCAAACGAGTATGGCACGTTGAGCTCTTTTCATAGCAGCAAAAGCAACCTTAGACAGACCTATCAATACAAAGAGATTAAGAAGACAAGCTGCACATTCAAAGGAGATTTGGGGAAGAGTGGGGGCAGAGCCCAGACGTGAGGAGAATGAAGACGGAGAGGTGAGTATGCCATGCGTTTCCCCTGATCTTCTTGAGCCATCACCCGTGTCCTGCAAGCCACTGAAGAGAAGGGGCCCATGCGGCTGGCCTGAGTGCAATCAATTCCTGGCAGCCTGCATGTGTTGTACACGAGTCCAAGACGAGTACGAAGATGTTTGCACAACCTTTGCAGCGATAAGATACTCAGACGGACATGAGGTAAGTTGGTCAATGGTGGTGGTGGTGGTGGTGGTGGGAGGAAGAGGGTGAAGGGGTTGAAGTTGATCAGGATCCTGCTGGGTGCCGCTCCCGAGGTGCGTGCAACTAGATCGGGAACTAGTCCCGATTTAGAACTCGAGACCTCGTCTTCGTCCAGTACTTGGAATGACCGAGGACGACCGACCATCAGCACCCAACTTTAAAATTGAACAATCCCATCATCAACGCTCATCGCTCATGCACAGTATGCCCCCTCGGAATACATCTTCCCATCACAAGCAAGCTTTCAAGCCACAAAAAGCCATGGCCCCCACAAAGCCGTTAAAGACAGCGGGACCTTCCAGATCCAACAAGGTGCCAATTGAGCTGCAGCAGCTCCTGCTGGATATCTTTAGGACCAGTTTTGCACCCCGCTTTGATTCCGGGTTTCCTGCAATTGTGCAGCAGATCAAGGAGCATCTTTTCAACCGGGACTTCAAATCTGCCTTTGGGCGAAAGTCTTTCCTCGAGGCTTATGCCATGAGGTGGAGCCCAAGCAGAGCACTCGCCTACACCCACATGTTCTCGCAAGTGTTATCAAAATACCACCTGGATGCTGAGAACCTCGACCAAGCTTCGGGAGAGCTGCCATTGGCCGCCTCTCAGGTGCCATCCGTCTCTACCAGACGAATCGTCTGTATTGGCGGAGGTGCAGGCGCTGAGCTCGTAGCGCTGGCCGCATATCTGCAGGTCATCGGCCATCCCTGTGCCATTTTCAGTGACCTTGAGGGTAAATCCAAGTGCTTGCCACCATACTTCGCCATCAAATCTATAGACATTGCTGATTGGTCAACGGTACTGAAAGAGCTCCACTCATGCATGACTGCAGCGCCTCCAATATCGGAGTATTCTTCGTCTGCAGCTAAGGAGGCAAACGCTGCGTTAATCAGCCCTGCGGCTTGCACGTTGAGCTTCATGCAGGAAGACGTCCTCAGAATGAAAAACGAGGATTTAGCAACCAGCTTTACTGACACTGCTCTTGTAACTTTGATGTTCACCCTTAACGAGCTGTATAGCACTTCTATCAGCTCAACCACTAATCTGCTGTTGTCTCTCACGATGCTCTTAGCGCCAGGAGCTCTGCTACTGGTAGTAGATAGCCCTGGCAGCTACTCGACCGTGGACTTTGAGAAGGCGTCTGGTTCAGATGGCGGCGGTACGCGAAAAAGGTATCCCATGCAATGGCTTCTTGATCACACGCTTCTGGAATCTGCTGCGATCAGCGCTAGTAAGAATGCTTCAGCAGAACGGCAATGGGAGAAATTAGAATCCAAAGAATCAGAGTGGTTTAGATTAGCCAACGATTTACGCTATCCTGTCACTCTGGAAGACATGAGGTACCAACTCCATCTCTATCGGCGCCTGTGATAGAACTGCGTGAGCACGGACAGGCCTCACGGGTGGTCACTTCATCACCGAGGTCCTGCACAAGGCCTCACCGATTGCAACAGAAGGAGCCGAACAAGGCCCGACTCTCATGTTTATTTCCAGGCCTCAGAGCTCTGTTTCTACCCCTCGCGTCTCCCTGGTTTCTTCTGACTCGTCAAAACCTGCCACCGTCCTCCACACGGTCCGCTTAATGCGTTCTCACTGTAGAGGATCTTCGAGCTAGAGCACGGAGCTCGTATTCGTCATGGGCTTCGCAGAAGGTTACATTGTGTTCTTTTCTCACCTGCCAGGTTAGTCAGGATCGGGTCTTAAGCAAGTTTCGACTGCCGATCAGCAGCAAGAACAGTGAAGTACTCCAATAACACAGCCAGCCCAAGACGACTTCATTCTCCCAACAGTTTCGTTCAAATGAAACCTCGTTTTTGTTGGGAACATAGGGATCTCTATGGGTGCTTTGTGTCGCAATGGATGTCCAAGGTCAAAAGCAGAAGGCCCGGGGGGTAATTAGTGGATGGAAACATTGATCTACAGCATGGAGACATCTCATCATAGCTGCTCGATGTGTAGCCTGCGAAAATGGAAGAGTATCCCCTTGCTTTAGGACGACCGAGTTCCTGTGCAGGCTTACCTCAAGCCGAGCCGCCCATTTCACTTTCATGGGAGCTCTGCCTATCGAAAGATACTCTGTTACAGTAAGCCAAGACAATCACTGAGGACAATATTGCGTTAGCGAGCACACTTCGATTGCTGTCATAGAAGAGCGGGATGGACATGGTTTTGAATGTGTCCTTCTGGTGCTAGCTCTACGTTCGCTTATACTGTGCGCTATCTGGCACTTCTGCTATCTTTGAAGCAATCCTTCACGACGGCAAGCATGCAACACCGACTATTGTCCCGATACTGACCATTACGGGCCCTCAAGCAGACTGATCAGTGTCCAATACATCGTACTGGCTATTATCGCTCTCTCCAGGCGCTTGCCTCGGTCCTGTTCCTCCACTCGCACTCTGAGCCATTTTCTGCATATCGCCCTCGGCCTTTCTCCCTGGATCATTCTCGGACCCAATTTCAGAGGTGAAACTCGCATTATTGCTCGGATCGTCGTCAAATCCGCCCTCTGTGATATTCTTCCCCTTTGGCTTGCCAGACCTGTTGGCTTCGGACTCCACACTTGCCACATAACCAGGCGCAGCATCTACATCCGCACCACCCTCCCCCTTGAACGTATTCTCGGTTGGACCTGATTTGTTTTCGCTGCCAGCCATCTGGCCAGAAGTGCCCATTGAGCTGCTTGGGCCTGTCACTCCACGCAACCCCGATGCAGGCTTCCCGTCGAGGCTATGGCCCGGGATATCTGACTGTCCATCCGCACCCTCGGGATACTTCTTTCCATGTGATCCTTTCGCCTCGTCCGGGGTTTCCTCCAATGCTTCATGCTCTTCACGTTCTGCGGCGTTGGACGCAGGTGCGAGGACCTTGGCACCCGATGTGTCGGTGTTGTTCAAGGTGGAATGGTCCCCTTTCACTGAGGAAGGATTAGAGTCACGGTTCTCGCCAAACTTGCCGCCTGAGCTGGCTGATTCTGCGGCTAGGGAGTCTGAGGCAATAGCACCGGCGCCTTCACTCGTAGGGTTTGTGTAGCGTTCGGGATCAGATGTGTTCTGGATGAAAAGGTTAGCATGAACGTTCAAACCAATTCAGTCGGTGAGAGGTGAGCATGAGAAAGGCCTGGGACTCAAGACAAAGGGCGATCCCATACCTTCATGCCCTGGTCTGTCGACCCAATGGGTGTGCCTTGCATTTCCATGGCTGTCAGAGTGCTTTCTTGTTAGGACGATTGATTGTTTTCCAGCTTGGTAGAACTTATAATGCTGTCGTAGAGTGCCTTCGTTGATGCTTGAACTAAAGAGAAGGAACAGTTGTGTTTGAGAGAATTGTTTGTGGTGACAAGGAAGCTTTCACGCGAGGCTACTTTACATCATGGCGGAGAGTGATGTAATAGCCCCACCACCCCACCAAAACCTTGCCCTGAAAATCACTCACCGCTCCGCTTTGGGTCATCAGTCACCTGACACCTGATCTATTACTGATAGCTGAGCAGATCAAGTTCCAGCAAATCGGTTAGATAGTCGAGAGAAATCAGAATCTTGTTACTTAAAAATTGAAACACCGAGACAGACTGATCTCTGATTGAAAAGCCATAGAACATTCTGTACAGCTCATTCAGCCTATCTGTTCTAATAAGCCAAGCTCTGTAACTCTGACATCTATCAATCGAAACTTGAGATGCCTCATCATCTGCTCCCTTGCCCTTGCCCTTGCCTCAAGTCAAAACCCATCAGTCCTCCCTACTTCTTCAACGCATCCTTCGGCAGCCCATCCAACCCATCATGTCCTTCCCTCCCCACCCCTTGAGGCAGACTTGAATTCTTATTGAACGTCTCCCCGTCAGTCCTCGCGCTGCTGTCGCTCGTCGCCGGCTCTCGAATGTCCCCTCCGTACGAGATGTCACTCTCCACGCCACCGGACCCGACGTTCACTTTGCTGGCGTCGCTCGAGTTCCAGTCCGAGGCCACGGGAGGGTCGTCGGGGAGGGGCAGGTTGGACTGACGCTCGGCGATGATTTCGGATTTGGGTTTGGAGTTTTGGTCGACGATGGACTGGCGTGAGGTGCGTGGGGTTTTAGCGGGTGTGCGGTGAGGTGGTGGGAAGGGAACGGGAAGGGAAGGGAGGGGAGGGTACCATTGTCTGAGCTACTTCAGAGTCTGCGGGGACACTGCCGTTGTTCTTTTTCGAGACTTGGGATTCAGCCTTGCGGAGATCTTCGCGGGTGGTGTGGAAGGTGGATTCGGACATGGTCGTAGTAGTGGGTTTCTTGGTGGGCTGTTGAGCACGGGACTCAGATTGGTGATTATATGGGTGAATGGAATCGTGAACGGTTCACTGGGTGAGTTGTTGATCTTGGAAGGCTTGAAAAGCTTTCGGAGCTGTGACCGTTAGCGAGAGTGTGTGACGAAACCCGATGATGTAACATGCAATTCGTGAAACCCGCATGTTTTAGCGGCACAAATCAGCCGGCAGCTTTTCCCGAGCGACTTCATCAATACATTCGCTTGGAGGAATTGTAGTGAACTCCTTCTCACCTTCTGGTCTGTGACAATTCAATTCTCTGTCCGAAACTCCGTGGGAGCTCCGTTCTTAGGCTGGAACGCAGGGCAAGGCAGAACTTCCAACAGCGCTAAAACAAGAAGCTGGAGCGTCGCCAAAATGACCTTCACGAACGGACTCTGGACCCGAAGAATTGAAGAAATGTACATAGGATGACGGTGTTCAGAACAACCAATGGCATGAGGTTTGGGGATAGGAAACCTCGAGCTGTGCTTACTCGAAGATATGCAGCGATGTGGATCAATTCGTCACTTGAAGATGAGCCGAAGGCCTCAAAGGACTTATGGCATGAAGCCGAGTCTCTTACCGATGAATTCGTGTCCTTGAATATAGGCATTGGAGACACTATACATGAAGGGTATCAAAGACCTATCTGCCCGTCAACGCGCGGCTGGTTGAGAGCCAGCTTCCCCAGCTCCAAAGCCAACATAGACTCACGATGTAGCACTCCCATATGACAATCCTAGCACTTTTTCTTCCACCAACGCCTTGCGTATTCAAAATAGCCACACTGTCCACGAGCATCATATCCTAACATCCCTCGAAGCCTTCAACACAATCTTCACCAAGTCCCTATACACCTCCTTGAATTCCTCCTCGCCCCCCTTCTCCTCACCCCCCTTCTTCTTCCCCACTGCCTCCTGCGTAAGCATGACCACACTTGTCGGCCTGCTCGTACTAGCAGCTGCGCCCAGCTCCGCCCTCGACGTCACATAGATGTACGGCACGCCATGGTCTTCGCAAAGGACCGGGATATGCGATATGACATCCATGGGTGAAATGTCGGCTGCGAGTATAACGATGGCGGGAGGGTCACCGCTCCCGGCGGTGGCGGCGGCAGTACTGGATTTGCGGAGAGATTTGACGACTTCTTTGACGCCGCGCTTCAGAGATTTGTTCTTCGTTGCTGTGGCAGTAGTCCATTTAGTCACGGGTGCTCAAGAGATTTTGCGAGTGAGGGCCTACCTTTTTTAACACTCTTCAGCACCTTTTTACCAGCTTTCTCATCCGCCAATGGATTTGCAAACGGCACCAATGCTCCGAGCAAGGGCTCCATTTTCACCTTGACCTTTACATCTCCATTTCCTTCCTTGACAGCCACACTGCCAGGCTTGGTCTCTTCGAGGGTATTTAGGAGCTTGGTTGTAACTTCTGCATCTGACGTTGCAGCTGCCGTTTTCTTCTCTTTTTTCTCCTTTTTGTCTGATTTGGATTTGTGGACGCCGTTCGTTTCTGAGCGCTTGGCTTTTTTCTCTGCTTTGGCCAGCTTCTTAGCCTCCTTTTCGGGATCTGTGGGCTTTTCTTTGGCCATTGTTATGGAACTTAATGATACAAGAAGGACTGTTAGAATGATAATGTTTTAATTGTGGACCAAAAGCTCTGCGGGAGCTTCCAAATTCTGTGCTCGCGATCAGCCCTATCGCTCTAGGCTGGATTGGTACAGTATGGAAGTGCAGATGCAGCGCCCCTTTCGTCCACGACTACAGTCGTATGGGGGGAGTCTATCAGTAAAGGTGAAATTTGAGGGTCTATTATGATCAGATTGATGGTATTCCGATATCCAGTAGTACAATATTGGTCCGTGCAGCCCAGCATTTGTAACATCATATAGTCGGTGTAGTTTTAAGCTCCCTCTCCGCAGTCAGAGCTCCAAGCGGCTGCAGTTCCCAGCTTTGTTGCGATATATCTCTTTCGCCAGATTTTACGCATGACGGGATCAAGGCATATGTCAAAATCGATTGAACCTCGTTGACCTATGTACACATCTTGTCGATCTTGCTCACGAAGACTCTCCACATCGTAGCTCTCATCCCTCCTCGGATCTAACCACGCACTGATCCTCCCTGAGTAGCTTGATCTGCGGCTTCTGCGTCGTGCATTCTCCCTGTCTTTGAGTTGTAGTACTCGTTCCTGTATTTCAAATGGTCAGGATACACTCCCTAGCAAATAGGCCCTCCGTTTTCATTCTGACCCGAATATTCGTAGCTCCGGGAAACTCACTTTTCGACAGCCCAATTCAAAGCCAGATATGCGAGCGCAAAAGGCGGTAGGACGTAAAGAGCCTGAGCTCTGCATCTCCGCCAGGTATTGAAGACTGCCGCATTGAGTGTGCCGGCAAGAGGACGTTGGCGGTTGGCGGAGATGGAGTAGGTTGTTATGCCCTTTTGTGTCTGAGATCCTGGTTACCATGGACGTTAGCCATCTGCGCAGGTTCATGTGCTATTGCCATTTGGCCAGGGAGGATAGGTTGTTGCCCTCGCGGTCACGAAAGCATTGCCGGAGAACGGGAATCTTGCAAAACAGCGTACCTAAATTGCCCCAGGGACCGAGGTACCTGTAATATAACATTAGTCAAAGATGACGTTCAGCTACTGAGAGAGATCGGTGAATTGTAATATGTTTTCGGATGAGGTGAGAGAGTACATACTGGCCATGCTTCGTGTCCAACGGTGCGCTTCCTCCTGCCATGGTAGGCAATGGAGCAGAAGGTAAGACAGTAAAAGAAATGTAGCTCTTATGGTGGAGGTTGATGTATTAGGTGATCGGAAGTGATGGGTGAATAAAGAGTTGCTTTCATGGTGCCAAGTAACTTCGAGATGGCGCTAAACCGCATTGAATCTCGATATTTTCCGACCAAAGCTCACCTGCAGCACTACCATCCTCCGCAGATTCTAGAAATATCTGCATCTTGAATCCTCCACTATGGCCAACACCCTTAGCACAATCTACAGATGGGCCGTCCCTGTTGCCATCGGCGGTGCCTTCGTCCAAGCCTCCATGTACGATGTCAAAGGCGGCACTCGCGCAGTAATATTCGACCGTCTGTCAGGAGTCAAAGAGACCGTCGTCAACGAAGGCACACATTTCCTGATCCCTTGGCTGCAGAAATCCATCATTTACGATGTCCGCACCAAACCCAGGAATATCTCAACCACGACCGGGAGCAAGGATTTGCAGATGGTCAGCTTGACGTTGAGGGTCCTGCATAGACCAGAAGTCCCGAACTTGCCAAAGATATACCAGGTACGATCATATTTCCGCCTTCCAACACAAGCATTCCGTCTACATTTTGTACCGTACGCTGACATATTTCTGTACCTAGTCCCTCGGACTCGACTACGACGAGCGCGTCCTCCCCTCCATCGGCAACGAAGTCCTCAAATCCATCGTCGCCCAATTCGACGCCGCCGAACTGATCACGCAACGAGAATCCGTCTCCGCCCGCATACGCACCGACCTTCTCAAACGCGCTTCCGAATTCAACATCGCCCTCGAAGACGTCTCCATCACGCACATGACCTTCGGCAAAGAATTCACCCGGGCCGTCGAGCAGAAGCAGATCGCGCAGCAAGATGCAGAGAGGAGTAGATTTATAGTGGAGAAGGCGGAGCAGGAGAGGCAGGCGAATGTGATTAGGGCGGAAGGGGAGGCCGAGAGCGCAGAGACGATTTCGAGGGCTGTGGCGAGGGCTGGGGATGGGTTGATCATGATTAGGAGGATCGAGGCGAGTAAGGAGATCGCGCAGACGTTGGCAGGAAATCCGAATGTGACATATTTGCCTGGTGGAGGGGAGGGTGGGGACAAGGGAGGGAAGGGGGCTGGGTTGCTGTTGGGACTGAGGTCGTGAGGATAAGGGAGCATGAGGTATCGATGCCGAAAACACTCGCGACGGTGAAGGCTCTGATGGGGCAGCCAAAGGGCTTGGTATCATGGCGAAAATACTGTAGCATAGCATGGAACTCCCCCTCGGGCTCTACTCCTTACAGTACTTCATGACTTGAGTCTACTTTAAATGGCCCAAGCACTCGTCGATTGGGGCACAACAACTTAGGGAGCACAAAAGCAGTTTCTGACCAAGTGACTAGCTAAGTATGCATGTTCCAATGTATAGCCATACTTTAATGCAGCTCTAGTATATTAAGCTTGGCCACCGGGTATCGCTGCAAATATTCCACACAGTCAAGAACGGTTTCCCAACGCCTGTCACCCCGGTCTTGGCGTCGAACGGTCTTGGATGATGCTGTACATGCTGACGCCAGATATCGATGCCCCGAAGTCATGCATAATATGACCGATCACCGCGTCATTGATGTTGTATTGTGCTCGGGTCCAGCTCTGAGAACGAATCTGAAAACTCCGTTCCACCCCTCTCGATGCGTTCCCTTTCCGTGAATGGGAAAGCCCTGTACGCCTTTGGAAATGCTGTAACGTATGCAGGAAAAGATACCTCCCCCTTAGTCCTCCCAAATCGTCTCCAAATCTAAATCACCCCTCCTCTCCGCCCCGCAAACACTCCATCTCTTCCTCTTGTCCCCTCTGCCTGTCCCTCTCACTCCGACATCAGAGCCAGCCCGTCTCCCAATACTTTCTTCACTCTGATCTTCTTGGTCAGCAGCAGCTTTCAGCCTAGCAATATTCTCAGCTTCCCGCTCCGCATCAGGCGAGTCGGGGATGGTCTCAAGTGATGATATGCTCGGAGAGCGAGAGCGCAATGATGTGGGCGTTGACGGGACCGAGCCGGAGGAGAAAGAGTAATTGGACGGGTATGCTTCATTGTATTGGCTAGCCGCCAACGAAGGAGTGGAAGTGGATGCGCGAAGTGAATGCTTCGAAGTGTTTGAAGAGAAAGCGGACAGCGAAATCTGGTGAAGCGGTGACGCAGGCCGTCGGCGGCTGCGAGGGAAAGTCTGGTAATTATTGTGTGATGGTGAGGGGGAAGCAGGCACGGAGTCGAGATCCACTGTTGCTCGGGGCGTCAGGTCTAATTCTGAATTCTCGGAGATGGTCAGGTCTATGTCTAGTTGGTTGCTGAAGCTGGAAAATGATTCGTCTGACTGCCTCCTCATGGGGCTGCGGTGTCGAAGAGGAGGTCCGAGAGGGCTGGATGGGCGAGGTATTATAGGACGACCTGTGGTGTTGGGGACTGGGGATGAATGTGCCCGGGTCATTTGTGGGGCACTGAGAGAGCCGCTTCCGGAAGACTTGGACCTTAGATGGCCTCGTGCGAAGGGTGAACGAGTGCGCGGCCGTAGCGGTAGGGACGATACGGAGAGATTTGAGAAGGGAGATGGGGCTGTAGGTGTGTCTGGGGCTGTGGCTCGTCGAGGAGTGTAGGGTCGAGAAAATTCGGTGGTAGGCAGAGCAGGCAAAGGTTTCGTGAGGTCTTCGACCTCTTCAATGACCTCCTCGACGGGTGGAGACATGACAATAGGTGGTTCTGAAAAGCGAGGAACCATGATGACTATAACCACCTAGCATGAAACGTGACTGCAGGGCGGTTAATAAGCCCATATCATCATGTCATGACCCTGCACCTGGATACCACATTGCGTTGGAATGTTTAGTTGGCGGGGTTCGTGGTGGGGTGGAAGCATGGAAGCATGGAATGTTAAAAAACTGGTCAGAATATGATGTTTGAAAGATGCTACTCGCAGTCTTTGAAGGTATCGAGGAGTGAGTGTGCTATTTATTGAGTGTCGTGTTATTCATTTGGGAGAATCAGAGTCACCACTTGCAGTAGAACCCTTGTTCTTCTTCTTCTAGATCTCTTGGCCAAGTCTACTCTAGGGCTGCATTGGGGCGGCTTTCTCCCCTAAAATGCTGCCGCTGCCGCTCCAAGCACCCTGCCCTACTACTCAATTAAGAGTCCATTTTGCGTGGCTTGCACCGTTAGCATAGGCTAGGAACTCGTCCATATTTGATTGGTGAGAAGATAGAGAACTCCAAGTGAATAGATACCACATGGTCCATTAATGTGGATGATATATCTGCCTAGCTAGGGTATATGCGTGCGCCTCTTTTGTGTACTAAAGACTTTTTCTGGACGAAAGCATACAAAGAGCACCGAGTCCGGCAGGCCGAGATGAGACATGCCACAAGACGCCTATAATACAAACGCCAAATCCGGGTCTAGGGACCAAAAGATGGAAGCAAACGTGAGCTCCAAATTGTCTGTCTGTTAAAGGACCAAGGGATATCATAGGCCCGAGTAACGCATCACTCGTCACCAACGGGCACACCATCAACGATTTCATCGATGGCCTCTTCAGTATTCTTAGCCTGTGCCTTGGAGGCTTTGCTCATCTCTCGCTTGATGCCATGATTCACGGCATCAAGGACGTTGTTGACCGTTATTCTTGGCGTGTACCGTGGCTTCGTTCCCTCTTTGAATACGCCCGTCCGCACAAGTATCGAGTACCAGTCATTTTCGGACAGCTTAGATTCGTTGAACTCGTTGGTACCGCGAATGTCCGATTCGGGTGTATCGCCAACAAAGTAGACAGTTTCTGGCGGCTTGTTGATACCGTGAGTGTCTTTGCGCCATTGTTGGAGTAACCGTGTGGCAAACTGGAATGTGCCAAGCTGGGGCTTGCCGAACGCTGTCGATACCAGGTCTTTGCCTGTGATGCTTTTGTAGATCGCTTCTAACGAGGAGCGGAGGGCGCCCATGCCAAGGCGTGTGTGTTCGTGGGCAGCAGACCATATCAGGTCATTATGGGAAAAGTAGATTGGCGGACCTTCATCGTAGTTCTCGGAGCTCGTGCCAAGCCGGCCATTCTTGGATGTAAGTAGATCAATGATGATTTGCTGATCGTCCCCCCAGTGACGACTATCCGCAAAGACAAAGATAGCCTCGATTTCGGTTTCGCCAAAGTTGCGGACTCGTGAGTTCTGTGTCTCCTGGTCGGTGAGCCTTCGGAATGGAGTCGTTCTGTCGTTGTCTTTCATGATATCGCCTGGAGTGACCACATCTCTGAAGCCATAGCCTTCTGCCACAAGGCGGCACTTCTCGCCTTCTCCTCCCACAACAAGGACTGTCTTGTACTTCTGTGCCATCTCTCTCATAGGTGTGTGACCACAGATGAATTGTCCGGGAGAGATCTCGAGTTCCAACTGTCTGCTCAGGTCTACACACCGTTCCTGCTCCGTCTTTCCACCGCCGTTCGTGAGGAAGATGTAGGGACTACCGAGAGTCAGCAAAGACTGCTTGAGTGATACACGGCGTATAGACTTACACTTTGATGCCGTACTCGTTCTGACCGTTCAAGACTTTCATAGCTTCAACTGCCTCTGGTATTGGCTTTCCACCACGTATGAGGACTCCATCAATATCGAAGGCGAATGCGTAGCTATCTGTAGTCGTTGTCTCTGGAGGCGTGCTAGGTGTGACTACACCGTCGCCTGAATCGAGATCCTTGAGACGGTGTTTGGCCAGCTCAAGGGCAGCAGCTGTTTCGTGAGCATTGCTGGGAGAATCCATATGCTTAGGTGGTACAACAACATGTGGTCCAATGTTCAAGCCCTTGAAATCGGCAGTCGCCGAAGAGAGGCGACGCACTGTTGGTCGTGGTTGCGGTGAGAGGAGATCTTTCCCGTCTGTCATTCTTGATGCCTCTCGTTGGGAAGAAGACTCCCAAAGCTGGGGTTTTGAGGCATCCAAGGGCTTAGTGCCCTGCTCGTTCCACAGCTCCATGGCTCAGTAGATGGGTATACAATCAAAGAGCGAAGACGGCTGGGTGCGTGGGTCGATGTCGAGACCTGGGAATGAAAGGACGAGAGATGGGTCAAGATCAAGAGAGTGGATTAGGGGTCAGCCCACGTTCCTGGGTATCGTATCAAAGGGTGTTGGTGTGAAAAGCGGTAGGGTCAATGGTATATGGTTTTATGGCTTTAAAGTATCTGAGTGTTGCTAATATTTTCTATCAGGTGGATATGAGCAAATTTATAAATCGCCAACGACCATTGCGCGATAATCGCCTCGGTCCTTCAGCATGTGACGTGCCAGTACAAGCTCGGTGTATTCTGCAAGAGCGATGATAGTGCTTAGGCACTTCGGACCTATACCAGCACAGTTGGAGAGAGTCATGGTCGAAATCGACCAATGAAAGCATGTTGGACGGTGGCTAGACGATGGGCGAAATCGGCAACATGGATGCTAGGAAGTCTGGGGAAGTCTGGTTGGTTGAGTAAAAGAGAGGGAATTTCCAGTGCTCCGGCAAAGCTTGTCGTTGAGTTGATGGTTGAGTCAAAAATTACAAAATTCTAGGACTCTAGAGTAAGCTCTAGGTAGATAAGCTTGCGGGCTTTTCATTTTCAAGCCGAGGGGGGCTGGTTGGGGTGCGGCGGGGCAAAAATTTATTCTCCGGAACCAGACGAGACGAGTTAGTTCATGTACTCTCTCTACGTCGTCGTGCATATGTTCATATGTCATGTCATGAGCCGTCATGAGGGAAATTCATCAAATATGAATTTCTCATTCACATCTTCCATGTTCCATAGTCCATAGTTCATGAATGGGGAGGCCCGAGCGACAATGAGGGAAAGTCATTGATCAGATGCTCACCCACACTAGCTGTGGTACTCTAGAGGAATTTCTGCCTACCTTCCTGTTCGACCAATAATAGTCTAAGCCATGCCACCTTCTCTGGCGACCGTAGGCGTTGCCTCTATCGGCGAGATGGGCGTAGGCATTGCGAGGCTCTTGAGCGCCCAGAACTATAGAGTATTGACAAATATCTCAGATAGAAGGTCAGCAGACATTATTCCCATACTCGTGGTTTCAGCCTTCTAAGATGCCACAAGTGAGTCAACCCGTCAGCGTGTCAAATCCGCTTCAATCGAGCTGGTAGACACGGATCAGGAGCTCGTTGCTCAAGCAGACTACATCCTGTCGATTGTTCCCCCCCGGGACGCTATCAGCACAGCCAAGAGGTTCACCGAAGCAGCAGCTGGACATGTCAGAGACCCGGAGCAAGAACCGCTCTTCTACATTGACCTTAATGCCATCAGTCCCAATGGAGCACGAACGCTGGAACTCCTCTTGAAGGACTACCCGATGATGAGATTCCTTGACGGTGGGGTATGTGAGTAGCACGCCATATAGTGATGTTTCATGTCCTAAAGCAGTTGAAAGATCATCGGAGGCGCCCCAAAATTCAAACCAGATGGTAACTGGACCAAACCCAGCATCGTCGTCTCCGGTCCTCACAGTCTCGATGACGCTCCTATCAGCGGCGCGCATCTTGCAAAAGTTCTCAATATCAAGCACATAGCCGACAAGATTGGTCCCGCCAGCGGATTGAAAATGTGTTTTGCATCCACCACCAAGGGCTTGACAGCAATCGCAATCCAATCATTCACCACAGCACACACCCTCGGGGTGCTCGACGACCTGCAAGCACATCTCAAAGACTACAGCCCCAAAACAGGAGAGCTTGCGGCCCAAGGATTGGTGGGTATGCCGCCCAAAGCGTACAGATGGGTTGATGAGATGAAGGAGATTGCAGAGACTTTTCGTACCGAAGGAGGATTTGAGACAAACTTGTTCGATGGGGTTAGTGAAGTCTTTAGATTTGTAGCAGATGAAACAAACCTAGGAAAGGAGAAGACGGAAGACAGGAGGGTGGGTAAGACACCGGAAGATGTTGCAAGGCTGGTGGGCCAGGGGTTGGAGAGGAAGAAGGAGAAAGTAGAGTAGTAGATTGGCTACACTCCAAGCCAAACAAAGAATTGTCTGTTGCAGTGTTGCTGCTTGTGGGAGAAGTTTGCGAGTACGAAACGTAGCAGCAACAGGCCTTTATGTATTGCCCACAAAAAGGTATTTAACCAATTGGAACCTCAGACATAATGGGATTTTTGGGTGTTGTTGCCCGTTTCGTGAGCCTAGTCTAGGAGAAAGCCACTCAGATCTTCAAAATCCAGCTTCGGGGCAAGCATGTAAATTCCGGCAAATTTGGCCGCGTCGACGCTGGTAGTCCCGGAGCCGATGTTCTTACAGCCCTCGACCTTCTTGTCTGCCTCATCTTGCGTGATTGCGCGTGGCTTGAAAGGCATGAAATAGGTCGTGTTAGCCGCTCCGAAATCCATCTCATCTTCGTTGGGCATCAGACGTAACAAACCTGCCAGAAGCCTTTCCACCTTCTGCTGTAGGATGGATCCTTCACGAGAGATCTCACGAATGATGGCCTTATACCCTTGGTCACAGTGAGACAGATGTGGTGGGCTAGGTGGGAAAGGATTTGGTGGCTGTCTTCTCCGCTCGTGGGGCGGGATGTATGACGAGCGTCGATGGGTGCCATGAAAATGTTCGGAACCATAAAAATGATGGCCAAGACCACGAATGCTGGCATTTGCTCCAATTGTAGTACCGGGTTCACTGGACGGTTGTGCTCTGCGGTGGTCGTTGGCATAAACGAGATCCATACCTGCACGATCTCGCTGGTAGTATCTGCCACCGCTTCGTGGGTCGTTACATCTAGAATTTCTGCCTCTAGCCATGGTTTGTTGCTGAACGATGCGATGCGATAGGATGGCTGAAATTCCAGCATACACCTAAGAGCAGGCAATCCAATATCAATGCTAGAAAGCTCAACGGGTTGGTATAAGCAACTTGACGCGTCATGAGCTCTACAGAGCAATTCCAGAAAGTCAATGAACCTCTCAGAAGCCCTTTGGCCATGGTCAACGAGACAGAGAGCCAAGTAATGCACGGTGAGCACTCCCCAAATCCCTCATGGCACGATGCGAACGGCTTTCAAAGGCCAACAAGCAGTATCCCAATCTCCATCACAGTCTTCTAACAGCTGCTGCACCCGGTTTTCCGTAGCCCATCCAAGATCTATTTCTACACCACGCAGTAGTTTTGGGACCACGTGTCTCTGGGCAGGGCATTGACCAGCCACGAATAATGGTTGTGTCTGATGGACCCGCACCGAAGATGGTTGACGAGACAAGGCAATACCACTAGCAGATTGTTAGTCAAGGGCATTAACAGCCATAACGACACATGCCACGTACCACATCTCGTAGCAATGGGAGACAATTTACTCTTCAATCAAGCGATAAGAATTCAGGCGACTAGCAATTGTACTTTGACGCATGGTTGTCTCGTGTGATTTTTCGACGAGTAGAAGGATCTGAGCCATGTGATAGTGCTGCATCATTGCTCCGCACTGACAATTATACAGAGTCAGCATGTCCTACACACGGCAATATTGCAAGTCCCGAGACAGATCTGGGAAGCAGAGTGAGAAGGAGGCCCTTTCATGCCACTTTGGAAGTTGAGTCGAAAGATCAGTCAGAAGGCTAATCAAGTCTCCCTATCCAGATTAGAGTCCAGGCTAAGACGGAAATATTACGAAATAACGTACCATTCCGTTGGTATCCCAGACTTCGTAGAAGATTCGATGGTTGGTTTGGTCAAGTCCTTTGGGATCTACAGTCATGTTTCGAGATGACCTGATTCACGTCGATAGCTGGAACGTTGCCGGAAGACCCTAGAACCACACTTCAAATTCACGTGCAAAGCCCTTCCACTTTCCAAGCAGTGATTTCTGCGACTTCTCATACTCTCCACCTCGTCTTTCTGAAGTTGTTCGGACCGATCTCTGGCTGGAAATGGGGCGAATCCCTCTCTTGGGACAAGAGCCAAACCAGGGCGTTGGATATCATGTCTTCTTTTATAGTGCTTTTCGCTTCAGGCATTCCGCTTTCCACTCTGCTGCTAGTAATTGTCGCATGCCCTGGCGACCCTCGGGCTCGTTCGCTCGGCAAAGGGCCCAAAACGAGCCAGATGCCAGGAGATAGGATAAGATTATTCTCGTCAATGGACCGGCCAGCTTCTCTCCAAAGGTCGAGATCATCGGTGTCAAGGCGGGTCCGGCACTCATTTATGAACTGCGGATCATTAGAATTATCATTTCTGTAAGACTATGATCAATACAGACTTACACGCTGCGAGATAATCTTGACGGGCAAAATTCCAGAAAGTCGCTAGGGGCATCATGCCCCCTTCGGCAATGTCCAGCCATTGTTTCGTACCATCAAGGGGATGCGACCACGTAGCACCAGTCGCACTGAAAAACTCCGTAAACGCATAGTATTGCTGTCTAGCATCTTACATGAGCCCTTGCCGAGAACATGTCTGGGCGTCTGAGTAACATACCGCAGCAACAACTACATCAGATCTTAGTCGAGCCGTTCCTACATGACTTGAATGGTGCCGTCCCTTTGATCATTGAATTGATCCAGCATATCTTGGAGACCCCTAGGTAGGCGCCGTATCATCCGGACTATTTGGCGAAGACTCGTTTCGATCTTGCTGCATTGCTTCCATTAGCAGAGCTATGCTCTTGTCGTAATGATACGCTCCCTCCCATCCCCAATCTATTGACGGGTCATCAAATACTTCCATCCTCGCCTCTTGTGAGCAATCGCCGCCGATGATGGCCTTCGCACCTTCTGCTCGACCTAGTTGGTTTGCTGCGCACGCACATGATGCATGCTTTAGAAGAGGATGAGAGCTCGCCTGCACTGGGACATGGGACCCGAAATAAGCGCCATGGTCAAAGAGGTCCATCCTTCCCAGCTCTTTAGTTTCAATGATCACTGAGAGCTGGTTAGTTTACACACCATTTACCCGGTGACTCGGAGAAATGCCTGAGTAGGTAGGCGACCTTATGCTCCGATTCAGCCTCGCCTTCTGCTCGTGGTTTCTGTGCGTTCTCCGTAGCTGTTCCGCTTGAATGTGGAGGAACTCTAATGGCTGGAGTCGACATCAAACTAGGATCTATTGGCGATTCCAGGGCATTTGGAGGATTCAAGAGGAAGTTGAGTTTGTTGCTTGAGGAAACAGTGTTTGGGGAAGGGATAGCAGGAGGGCCGTGTTCGTCATTAGGAGAGGTCGACTCGAAAGGACTGTCGAAATGACGTCTGTTCATTGATATCGGATAAGGTATCATATTTGCTTCGGGAGGAGCATACAACGCAGCGGCGGACAGGGCCTCAAGGCCGTGGGGATGGATTTGGGCAGCCTGATCTGGTAATTGATGGTCAATGTTCCATTGATCCTGTTGTTGCTGAGCATATGGCAGTTGGATTTGTGTAGACATCATTGCTTCGAGGTCTGGCGTCCCAGGGTCTGTGTAAGGGTTGGATGTATTGTAGAAAGTGACTGCGAAAGACGATGAGCATGGCGTAGCCAAGATTCTGACTGCGCAAAATACTTACGTTGCTTCGGAATATCCACCCACACGGTTTTGTCATTGAAGGTGTTTTTGTAGGCATAGAATCCACTGAGGGGAGGGTTGCGCTCTGACCAGGAACCGTCCTCGTTTGCATTCATGGAAGCATTGTGTTGGTGACGAAAGGTAAGACCGGAACTTGGTTGGCATTGGCGGTTTGCTTTGGTACATTGACCGCAGATGGGTTTTTGCTCATCACACTTGAGCTTCCTTTGACGGCAAGTCAAGCTGTTTGGGCATCAGTTGACAGTCGAGGTGCACCGGTGGACTAGGGCAAACGCACCAGCCAGTCCGAGACCTCATCCTTGTGGAACAATGGCTACGACGCCTCTTTGAAGTTGAATGGCAATATCATGTCGAGTACATAATGGTGAACGAGAAGTGAAACAGGAAGGATGTGAGGGGGAGGTGATTTTATTATCGGGTTGACCTCCAAGGCTCTAAAATCGAAGTTGTAGTTGAGTTTGAATTTTGTGTTCCATAGTACTTTATGTGGCAAAGAATTAAGGAGGAGGGTCCGAGATCGCCAGACCCTCCTGCTTTTATTTTGAGCGTCGCATTTCATTTCTTACAGCGCTTGGACTGTTCCTTCCATTGACAGAACTTCAACACTGGGTGCTGGCAAATTATACAGGTATGATCACAACTCTATGTCCAAGAACTGTATGCAGTAAATACCAGCCTGCCAAACCCCACCCCAATCCTGTGCCCTCAAGCACCTATATAAAGCAAACAAGACTCCATTACTTGATCTCTCTCTCCTCCGACAAAACAGTCGTAATCATACATACAAGGCTTGCGCCAGTGGTCTTTCGTAAATGCATGGGATGAATGCACCGCTCAAATCGCAGGAAATCGCTCGACAATTCGCTCCGATGTTGCCAATGGGAAATGCATCGTCAAGCCATAACCAATGAAATCGTTTCTCATGTCGTGATTAAGGTCGGACTCTTACACCTTCTGTTGTCTTTGACGTAGATCCGGGCTGGCTTTTAAGGGTCTACCGGCTTTTGAGCGTAGCACAGCAACAGCTTGAACCCAGTTCCTCTTTTCTCACACTCCTGCAGGAGTGCCTCGTCATTCCATATGCTTCTCTCCAAACCTCCGTAAGGTAATGTAATCATCTCATAACACCTTGTGAACCACCATCTTCCCACTATAGCAAGACTCTTCGCGAGACCTCCGTCTCCCTGGCCAGAAGGCTCCTTACGCAAGTCTCCCAGCGTGCCGCTGTTCTCGTCTAACGACCCAGGTCGAAACCGAGACCTCGATACGTGGCCAGCGACAGGTACGTTCAGCACGCAACGATTAAGATTTTCGAACCCGCTCTGCTTCACCATTTTCTGTAGACTGTCTGACAACGGCCTCAGGTCCAACTCTGGTTGAGAAACTGCCATTCTGTACTTGAGCTCACCAAGGGTTCTTCTGGCTCGGTTGCCCATGTTTACCATATCTATGTCTAGAATACTCATTTCGAGATAACCTCCGGGACGGAGCACTCGCATGCACTCTGAAATTGAGTTGAGGTACGCATCCTCCGACGTTGCAGCTGGGAAGCGGAAGACAGCAGCTGTGAAGGATCCTGTTTCAAATGGAAACGGTGTTTTGATATCAACATGCTGGACTTGATGATAATTCTTGGGGAGCTGAAGTGCTCCAATTTGCGGCGGGCTGGCAGGTTTAGGACTCAGGTTGAAAATGTCAACGTCCACGTAAGTCTCGGCGCAGTAGAAGGACCAATCGTCGTTACCAAGTCCATCAAGCACTAGGACTCGATCTTTGTGATTGCGCTTTGCCTCGACAAGAGCTGGACTGAACAAGACCCTATCAAAAGAAAGCCAGCGACTGGTCATAAGCGCATCGAATCTCAAGCTACTCTGGACGATAGGTCCCGTGTGAGTCTTTGCAGATACAGGAGGGGTGCTTGTCTTCTTCTGCCTGTTCTCACGGCCGCCAAGCCAATTGGGGTCAGACTCAATCGAGCTCGTGCTATACCGACTGCCACTGGACAAGCTCCGTCGCCTGTTGATCGCACCGGATCTATTCTGATCGCCATACCCTGCCGACAGATCGGAGATAGTCACCGGAGTTGCGGGTCGTCCAGAACCACTGAGCTTTGACCTATCTGGAGGACTAGGTAAAGGTCTTGTTGGTGCCGATATACCAGGATATGTTGCTGACACTCTCTTCTCAATGCTGCTCGATGAACCCGTTCCCGAGGATACCTTCCGAATATGAAGAGGCTCAGGTGCCCACCCACCTTTTCGTAGGATTGTTTTAAGGGGGTTTTTAGACTCTTCGGCCAATGGGGCGGGAGACTCAACGGTGTCAAGGAATTCGTTGTATTCGTTCCAGACCTCATCTTCATCAGGAGCAGTACCCGGCTCGGGAACAATAGCGGTCGTCCCAACGAGGCTTAAGATTCCGGAGCTGCTTGAGCCCGACACTTCGGATTCAATCCTTGGCGGAAAGGCTAAGAACTCGTCTTTATCAATTCTATAGAAGCCTTCGCTGGGTTTCACAGGGGCACTGGCTGGTTTGGCAGAGTCTTGGTCACCCCAAGTATTGGAGGGGATGAATTCGGTCAGTATTCCTAGACGCGGTCGCTCAACGTGGTTTTGTGCTCCTATTTCTGGAACCGTTGTGGGGGCTTCGTTGACAATAGAGGGACGTCGTGCAAAAGGCCGAGAGAAAGACTGAGGGGGCGGCTTGTGTGGACGATCACGCTTTGAGACGACTCTGGGAATGCGGCCAACTTGCTGCAATCGAGGTTTCTTAGGCTCGGGGAGTGGAACAGGTCGGACTTCCCTCGCAGCTGCAGTTGTGGCCTCAGGCGGGCGGAGAATGACACTGGGCGTGAGTGGAACTCGAAGGTTGGGGGATTCTGCGATCAACCTCGGAGGTGAAGGCAAAAGCGTGGAAAGCCTGTGGTCTCGCTGCGGAGAAATGTCTTGGGCGCTCAGAGAAGCCGGTACTCCACTATGGATAGTGTTAAGTCGATTCCTCTCTGCTGATTGTATAACACCCATCTCGTTTGAGACTTCTTGCTCGCTGCCGTCAAGCAGCGCGTAGAATGCGACAGATCGAGATTTCGGAAGGCTCGATACCGTTGCTGGGAGCTCTCTGACACTGGTCTGATCGTTACTTGATGGCGGCGCGATGGCTTCTACTCGCGTTCTTGGGGAAGCTTGTGCCCTCTGGAAAAAGGCCCATTTTTTTGGAGATCTTGATCTTGCACGACCCTCAGGATTCTGTGATTTGAGCCAATTGCCCTCACGCCTTTCAATTATGTTATCGTTAAGTTGAAGCGTACCATCTGTCCGAATAAGAATGGACTGAAGGTCATCGTGGCTCTCCATGCTAGGAGAGGCCGCAACAGCCCGTGTGTCGATTGGTGCGGGAATCTTCATTACTTCGACCGCTTTTCCAAACAATTGTGATCGATGCGCCGAGCGCCGCGCCGCCAATGTTGGCTCCCCGTATGACGAACCCACGTACCCTTCCTCCTGCTGCTTCATTCGGTATTCTGGGTTATCCTTCCTGTCAGGTAGCCTTCGATGGTCTCTGCGGAGGTAGTGCATATTGGCGAGCTCTCTACCTGGGGTTTCGCTGCGCATAAGCATCTGGCGTGAAAGCGGCTCACTTGTTCCATCAAGACTTTCACTTGACGTCATGGCCGCTGCACTTTCTCCACTGCTCGTAGGGTGATGTACTGAAGCCAAAGTACGACCGTCGATCGCTTGACCGCCTCCAGTCATGACTACAGGTGCGAGTCTTTCCCGTAGGAATTCGTCCATCTCATGGTCATCCCGGCTCGTAAAACTGCTTTTTCGACTGATGGACGTACGTCCAGCACTGTTGGTACTTGTTGACCGACCTCTGCTGGCGCTGGTACTGATACTGCCACTTCGGCCTCGTCGCGCATATTTTCCATAGCCTTCGTGGCCAGTCCCCGCAGCTGGACCCTTCTTTGCAGCCTTTTCGGGATTCTCGAAAGCTGCGGTGTCCAACGGCGACCTTGTGCGCTTCATAAAAAACCCAAATCGAGAAGAGGACTTGCTGGAGCTGGCACTCAGCGGACTAGGATCTTTCGTGGATGGGACACCACCAACATTAGTCTCCACCAACGGTAGAGCTTGCGGTTTTGAGGGTTCGCTACGAATCGGTCGAAGAGGATTTGTAACGACCGGATTTGGTGATGGCATTCGGGATGGTCTCGCGGACATCGAGGACGCATTAGATGGAAAGCGGCCCAATGCAGTACGACTCGTATTTGTACCAACCGCCCTTTCGCTGCTTGGGACGTCTCTATCCAAAATAATACGGGTTTTGGTACCCTGCAAGAGGTCGAGCGTGTCGTTAAGATCAAGACTTGGAGTCCCTTCTCGACTCGGCCTGGGAGGTGGCGTTCGGGACCAATTGTGTCGGTATGAGTCGTTTTGTGCGACAAAAGATTCACCGTGGGGCCTTTGCAGTCCCACAGCATCATATGAACGTAGATCTGGCGCACCTTTAATAAACTCCCGCCTTCTACCGTGGTCTTTAAGAGGTGATGGTCCTAACCTCATGGACGACTGCCGTACAGGAGGACTGGGAGGGATAGGAGTTGACCGGTTTGAGGTTGAATGAACTTGAGAGCCGTCACGCCTATCAGTGCCTTTGACAGTAGATGAAGACGACGAAGAGGTCAAGGATTCTCGCACCGCTGTGAGGCCTCGACTCCGCGAGATATTGGAGTCCTCTTGCAGCGGAACGCCTGGAAATTTCCGTCTTGTCACAGGTGGGCGGCTCCGGGTTGGACTAAGCTGCTTTCTGCCTATGGGAGCCTTGATTGGGGTCGAGACCCCCGGCGACTGCGATGACATGGATGTAGGTGTGGAAGTCCTACTGAAGGCGCCAGGCGATTCGGAGCGGCGAGTAGACGAGCCGCTATCAGCGAAGGTAGGAGTCGGAGGAGGCAAATTTTGTGTGGACAAAGCCTCTGGGGTGTTGCGAGTGTTGTAGCTGGCCATTCGAGAGCTCGAAGTAGCCAACTCCGAGCTTTGGCCCAGAGCTGGTGTGCTGGACACAGCGGGCACGGCGATTCCAAAGACAGATCCAGGAAAAGCGTCCCTGTAGCCTCCAGGCGAACTGACAGTCTGTAGCGGATTTGTTGATGGCGTTGGTTCGTATGAAGAAGCCGAGGAATCAGTACGAGCATATTGGCCGTGCTGCACTATTGGGGCCTTACGCCTCAAAATGTTGCGAACCTGCTTCCCCGACTTAGGCGCAGGTATCCCAGGAGATTGAGTCAAGGTTGAGATCCCCAATCCCGCATTCCGCGCCGGCTCAGCTATTGTCCTTGTTCCCGGCTCGCTTCTTGTGGTGGCGACACGGAGCGAGCTCTGCGATTTGCTGGTTGAAGTGTTAGAGGATGTTGCGATATTCGAGGACGAAGAATCGACTTTTGGCCGAATGTGTTTGCTGCGAGAAAAAAAAGAGGAAGAATGCGTCGGCATTTTCGAGGAATTGGATGCTGAAGACGCTATGGGCGGTCTTGGTGATGGGCCCACTGGTGTCTTCTCCTTTGACTCTGCTTTGCCTGATTGCTTCGCAGACTTGAAGCCAAATGCTCCCCGCGAAGCCATTGTTGCTGCTTGGCTCGCGAAGCACTCGAACAAACTACAGCGATGGAGGACATGAGCGATATATGTGACAGCCAGCGATCATTTCATATGGACTAGGGTCCGCGATGCCTTTGTAGCACAGTCAGTATATGGTCAAAAAAAGGTACGCCAAGGCGGTGGACTGATAGCACGTGCCTCAAAAAGTTTACATGGCATTCGATATGAGTATTCGGATGAAGATGTGAGATGAGGATCCCGTGACATTCACGTGCTTAGATCAATGACACGACCGTTGCCTTTTGTCCTTTTTTGCGCGCAGGCGTAAAATATTTCTCGATGCCAGCTCAGAGCCACTAAAGTCGCACAGCCTCACAGCCACATGTACAACGAACGGGACACCCCGAAATAGGAACAAGTTGCGGTGAAGAAGACAGGCGGTCGATGAACAAGGCAGATTTGTTGTTGAATAATATATATGGTTATCGAAAAGAAAAGATATGAAAAATAATCGAATAAAACATATGAATGAAAAGATAAGAAGATCAACGAGACAGTTGTTGTTAAATTTTGGAAGATATCTTACTATGTAGCATGTTTGAGGTGGGGAAAAAAGGATCATCCCTTAAATTTGGGAGGGGTGGGAACCGTGGGACAATTCAAGCAAAAATTGGCGGCACCGACGGGAGGCAACGTGTAACCAGGATCTTAATTGGACCTTGCTAAGCCGTTGGGGGCGAGACCGTCGCGTCGAATGAGGCGACCCTTGAGATCTTTTTAGATCTCTGTAGTCCATCTTTCAAGCTTCAAGTGAGAGCAAGAGCAACAACAAGAGCAACAGCAGAAGCCGGGCAAGACCGCGTGGCCATCGAATTGACATCAGCCCTAGATGTCTCTGTCATGGTCAGACGCTTTGCCGTCAACTACGAAAGATGAGCGAGGGTTCAGCGGTATTTGGTATCGGGCTTCTAGAGTAGGACGATACTCGCCGAAGCAGAAGCTGCCATGGAGACCAACAACCCCAGCAGCCTCACCTGTACGGGTACCTATCCGTACAAGTGACAAAGTCACATGAATCCACCCTTATTCGTCGGTTCTGAACGCAAGTGAGGCGGGCCCACAAGCTTTTAGTGAAGTACTGAGAGAAAACGTTGTTGTAACGTGCAAACCTGGTAAACGCCATGCTATCATTCGTTCTCGAAGGCACGTTGTAGTGTGGGATAGGTACATGCGTTGGGATCGAATCATGAGCGTTAACGCAGCGCTTCGCCTTCTAGGCTCACCAATTATCCGTTCCGATGCATGATGCATCATGCAACCACGGGGCCCCAACCAAAACAGCCCGCCACTTTTATCACGAAGTTTGGTCAATACAGAGTACTTCTCTCCAACTTTTGGAACTGCTAACATTTGAGGTTTTGACGATCGCAGAGACCCTTACTGATTATTTTACCTTGCACGTACACTTACGTCTGACGAACACTACTATTCGACATCCTCTCATGACTGACGGAAACGACTGTTAGAACCTAATCTTTCACAGCCGAGCAGCCTCCTATGATGAAGATGTGAATGGTCGACATGGAAGGTTGAATCACGGAATGTCAAGGCCCATCGCCTCGGTCCGTCCAAAAGCCTATGTCGCTGATTGGAGTGGAGCGGCTTGGAGTGGAGTGATGAACGGACATGAAGGCTCACGGAGGATCTAAAGGCAGTGGCGAAAAAGGGACGCAGCTACAGAGCTGGTCCTTCGGATGTCGATGCATGAATTTCCCCTCACTTCAGACAGCCAGGGAAGCTGACGGCGACGCCGACAACCGTACGGTCATGATGGTGTGCCACCATCTGCAGCTGTCATGGTAGTGATTGGGCATGATTGGTCGGCCGCGTTCCTGGCGCATCCATTCTCTCGGTGCCATGTCGGTCATGTGACGCTCTGGTGGTGGAGGGGAAAGCGGGTCCTAGGTGGATTTGAGTCCGCATCAGATAGCTGATGCTCTGCGAAATCGATTGTGTTGCGTCATAGAATTGTTGCTTTTCCAATCTGTAACGACTGCCCTCGGAAGACATGCCACTGAGCCTCCTTGCCAGCGCAGTCTATGAGCTTCTTCACAGGTGGACAAAGAAATTTATTTGTGACACCAATGAGGTTATTTTCAAAGACAACGTTCTTACAGCGACGTGTTGAGAAGTGAATACGGAAACCACATCCCACTTACCTATTGTTTGAATCGAAAGTGCCTCTATTGTCAAAAATGGCGCTAAGCTCAGCCCTATCTTTGCGGTGTTCTGGAGTTCTGCAATCAGTACATTCCTTGACAACCATCGTCTCTCCATCGACCATACAAGACTCCAACTGCTGACCTCACCCCATCGAACCGGCTTTCTGTTGTCTTGCAAACACCATCTTTCACGAACAAACCACACGTCTTTCAACAACTATTCATCCTCTCTTACCGCCAAACCGCAACGCTTCACCGTTTCCTACCTCACCAATAGCAAGCCATTCCACCCTTTCAGTACTCACCATGTCGACCGATTACGCCAAGAAGAAGAATGCCGAGCTTGAAGACCTACTCAAAACCCGCTCCCTTCCTCACACCGGCAAAAAGGCTGACCTGATCGCGCGTCTACAACAGTACGACGCGGAGCAAGCCGCCACATCCAATATCGCAACCACCGCTGGAGCCGAAGATGAAATTGACTGGGAGGATGATGTAGCCGCCGCTGAGCCAACTGGTGCCGCAGCAATAGCAGCAGGTGGCCTTGGTCAACCCACTAACCCGACAGCAGTTCCAAATCAGGTCGTGGACACGGACCCCTCGAAAACCAACGACCTGACCGTCGACCCGCCTGCCCCTACCACCGAGGACACTAAAGCCGCCGCCTCGGTCGAGGATGTCAAAGCTACAGAAGCCGACAAGAAAAGATCTCTCCCATCTACCGGTATCAAAGCGACGACCCTAGACGACGAACTGGCCAAGCGTCAAAAACGCGCGGCCCGTTTCGGGAATCAAGAATCGGATGAAGATGCACTCAAAGCAATCGAGCGCGCTAAGAAGTTCGGCACTGGGGACGTGGGGGATAGAGTCGCTGTGAAGGGGCTCGATGAAGCATTACCGGAGCGCGCGGCGAGAGGCCAGAAGAGAGGGCGCGGGGGCGATGATGGGGGGAGGAGGGATGGTCGGGAGAAGCGGAGTAAAGTTCGGGGTGGAGGGAGGAATGGGAGGGAGAGGAGCGGGACGCCGAAGGATGGGGTTAAGAAGGCTGGGAGTGGGTTGAGTGATAAGGATAGGTCGGCGGCGGAGGCGAGGAAGAAGCGTTTTGCTGCTATGGCATGAGAAATGGAGAAAAGCGGGGTGGTGTGGGCGCAGCTTTCAGGGACTATCTTCGTGACTTGCGAAAGATTTCCAGTCGGAAGAGGGAAGTTGTTTGAGCATGCCGTGGGAGCAATCTTTACAAGAAAGGATGGACGGCTACCCAAAAGCACGACAGAGGCCAAGCCGCAGTTTTCGTATGATACCAACAGCATATTTGCCATTGATAAGAATATCTAGAGAAGGTCGACCTTTTCAAGCTGTGCATCAGTGAGGAAACCCTTATAAGAGAAATGCTCATTCCCAATCATCATTATGCATTTGGGAACCTCCACAAGCCCATCCCACGCGACACCGTACATACGCCAGCGCTGACATGATATAAGGGTATCACATCCTCCAGAAGACTCATCGCACAGCACGGTCCGCTTTCGACCTCCCTCCCCACTTTTACAACCTCACTGGTAAACCGGGACACCATATCCACCACCACTGGCTCCGCCCATCAACATGCTTCCCTGCCCTCCCAGCTGCATCTGCTGTGCCTGCTGTGCCTGCTGTTGCCTCAATTGTGGAAGGTCTCTGAACCACAAATGACTCAATGCCTCCAACGCACCAATCCTCATCTCCGGCCTCAGCTGCAACATCCTCGAGATCAGATCCAGCCCCATCTGATCAATTTGGGGAAGAAACATGCGCAAATCTTGCGTCGCATAGACGTGAAAGTTGGATTTGTATTCGGGAAATTGGCTGATGCCAGGCCAACTGCGCTCTGATGGCGTACCCATTATGCGGAAAATCTTCTGCAGTTGGTCTTCGTTTGTGGTACCGGGGAATAAGGGGCGTCCAGTGTACATTTCGGCCATGATGCAGCCGGCGGACCAGATGTCGATGCTGGTGTTGTAGGTGCGGGAGCCGAGGAGAACGTCTGGGGCGCGGTACCAGAGAGTGACTACTTCATTGGAGAAGGTATTGACTGGAATGCCGAAAGCTCTGGCCAGACCGAAGTCTGCAAGCTTGAGTTGGCCCTTGTTGTTGATGAGGAGATTCTGAGGCTTTAAATCTCGATGTAGTACACGATTTTCGTGGCAAAAAGCAATGCCTTGGAGGAGCTGGTGCATGAAGGATTTGATGGTGATGTAGTCCAATTGGCCGCCGGAGCCGCGGGAGTCCATGTACTTCTTAAGGTCCTTGTCCATGTATTCGAATACGAGCATGAGCTTATTCTCGGTATGTATGACATCGTGTAATGAGACAATGTTGTCATGTTTGAGCTCTTTCATGAGCGAAATTTCGCGGATGGCGGTGCTGGGAGTGCCTTCTTCGCTATCTAGGTGGATCTCTTTGAGAGCAACGAGCTCGCCTGTCTGGCGGTTACGTCCTTTGAAGACCTGACGGTCTGAATGAGCGAGTTTGTGCAACAGCAGAGTGATAGCCTTACTGTTGCATATGTCCCCTCACCCAGCTATGGAATTCGTCAGCGCGTGGCCCAATTCAGATGTTGACATGGCATACCTTTTCCAGCTGCTGGAAGGAGCTGGGATGTCTCTTATCCATGGCTTGACTCCCGGGTAGCTGTTCAGGTTTCTGCCTTTTTACAGTTCTCTCGTAATTTAGGACGTCGCTCGGAGCTACAAGCTGGTCGGTGATTTGACGCTTCAGGTTGTTGCGTGAGGACTGATGGGTAAGAGGCAGATTTATATTTCTTGCGCAAGAAGTACCTCCGCTTGGATCCATGTGGTTGGATTGAACTGGAGCCAATCACATTATTTTAACGCTCTGCCGGGTTACAAGAGTGAGGATCTATCTATAGACGCAAAGACTGGACAGCGAATGGTTCAAAGATGTTGTAATTCAAAGTGAGGGACACGAAACTGACTTGAGATGACCATTTATGTTGAAATGATTCCTCAAATAATAGATGTGTTTCGCTGGGATTTCTACAGGGCGGTCTTGCCTTCCCACCTGCGTCCTGTCTCAAGAGAAGTTCAGAATACGTCTAAATTCTGTCCTTGCCTAACTATAACATGTGTGTTGATCTTGCATCTAAATCATAGTTTGATTGTTTTCCGGGTTGCACTCATTCCATATCCTATATCGTACGAGTACATCACCAATACAACCTGCAGTATAAACTATTCGAACGATTTTCCCTGTCCTCGTGCCCATCATTTTTACAGCTCGAAGCTCCCGTCAAGCCCATCTAATCCTACCAAGCCATCCATTGCTAACCCATGAAACTCTGCCCCTATGTCACAGCTGCTCAGTTCCTCACCACTCGTGAGGTCTTCTTCAGAAAAGCTCACACGGCCTTGCGAAGCGTCTGGCTGGTCGCCCATATTGGAAGGCATAGCCCAAATGTTGGAACACCAACCAAAATCGTCAGAAGGAGGTGGCGAGACGTACGACGAGAAAACATCTTCGGAAGGAAAGTGGCTGTCCAATGGAGGCTGCATTTGCTGGTTTGAAAGGTCAGACATCCTGAACTGCCGACTTGAGCCCGGAGACAAGTTCTTCGGGCTTGGTGCAGGATTATTGAAAGAAAGGTAATCGAGGTTCGGTGGATCTGGGGAAGGATCCTGGCCCGGAGATTGTGAGATGCTGATGTGCTGCGAATATCCATTTTGAGGATTTGGGTCAGATACTACTGACGAGACGCTATTTTGACTGGTGCTACGATCATAACCCGAGAGCTGCCCGGTTGACAGGGTTGGAGCAGTAAAACGACGCCCGCTGCTGCTCTCTCGTTTCACAACCGGCGCGTTCCACGTTGAAAAGCGTGAAGCTATGGTTTGAAGTTTGCGAGCTGACTTCGAAGACTCCTTTGGAGCCGCCATGTTTTCCTCTGATTTTCGTCGTCCTGCAGTGGCGTCTGAGCCTCGGGCATCCTTAGAAAATCTTTCAACGCTGATGATTGCGGAGGCAACTTTCTTGAGTTCAGCCGCACCGATTGCTGCATTGCGCTCAAGTATCCCGATAACAGAGCACAGGAGTCTTTGGCTGTCCTGAATTAATTTGCCTCTGCGATCAAGGTTAAGGCCCTGAAAGAGCAGGCCAAATCCTGCGAGAAGCAACAGCTCGTTTTTGTTGAGACAGAATGAAAAGCTCATCCTCCGTTCTTCAAGCAACTGAACGATCTGAATAATGTGTTTGCTGGATTGTGCAAGAGCGACGACTGAGGGTGAAGCCTTGTTACCCAGGCTAGAACCTACTGCCGGCCGATGGATGAGAGTGCGAATGTAATGATAGGCGAGAGACTAGTACGGTCAGTCAGCAATGACTCTTGTGCATTGGCGTGGTGCAATATACCAATAGAGGCGATCTACTACCAACAACGTTGGTACTGGGTTTGTCCTGAACGAAGTGTAGTCGAAGATGAGGTGGAAGGCTTCCAAGCCAAGCGTCGAGCTCATCGTTCAGTGCGCCAATCTTCTGAAGGGACAAGTCATGCGATGAAGCTGCAGGGTAATTTTCTTCCAAAACCTTGGACATAACACGCGCTACACGGAAGAGGGCTAGGGCGCTGGACACTCTTGTAAATTCGCCTGGCAACGTTGACTGGAAACCTCGCTCGGAGACATGTTCATCGTCGACATCGGCAGGGTACTCTGCATGAATGTCGCTTTCATTGAACAGCTTCGGGAGCCCGAGCAGGGCAGCCGAAAAGCTACAGCGACTTAGTATTACGGCGTGGGACTCGACGTTGATTCAACTCACCAGTCCAGTGTATACAGAGTCCAGAATACTTTCTTCCTTATTTCACTAGTCAACGCGCCCATAGAAAAGCGCTTCTGACTCTGGTGAAGCCCAAGGCGATGTGAGAGGCTTATTGCAATGCCCTTGTAGTGCAAAAGTTTGTTGTAATCGGCCTTTGCAATACAGTAGATCTGGACGAGGGCAAGGCACTGTAAAGTAGGCAAAGTGTTTTCTGCTAGTACAGCGTCCAAAGCCGCCTGCCATTGCTGCTCAAACCCTTGAGCATTCTCTTTGTTCCACTAATTGAACATTAGCATTTATTAGGTAGACCTGCAAGTCTTCCGTGGTGCGTACTTCGGAAGACAGAGCTGCGATACCGAAAATGAGGTTCAACTGCGCAAGAGAATGGTTGTCCTTGACGCCTTCAGGTTCGTTCACGTAATCGGCATACGCTTTCAACACAGTCGGCCGATGCACAACAGGAAAGAGAGGAGCCCATTCCTGGAAAAAGATGTTGATCATTTGATCTGAGACCATACGGGAAGGGACTCTCGGTGCGATGTAGGTAGAAGATCTCTGTGTGGAAGGGCTGTCTTTCTTCCTTATCGCGAAGCACGCTTCTGTCTTGAACTCGCTGCATGGCCTTCCGGACTCCTGAAATTTGGCTTTGAAAGTGTCTGCGGGAATCAGTGAAGCGCACGCCATGCTGAGCACGAGGGCTGCCCACCAACAAAGGATCTCCCGCTTGATGCACCCATGAAATAGGAGTCCGATTCGTCGCCATCGAGCAGGCAGGGCGACTGCTGGACCCTGAAGGTATGCTCTTTCCGGGCACTCTTGACGTCCTCCTTCACATCGGGCAGACTGGGCGAGGTTGAGGGCGTGCTTGACGGGCGTCTGAGTGACGGCGAATTGGAATGAACCCTCGACAGTATATCAATCTTTTCATCCTTCTCGTCGAGTAAATCCTTCAATTCTGTGGCTTCGGTTTCGAGAGCGCGTACTCTTTCTTCCAAAGATTCGGTGTATCCTCTGGGGAATGCACGGCGACTAAGCTTGTCACTTGTTTTGCAAGCGAATCCGACATTGGCACACTGTGAGCAGCATGGTGTAATGCCATCACATCGGATCTTCTTGCTGCGGCATCTGTCGCACGCCTGAGCGATTCTACTCTGCGCACTTGTGCCCACCTTGATCACCTTCATCGGGAGGATGCCAGGCATGATAGCTATATATCCGTTCGTCCGGGGTTTGTAATCTGATATACAAGAGATTGGTCTGAGTGTTAGGTGAACACATTGATAGACAAGGGTACTGGAGGTTTCACAATGCTGTGGGGGGGATTGAAGGAAAGAAGAGGATTGGAGGGTTGACAAATAATCTTACTTTACTCTAACATTATTGTTACAGCTGTGGGGTCAGGACTATGAGGTCAAGCTGATGCTCACACGGTGATTGGTAAGATTACCCTTAGATGTCCCAGGACACACACACTTTCGGGCATTGGCACTCGTAGGGTCAAATCTAATCTTTTTCCATTCAATTCTTCTGCCATGTCATTGGTTGCTTTGGATGCGACGTTCCTTTTTCTTTCCCCTTCCCCTTCCCCTTCCGCCTTCTTCGCTGCTATCTCCGACCGTATGATGCGATTGTCCGAAATCGGGTTTTGACTTCTAGCTTGGTGGTATCGGTGGCTTTCTTGGCGCCACACTTAGCTCAATCTGAATCGACTGTGAAATGCGGGGAATATGCCAGCCAATCACATTCTCAGCCGTCCAAAATCTAGAATATGGCAGACCTGCTCCGTACTTTCCCCCAAGCAACCTAGGTATCTTATCAGAGGACCTATTCGGAGAAGCTTGCGATGAGATCAAAGCAACCATCATTACCGAGTATTACCCTATTATTATTTTCTCATCTAGGAAAACGACGTTTCGCTTCACATTGCCATGTTGCACTGGCCCTGTGTCGCAATTCTCTCTCTGACGGCTAGAGATCTTTCGCTCTCCAGCGAGTGGTGTAGCAAAATGCTGCTGCGGCGTCTAGCCAGTGCCGTCAATCAAAAAGCTTTTCAGCATGTTCCCAACAAGGTCGCTATGTCCTCGACCGTTGCTTTAAGAAAAGTCGTCTTCGGACACGCCCGGATTCGAGGCCATCGTGGCGCCAAGATACTGCTGGACGACTGGTGAATCGAGTATTTGAGATTTCTGGTCATCACCACGTTAGTGAAGAAGCTGTGCTTTTCCCCGGCAGAGTCTCCACATACCTTGGTCTCAAAATCCCCGTAAGCGTGCAGCAATAAGATCTCTTCCAAATGTCGCAATTGCATTGCGTTCGCACGAATGTCATTATCAACCTCCCCAATGATCAATAGCTCGTCGACGGAGTTCTTGCTGCCCTCGAGCCTGAAGAGCTGCTGTTCGACGCGGTTCTGACAAGTAATGATTGCTCGTAATGCAAACACATCCCACAATGGTTCCAATTTCAGCAGCTTAACTAGATTTGACATGTCCGTTATCTCTTTATCTTTCCAGGAAGCCTGCAGCTCCCTTTCACCATCGTTCTTCTGCAATAATTTGATTTCGAGACCATCCTCTTCGTTAACACAAAGCAGCCATACAAAGGAGGACTCCCAATCTGTAGAGTCACCGCGAAGAAAAAGACGAAAGCCTGGTGCTGATTGAGCAACGGCTTTCTTCGCGAGCTTCAAAGGGTCATCATCTGGGATGCTAAGGTCCAGGAAAAGCTCTCGGGCGGACTTCACAGTCGATTCAATGAAGCCATAGGAGAACAGCATCTCGCAGGCACCTTTCTCGTCTCCATACGTGATTGTAACCTCGTCATTCGGAGCCAAGTCCTTACCTTCTCGAAGGACAAGAATGGCATTGCCGTCGCCGTCGGTCTCATACAGGGCACTGGTACTGCCGCCCGAAGCATGGTTCGCCATATCAATGCATGGGACCATAGAATGTCCGGTACCAGGCAAGTCTAAAGCCCGAGATCTATACATTGCATCGACCGTTTTCCAGTCATCGAGCGTCAATGTGCCACTGGCTGCGTCCCACCAGCATTCCTGACACCAGTCGATTGACGACGTCTTCTCTTTCAGAAGAGTAATTTCACGATCCAAGCCATTCAATTTAGCACTTACAGCCGCTTCAAGAGAAGTTCCTGTAACTATCGCTCGTTCGCTCTCATTCCAAGTTGTGGGCAAGGGGACCCTGAGTGGAAGAAATTTCACGTATTCGCTGAACGGATTGGAGACTCCTATGCTGCCTCCAGTGGCACCGTTGGTCACTTGCAGGAGCAAGAATATCAGGATGGCTCCCCTTGCTGTCTGACACCCATTAGTCTACGTCCAGAGCCTCTGTATCTTTTATCGAGGCTTTTAGGCCAATTACCCTTGAGTAATCTCCGGTAGCTTCGAGGACCTGGCGTAGATGCTTGTCTGATTTCGCGTACACCCATACATTTTCAAGAGACAGGACGAGGTCATTCGGGATTGTCATGAGCAACGGGTTGTCTATTGATCTCTCAGCGGTCATGACCAAGCCTGAACCCTTATCTCCTTGCGAAGCCATGATCTTAACGCCATTGAACTCGACATTGTTCAATCGAGCCCAAGCACCCAATTGATCAATGGGCAATGTCTGTCGATGCATGACCCAATATCTAAACAAAAGTAAGTCTAGCAAAGGAACATGGATGCAGCAAATAAGCCTAAATCAAGTGGATAAACCTCGGTACCGGCATGGCTTTTTTAATTTGCTGATGACGGCATCAGCTTGTGTCTAAATGTGCGCTTCACTCGTGCTCTTGTAGATATCCATGATACTCAATTAAACGTCTCCAAACTCCTCTCAATTGACAATAATTTGCTCAAACGACCTGGATATGTCTATACTCCGTACCTCCGTTCGTACCCGGACGCTTCTACCCAGGACTTTCCGCACCACCCCTCGATCCCTCCCTTTCCTCACCCAATATCGCTTCGCCTCTGGCACATCCGATTGGTCGGGCCGTCAGCCTCAAGAGCACGTTCAAAACCGAAGCGACGAGCTGGATGTCCAATCGGGGGCATCGCAATCAGGGAAAAGAGAAAGAGTTGCTGACAACGAGAGCGTGAGTCAGGGTACGTCGGAGAAAGATTCAGGGAACCAGAATGAGCAAGCCCAGAAAGATCATCCAGAGGCACCAGGGCCAGTGATTGGCATGAATGATGAGAGGGGTCAAGTAAGTCTACGATCCAAGGGAGCAGGGCTGTCAGTTAGTTTCGAGGAGTGTGCTGACCACTGTGTAGAAGGGCCATAAGGATTAAACCAAAGCGGCAAGAGTTTTACTATGGCTTTATGGGCGGCTGTGCTTGCATTGTGTTGCATACATTGGCGTCTGTGACATTTGGGCGTCATGGAAAGAGCATTCGATTGAGGTGCACAATTGAGACATCTTTGCCTGTCTAGGGTCTTTCAGCGTGTATTCAGAGCAGCCTAGAATTACAGCGACTGTTCGGCTTGCAAACTTGTCGTAGTCTTCGTATTAGAACGAGGTAGAAATGCTGTCGTATGAGACCCGTGGTGCAGCCCTACCAAGCGCGATCACCAGGTATCGCTCCAGCATTCCAAAAATTTCGAAATCACCGCATACTACTCTACTCTACTGGTGTAACGTAATGGGTTCTTGAAGAGAACAATGCCTCGAGACCCACTCATAGGTCTGGTCGGGAAGCCGTCATCTGGCAAATCGACCACTTTGAATAGGTATATCGATTCTCAGTCCCAACATCGAAGTCATGTTCTGATCGCTTGTGCTCAAACTTAGCCTTACAGACGCCAGCTCCAAAGTCGGCAAGTCTACAGAAAACCGTGCGTTCGACCAAGGCCTTGACTGACTAGGAGCTGCAGGAAACTTTCCGTAAGACATTTGCCTTCCAAAGAAAAAGAGCACATACTCATCCCGCCCAGGTTCACTACAATAGACCCTCAGCGAGCCATTGGATACCTTCAAATATCCTGTGCTTGCGCCCGACATGGCGTTTCCGATCGCTGCAAGCCCAACTATGGTGCTTGCGTGCAAGGAAAGCGTTCTGTACCAATCGAGCTCCTAGATGTCGCTGGATTAGTGCCCGGCGCACATGAAGGAAAAGGGCTCGGCAACAAATTTCTAGACGATCTGAGACATGCAGATGCCTTGGTGCATGTTGTTGATGTCAGTGGGACCACAGATGCAGAAGGTAGGGTTGCATCCAGGCCGGGATCTGATAAGGGAGCTAGGACGGCTGATGCGCCTTGTGCTCAGGAAAGGCAACCAGAGGATACGATCCGTCACAGGATATCGTGTGGCTTAGATCGGAAATTGTAAGATGGATAGAAGGGAATCTGATGGAGAAGTGGTGAGTGTCGGAGCCTCAAAGCCTCTTATTACCGAAGCTAATGGTCACCCAGGGGCTCTATCAAACGTCGTCATGTTGCCATAAGTAAGCAACAACAGCTGCTGGCATTTCTGTCTTGCTGAATATCGAAGAGGCGAACCCTGTCGACACACTACAGAACCAATTTTCTGGGTACGGGAGCACATCGCAAACAGTGGCCCGCACGCTGGACCACTTAAAACTCAAGGAGCCTCTTGAACATTGGTCACCTGAGACCATAAGCTCTGTCGTTAACGCTTTCACCGATGAAAAATTCCCTACCGTCTTCGCCTTGAACAAAATCGACCACCCAGACGCTGACAAGAACATATCGAGGATTGCAAAGATGCAAGATCCGCAATCTATAGTCCTGTGCTCGGCCATATCAGAGGTTTTCCTGAGAAAGCTGGCAAAGCAGGGCTTTGTGCGTTACGTCGAAGGCAGCGAATTTGTGGACACGAGGGAAGATCTCCTAGAAATGGGAGAGGCAGATGGGGGTGGACTGAAAGAATTGGATGAGAAGCTGAAAACCAGGATTGAGAATCTGAAAGATATGGTGCTGTACAGATTTGGTTCCACGGGCGTTGTGCAAGTGCTGTCACGAGCAGCGGAGCTTCTAGGTCTGGTACCTGTCTTCCCTGTCAGGAATATACATGGGTTCGGATCAGGGGCTGGGAGCAATTTCGTATTCAGGGATTGCGTCTTAGTCAAGAAAGGCACAACTGTGAGGGACTGCGCAAGGAAGGTCATGGGAGACGCGCCGTTGGCGTACGTGGAGGGCGCTGAAGGGGTGAGGGTCTCCGAGGATGAGATCGTGGAAGTAGGCAAGAACGATGTCAGTTGCAGGATAGGAAGCACATTGTCAAGAGCTAACGTGCGAGATACAGGTCTTGTCCTTCAAGGTCGGTCGATGACAACAGAGGTTGCCCAATTTTGAGATGCGGCCCTGCTGAAGACCATGAGGCGTCATGGCGTCATGCAAGTCATTACATTGGACCTTGCGTCGACCACAATTCAATGGTCCAGAACAACGTGCTCGCCTGTTTCCGTGGACTAATTATGCTACTTTACAGGATTGACAACAGACTCAATGTTTTCTCATAAATCCTTTCTGGCATACAACCTCATCGATAGGCTCAATCACTGCAATGTGCTTTGATATGTCTTTTGTCATTCATCCTCCTGAGCCTGTCAGCTTTTGTAGGTTTGAAGATCTGCTTACGAATCAACTCCCGTGCTGCTGATGAAACTTTTATTTACCCTTGTTGGCCGACCAAAATTCAGGGGACACTGCTCAGCCATATCGATAACTTGCGCATTTATATCAGAGGTTCCGACAAGCGATATGGCAACAGGCAGGTGCTCGACGCGTTTATCGACGCGTGAGTTGAACGGGACTTGACCAAACATGTCTCGTTCGTTAGTGTTAAATACCTTTAGTCTTGAAGCCAGCAGAACTTACTGGGCAATGTCAGCTCGAGAACTCCTGCTGTCAGACCGAGGCAAGAGCTAGTGAGCCCTTTTTGTGGAGTGGAGGGGACATTAGGTGCACTATCTCGGTCAGATCATTCGAGTGTTTCGATCACCATATAGCGTGTTGCTCGTCCGGTCTAAGATTATTGGTAGAAAATGACCGATAAATCTTTCAGATCGAGCCTTGATCTACAATTTCACATAGGGCTTTTGAGAGGCAGAATTCACACTTTCATGTTCTTTTGCTGCAGACGGCGAACCCACATCATATACTCGTATTTACAGAGGGTGGCGCGGGCAAGTATAGTATCTCTTGACCCGTTTACCTAGTTACGCCAACGCAAACAATACCGGTAATCCACAGTTCATCCTCAAGAATTGATGATACCTTCCCGCACGCTTTAATCAAAACAAAATGACAGTGTAAACACCACTAGACTCCAAAAGGGGCATATGGCGCAGACGCTCCATCAGGAGGCTCAAAACGTCAAGGCGATCCCCTTATCCCTAGACTTACGGAGTTTATTCGCGCCCTTCTTATTTCCAGGTTTATGCCCTTTCGAATCGTTTCTAGGCTTACGAAGAACATTCCCCTTTTTCGAGCGCAAATAGTCCTTTCGCCATACCTTCTTGTCGTGTTTGAGCGTCTGGTTCTGTGCCTCGGCAGCTGCACTCTGAGCACGAAGGACTTGTGCTTCGACCGCAGAGGATTGCATTGAACGTTGAGAAGCCGTCAAAGGAGTCATTCCAGTACCAGCCAAAGCCGTCGTGAAATGATTGGCGGCGCGGAGGTCCCAGACATGAGACAGCGGGCGCGGAGGGGATGCGTCCGGGAAAACACAACGCTTGAGTTTGTCGTAGACCGCGTGCATTGTGAGTATTTTGTGACTGGGAAGAGATTCTATGCTGGTATAGGGCAGACAGTAATAAAAAGTTATGTGATAAGAAGCAGATATATAGAAAGCGGTGTATGGGAAGACTGCTTTGTTCTCGACACTGTAAAGACAATGTCCAGTCAACAATGCATTGTTTGGCTTCGTTCTCGACGAAGGGATATCATTAGCTCATCCGTGCATCATGGTACCTGAATGGTGAGTTCGTGAAAAGAAGAGCCACATCCGCCATGAGATCTGTTGCGTTTTCCGGAATATATGGTACGAATCCTAGGGTGCACTGATGATGAAGATGGCGAACGATAGAGAGAAGGCCACTGACGAAGCAAGGAAATATAGGGCAAACAGCCAGAAGTCCTAGAGAAAGCATTCGCTGTCAAAGGAAAGATGACAATACTTGGCTTCAGGGAAGGTCACTATGGTGGAGAGCCAACCCAAGAGGAAACGAAAACAGTATGTTGCACTCTCGTTGGTATTGTTAGCAGTGCAAAGTCTTCTTTCTTCGTACCGTTGCTGAATGCCAAGTAGAATACAAAGCACTGCTCGTCTCGTCTAATTATTCTCCTGTAGCGAGACAAGTACTGAGATGCTCGCTACATTACCCACCTTTTCCTCATGTCTGGCACCGCAGTGAAGACGTTTGATCTCAGGATTGACATCGAGGCTCAGTGAGAATTATTAGGATCAAACTTGACATCCGTGAGTCCTCCTAAGATAGGATAGCAAAGGAGGCTTGGTTGGGCCTATCCCTGCTCAGACTCCCCTGCTCAGACTCCCCTAACATACGGTACAGCAATCCATACATGCAACCCAGCTTCATCAAAGATTCAAGTGTACTGGTCTGCAGGAGGAGCTTGTTGACCCCTAGCTGGGCGATTATAATTATCTTTCAGGCAGACACTTGGAGAAACCGAATTCGCGGAAACACAGGGTAATCTTCGAGACACACCGTCTAACCACCAATTCAAGTGTCTATGCTTCGGAAGGGTCAGCCTGAAATGGAGGCACACCCCCTAACATACATAATAAATCAATCAGAGAACCCAATCTTACAAAGGAGGAGAAGGAGGCAGGCGCCGTGCTAGAGAAAGTGGTATTGCTATGTCTCCCATAGACACGGCAGATTCTTGCTCCGAGAATTCATATTCCTGGCCAAATACTGCTGCCAACAACCAGCTTTTCCAATGATTGCCATAATTTAGCAAAGATGGAAAGATTAGCAACTATCATGACCACCGAGGTTCTTCCGAGCCCTACGTCTGTTGAAACATACACATTGGCTTCCGGACGGTGACGTTGGGGATGGCCCTGCACCATTCTGCACATCTGCCACTTCGACAGTGGCAGTCCGTTTTCGAACCTCGTGTGCCCAATAGTCGGGACTCTCGGAAGTGGAGGGCCCGCGATGAAGCTGCTGGGTCATTTACTTAGCCTTTGTGGCAGCTTCAGCTCGTCAAGAGAGCCAGGCTCCGCTGCAAGTAATCATGCCATTATCAGCGTTCGTCCGGAACCACTCTCTGCCTTGGTAGCCATGCTGACGGCAACAGTTTGGTACGTATATTTGGGAGCTGATCCTCCCCATATGGTATTGAAACTGAGTCGCAAGAGGACCTTTCTACTCCGAAGACCTGTCTTGCAATTCCAAATCCTACCCTGAATAAGCCATGCTGACTCGGAGATCTGCGTAGATGACATTGTCACGGTCCACGGCCTTGCAAGCGTACCCTCTCCCTACCATCATCTATCTTTCTCGTCCTACAGCGTTCTTACGCCGCGAGATCCAGCTCTTGACGGATTGATCTCCGAGCACGACCTCAATTGCGCCGTCTCCTCGCCCAATGCCCTGATTGGCTCACGCCCAATGGAAAATGCAGATGGAGCATACTTCGACATTGCCAATGCGACTTCGATGGCCGAGGAAGGCCTTCAACCCTATTTTACGCTGAAGTCATTCTATATCAAGCCAATGGATGCACCTGCGCCCGGGACGAAAGTCTCTGTGAAAGGCTACACGAAGGTTCGCGATGAGCCGTACGTATGGCAAGTCGATTTTCCAAGTGGATTCCATTTACCCTTCCTGGTCAAGATGGAAGAATACAGCGGTGAGGAGTGGAAAGAGATTTACAAGGTGGAGATAGTGGCCGACTTCGGGTACGATGATTTAGACTGGGAATTTTGTGTTGATGATATTGAACTGCGATTCTTCGCACTTCCGGAAGATGAGAGTGAAAGTCTCAGTCACAGCGGATCTCAGATTATCTCGGGAAAAGGGGCCCAGCGCTAGGCGATGGGCTCCGGTTGTGTTGCTTTCGAAAATCCTCCCCCATGCAAAGCTGGAATGCTTGCGTGGCCTGATTGTAAAGTGCACCGATCTGCTACTGAGACCAGTGTCCATGCGCGGTCTGCGCGTGGACAAGGGTTCTAACCTCCTTAGCCTACTCCAGGTCTTTTGTGTTGATCGCAAGTAACGGAAATAAACAGTCCAAGCAGATTCGGCCTCGAATGGAACCATCCACGCGGGGACTCGGACAAATGATGATTTCGAGTCAGCATGCGTTTTCCAGGCGTAAAGTCAACTCCCGAAACAGGTGTTGGGGTAAAAAGAAGTTCATTTGCCTCCAAAACATGTTTTATCTGCGAGTAAAGCCGCGAACTGGAAGGAGACACTCGGAAACGAGGTACCAAGATAGCGGTATTGGAAATGGATTAGGGGAGATCTATAATGCAGGAGGAACAGTACAGCCTTCGAATGGCTTGATCTCCTCACATTGAATGCCTAAACTGGACTCAAGACCTCGCGAGAATAGTTTATGTATGGTTTCCTCGTTGGCTATCAACCGCATGTGTTCCAGTCCAAGGAATTATATCCGAGGGTCTATACTATACAAGAATCTTTCAAGATTTCCCTTCTTCGGTCCACCAATCCTGACCGGCCTCACGAATCTTGGTGCCTACAATTGTGCGTTGGCTGATAGGCGAGCCGGTGTCCCTAACTTCTGTCTCATGCAAGCCGTACTGTACAAGAACCTCGGTGAGAGCCGGCTCTCCTACTCAAGCCGCGGCCTCAGACCTCTTCTTCACGGGTTTGGTTGCATAGTGCCTGCTAGAAAGACTGTGTCGTCATCCATAATCCCTGTCCACTTCCGCCAGAACTCGATATTTTCCCTGGCACACGTCCGTACTCGACATACCGGGCAATGCGAAAGATGTCCATGACAACGGCATGTCACGCAATATTTGGGGGCAATATCATGATATTCCGAGCACTCTCCGTGACTGGTGCCCTTTCTTGCCTCTCCGAGGAGTTCTTTCGGAATCAGGACACCATCTCTCTGCAAAAGGCCAACAATGCGTGATCTCGCGCAAGCACTCAGATCGCCAGGCTCCTTGGACAAGCATCCCAAAGTCGGATGTGTGTATTTAAGGCAAGCATGAGCGACGACATCAAGATGATCCGCCACGAGGCATAGGACATCTAGCGGGAGCTCCAGCAGCCTCATTCTCTCTTGCTTGTTTCTTTCGCTCGATTTGTGATCAGAAGTATGTTCTATAAGTGAGACTGCCACTGGGAATGTCAGACTATATTCTCTCCATCGCTTGGACGTAAGCAAAGGTCAAAGGCCTCTGGTAATGCTAAGAACAAATCCCTCACCATCCGTATCGCCTGCTGTGGCATTCTTGGAGGTTGGCGCTGTTGTTTTCAATTGCTTCGATGTCAGCGATGGTCCAAGGCCTCCAGTTACGCTCAGACCAAAGTCTCTGTCGTCTGCATCGTTTGCTGTGGTATTCCTTGAGTTTGACGCTGATTTGCGTTTGGAAGCCATTGAAAAATAGTATCTTCAGCTAAGGAACACTGGTGCCACCAGGTGCGGTGTCTCTCGTATCGATAGTGTCTCGAACCCACACCTTGACTTGGCCAGAGGATAGGGCTTTTGGACGGAGGATCTCGATGAGACGATGTCTTAACACCGACTGGGAGGCTCGAGAATTTATACCCAGAATTGCTGCTGTTGCTATGAGGAAGTTTTAAGAAGCATGTGAATACAAGAAGGTGAGAAGGTTTGTGAAGCCTTCACTTATGCCAAGCCAATCCCTCTCAATGCGGCCAAGCTTTCGCCACGACACATTCCGTAGGGAAGCCGCCGCCCTACACCTCTGTTCTTTATAAGTATGATTCCTTGAAATCAAAATTGTGGGCCTCAACGGGTGAGGAACCCTGAATGTGTGCCATTTCTAATCAAATCCTACGAAGCATTTCAGACTTTCAGCGGTGTTCTCTCTGACCTTGACAGTAAATGAGGCTACTGGCCTGTGAGTATCGGACTATATGTTCACAGCACAATCGCTATGGTAGTGGCAAACGAAGTTGGTGCTCAGGGGATATACGGATTGCTTTAGTGTACGAGGGCCCTACGAGGTTAGTGATAGGCGCTGCACAATGACGAGGCTTTGAAGATTGGGCTTCATTAGATGGAGACTGAAGACCGACATCGAGAGGCTGGGAAAGCAATGAAGCATGCCGTGCCACTGATTCAATTGAATCAGTCCCAGCCAAAGCAACGTAGTATCCCGAGCGCTGGTAAGCCCCAGTATACAGTTGACGCAATGGTTGGTTAAGTTATTCGTAGAGGTGTCGCTAATTGTCCAGCGCGAAAGGCTGTGTCATTGCCAATGCCTGCTTCGGGTCAACTCGCGCTCAATCTGGGTGCCGTGCTCTCTCTTTTTGCATGTGCATGTATGTTTATGCGGGTATCAAGTCGAGAAATCGAGAAGAGCAGCCTAGTACTAATTGAGAATGGTCTTATCACAATCGCATGTACTGTATGACGCCGAGGAGAAAGCGGAAGACACTGTTTGAAAGCTCCTTTCTCCATGGACATGTTGATTGCTGTCTGGCCAGACGCATCATGACGCCCTTCTGCCTTATCAAATATCCCAGGATCCATGGCTGAATCCCGACATTCATATCCCAGTACCTCGAACCCTCTTTAAATGGCGTCAAAGCCCTCCTTCTGGTGTCTTTGCGAGGTCGCTCATGCCTACTAGGTCCTGAACTATTGTCGACTTATTGTCGGAATCTGCGCGACTTCTTGGTCCCAGTGCAGTAGAAGTAAACTCCCTTGACACCGATCATGGGTGACGATTCCCCCAAGCCCACAGCGATTGAGCTGATTTCCCAACCAATCACCTTACCTTGCGGACTGACCTTACCAAATCGACTTGTCAAATGCCCTGTATGTCTACATTTCGGAGCAACATTCCCCTAATCCGTACCCCAATTTGAGTTCCGAGACAAGTTTCGAGATTGTTATACTCATCGAACCGTGTCTCGTGACTTCCTTTCCATCTCAAAACAGAAATACTGATTCCGAGATCTTGAAGATGCAGGAGACACTCGCGACACCGCCCGTTTTTGACCCACCTATCGACAAATTCCAGAACCTTTACAAGCAGGTTAGACAAGAAGAATTCCAGTTTGCTTGGCACTGAGTAATGAGCTTTAGTGGGCCCACGCAAAATACGGCTTGATAATTACCGGGCAAGTTCAGATCGATATTCGATACCTTTCCATCAAGGGCGATGTCGTGTGCCATAAGGATTCTTGCAAGGAACCCCACTTCAGCAAATGGAAGAAATGGGCGACCATATCGCAAGAAGCTGGTACCCCTTGCATAGTCCAATTGGCGCACCCAGGGAGAATGAGCCCAGCTGGAGCCGGAGAAAGGCCCCCGGGGATGGCAGCTATATGTCCATCTTCTGTGCCGGTTGAACTCGGTGAAGGATGGCTGAACAAAAAGGTATTTCGACTCGGCGATTCTCCAATCGATCCTGTCTATTGACAAGACATCCAGGCTCTGAACGCGGTTCTGGGAACGCCTCGAGAGGCGACCTTGGACGACATCGATGCGGTTGTAGCAGCTTGGGTGAATGGTGCTCGATTAGCAAAAGAGGCCGGGTTTGCTGGATGTCAACTACACGGGGCTCATGGTTTCCTCTTGTCACAGTTTCTGAGTCCACACACGAATCGGCGTACCGATGACTATGGTGGATCACCAGAGAGAAGGCTTGCTCTTTTGAAGCGTTTAGTGAAAGAGATCCGAGAATGTTGCCCTCGACCGTATTGCCTTTCAGTAAAATTGAATTCAGCAGATTATATGGCCACGGGCCTGGGGCTGTCAACGGATGAGGGCCTGGAGCAAGTCAGATGGCTAGTTGAATGCGGCGAGGTAGACTTGGTAGAGATAAGTGGTGGCAATGCGGAGAACAAGACCTCGAAGCTTCACAGTAAAGTTACAGGCCAATTCCCTTACACGTTTGTCTGCTGACCTCGCTATTGCTAGACTCATTTGGGACCAAATCTCTAGAAAAGGCCCCAAAGAGAGAAAGTACCCGAATCCGTGAAGCCTATTTCACGGAATTTGCGGAGAGTGTCCAAGGGTTGAACTCCAGAGTCCCAATCCAGCTCAGTGGTGGTACGTCCATAACATTTGCATGGCTCAGAAAGTGTTCTGAAGAGTTCATAGGATTTCGCTCGAGGACAGGCATGGCAGATGCTATTGACTCTGGAATCTGCTCTCTCATTGGCCTTGGTCGCGCCGTCGTTTTACAGCCAGATCTCCCGGTGACTGTCCTGCTCAATCCCTGTGTTTCTGATGACGAAGCGCTGGCTGTACCACACATTGTCAAGGGCCAGTGGTTTGCGAACATGATTCCTGTGAAAGTGGTTGGCTCGGGTCTTGCCATTCAATTCTTCTACCACAACATGAGGCGACTGGGTCACGGCCTGAAGAGTGATCCAGATGCTTCGATCCCGTACATTGTGTTTCAGGGCGTCCTCGAGACCTTTCGAAGTGGTTTATTTCAAACTGTAGAGCGGATGCTGCAGAGCTTCCCATGGCAGAGCAAGGCTTCCAAGATAGACTGAGGTAGTTAGGGAGGGACGTGGGGACCTATGTTAGTCGTTGCTGCATAGGTCAACGAGTGTACGAGCATACAAAGGTTCCAGCGTAACCGCCTGGCTTTGGCGCTTAGTTCTTTCGCTTGAAGATGAAATTGGATCAATGTGCCAGGCTCGAGACAGACTTCGCTGGTCTTTCAAAGGATTTGGTAAACATTTGACTCCAATTAGTGTGAAGATTAGTCACTGATCAACAATCCGCCTGTGTTCCAATTGAGTGAAAGGACATGGGCAAAGAGAGCGTGGAAGACGACATGACTCGCTGGCGTCGAGTCAAAGTTGGTGTGCTCGTTGAAGGATATGATCAAGTTGACCAATTGCCTAATTGCCTATCATTATCATTATCATGATCATGATAATTATTATGCTTGCGATTATTTGACGGTTCCACGGTTGTAGCAGCGATGACCCAAAAAAGAGAAAGGTGCCAAACGGGGAACGACCTTTGCCCCACTGCCCCCACTTAAAAATATTTTGACCCAGCTCCCCAGCAACAGCAGCCCTCAAGTATTAACTTATTGCTATTGCCGCCACAATTACCCTCGCACAACTTCTTCCTCCTCCTCCTCCTCCTCCTTCATTGACCCACATTCAATTTCAGATCCAGAACTACAAGAACCGCAATCATGGCTTACGGCAAGGATGATGAGCTTGCCATCAATACAATCCGTCTGTTGGCCGTGAGTGGAGCCCCGCCATACCTCTAAGCTATTGCATCTGCCCATTGAACTCGAGATTGTCTCACCTCTACACCTACAACCGATTTACTGATGCGCTGGTGCTAATGCATTATTTCTCACAAAGGTCGATGCCACCTTCAAAGCCAACTCCGGTCATCCCGGAGCCCCTATGGGCATGGCACCCGTTGCCCACGTCATGTTCAACAAGTTCATGAGCTTCAACCCCAAGAACCCAAACTGGGTCAATCGCGATCGTTTCATCCTGTCGTAAGTCGTGTCTCCTGCTGCAAGTTTTTCAACTTCGGGACAGCTGCCATACACCTTCGAATGGTAGACTACGCTTCGCTGGCATTAGCAGGATATGACATTACCAATGCCATTCTAACGTACTATTCTCGACAGGAACGGTCATGGATGCCTGCTCCAGTATGCTCTCTTACATCTCTTCGGCTACAAGGTGTCATTAGACGATCTGAAAGCCTTCCGAGTATGTCTCCCTCTTCGTGTCTGTGGGTTCCTCAGTCGCAGCTGACTCAACTCTTCGTACAGTCCATAGACAGCATCACACCCGGTCATCCCGAAGCTCAAGATACACCGGGCATAGAAGTAACTACTGGTCCCCTCGGCCAGGGCTTTGCAAATGCCGTCGGTCTTGCGATTGCACAAGCCCACACAGCTGCCGAGTTCAACAAGCCGGGCTTCGAGCTGATCAACAACCATACCTTCGCATTCTTTGGAGATGGTTGTGCGATGGAGGGCATTGCTAGTGAAGCTGCCAGCACTGCTGGCCACTTGCAGCTCGGAAATCTTATCATGGTCTACGACGACAACCATATCTCAATTGGTAAGAATAAATGTTGTGGAGACTTTGCAGTGTGTAGACTAATCCTGTTAAGACGGCGATACCAAGTGCGCCTTTACTGAAGACGTCTTGCAGCGCTTTGAGGCGTACGGTTGGCACACGCAATGGGTGAAGGAGGGTGATACCGATCTGGAGGGCATCGAAGAAGCCATCCGAATGGCCAAAGAGGTCACCAACAAGCCTTCAGTCATCAAGTTGACCACAACCATTGGTTTCGGTTCTTTGTTGCAAGGTACTGGAGGAGTGCATGGCAATGCTCTGAAGGCCGATGATTGCAAGCAGGTGAAGAAGAAGTTCGGCTTTGATCCAGAGGACTCATTTGTCGTACCGCAGAAGGTCTACGATTTGTACCACAAGCATGCGGCTGAGGGAGCTGCGAAAGAACAGGAGTGGAACAAGATGTTCGAAAAGTATGGTCAAGAGCACAAGGCCGAGCACGACGATCTTCTGCGAAGACTGAGCGGCAAGCTCCCAGAGGGCTGGGAGAAAAAGCTACCTACGTACAAGCCGGGAGACAAGGAGCAAGCATCCCGGAAGCTGTCAGAAGCTGTCTTGGAAGCCATTCACGGCGCCATTCCTGACCTGATTGGAGGCTCCGCAGATCTGACAGGATCCAACAACACTCGATGGAAGGACGCCATTGATTTCCAACCACCAGTCCTCGGCATTGGTGATTGGGCAGGTCGTTACATCCGTTATGGTGTGCGTGAGCACTCCATGGCCGGTATCATGAACGGGATCGCTGCGTATGGCACCCTCATTCCCTTTGGGGGAACGTTTTTGAACTTCGTATCCTACGCCGCAGGATCCGTCCGCCTGTCTTCCCTTTCGCATTGCCGTGTCATCTACGTTGCAACCCACGACTCCATTGGTCTCGGTGAGGACGGTCCAACCCATCAGCCTATTGAGACTTTAGCTCACTTCCGTGCGCTGCCCAACATGATGGTCTGGCGTCCTGCCGACGGCAATGAGTGCAGCGCTGCTTACTATGTTGCATTGACCTCCAAATCAAGTCCTAGTATCCTTGCTTTGACTCGTCAAAATCTACCTCAACTTGAGAACTCGACCCTACAGAACGCTATCAAAGGGGGCTATGTCTCCGTCGAGAATGAAAAGGCCGACATTACGCTCGTCAGCACAGGCTCGGAAGTCTGCCTCTGTATTGAAGCGGTCAAATATCTCAAAGATAATCACAACCTCACTGCCCGCGTGGTCTCCATTCCCTGCTGGGAGGTATTCGACACGCAATCCAAGGAGTACCGTCTGAAGTGTCTACCTGACGGAATTCCCTCCCTGAGCGTCGAGGTCATGTCGACCATGGGTTGGGAGCGGTATTCGAATGAGCAATTTGGTTTGAACCGATTCGGTGCCAGCGGTGCTTACAAGGATGTCTACAAGGTAAATTCGCTCAAAGCAATAGTCGATGGAGTAATCATCAACGCTAATGCATACACAGAAATTTGAATTCACTCCAGAGGGCATTAGCAAGCGTGCTGTGGCGACTGTCGACTTCTACAAGGGCACCAAAGTCCGCTCCCCCATCAATCGCGCATTCCAGCAGCTCATCTAGAGACTCTTCGTTTGCTTCATGATGCTTGCTGGCCACTTGAAACGGTAGATTATTATGAGTTTTACGTAGCTTATGCTTCCAGAGTTAGATAAATGCAAAGGAAAAAGTATCACACAGATCCATTTCAGGAATGAGGTTGTACTCTCTTTGCCCCGTTCTCTCCGAATGACAAACTTTCCGCATACAACTGTATTCTATCACCATGATATTGAACTTTTTGCCTCTCCTTTAAATAACTGCATATTAAGGAAACACAGTTGGCCTTCGTAACTCAACTCTACTATCGTATAGAACTTTGTGTCCGAAAAGATGCCCCCAAATCTGCGTGAGTCATTAAGACGATTCTTCATAATTTCAAGTCCCATGAATTGTACACACGCGGTGTTCGTCCCCTCCAGCGCGCATTTTGCGTCATGTGACCATCGATCTCAGTCCATGTGATCGGTGTCGCATGCCGCTTACAAGCGATGGCAGCTAGACCATATCTAATGTCCTCCATAAGACGAAAGATCTTCGGTCCTAGTCGCCACAACAGCCTGCAGGTACTCAGAAGTGTGCGAACCCTACAAGGTCATCATGGTGCGGATCCATTTATAGGTTCAGGCTCTGGTAAAGAGTGTATATCATGAATTCCGCGGTTGCCGGAGTGTACTGAGGAACATGGTTCATTAAGGGCCAGGCTTAGAAAATAAGAACACGAACACCATATTTGTACCAGCGCATTAGGAATCGAACCTAAAACGAACTAAATACCCCAACAACACGACTACAACCAAAACAGGTGTCCGCCCTCGGACTATGACTAACGGCCAACATTTCGCTTCACAAATCAACCTGAGCCCTTGCCAACACCGTTCGACAGAACTTTAAAACCTGTGGCTAATGGCGCTGCCAGAAAATAAGAAGCACCGCAACACCATTGTACCAGCGCCATTAGGAATCGAACCTACGAGTAATACGAACTAAATACCCCAACAACAGGCTTCACCTATCTCTTCTCGAAGACGCTTGGATCGACAACGCAGACAACGACCAGACTGGTGACGATCAAAGCAAGAGCGACAAAGGTTACAAGGAAGACGCTGCCTCTGCTGGCGGGAAATTTGCCCCGTATGATCCAATACTAGATTTCCATGTTAGCATGCGTACACAGTCTTTACCAGCCATATTCGCAGACATACCTGGCTCTCAAAGTACCTTCTCCCTCCGACAAGCAAGACTAAGATTGCGATTCCTAGAAAAGTAGCTCCCAATGGCTTGCCTACCTGGCGCAGATGGTACGTGTTGTCTGGATTGGTAGGAGTATAGCCTTCCCGCTCCGAGATGGTAGTATTGAGCCGGAAGAGTTGGGTTACAGCGATGCCGATGGAAGCGAAGGCAAGGGAGGTGCGAAGCCAGGCCAAGAAGGTACGTTCTGGGGAGTATAAGTCGGCGAAATTATACCAGGGAAGAATAACAAATCAATGATCAGAGCAGCAAGAACGATAAGCAGAAATTAGAGAAGCTTTGGACACACCAAGAGCAAGGTGATCTCTGGCAACACTACCCTTATTTTCCAATTCCACACTCCCATATTTCTCGGCCAATTCTCTCCACCAACTTCCTCCACCCTTCCCTTCCTCGGCGCTAAAGTCTCGTCCTTTCGACCCTGACCTCGACTGCCCTCCTGTCCTCCTCCTCGCGCTTGAGCTACTACTATGTCGAGATGTGCCCGGTTCACCCGATTCCGCAAGCTGCCCAGTAGACGTAGAATCGTAGTTCTTGTTCTTTGCCCCGCCTCTCTCCCGGTTAACGATGGGGGTGATCTCGTCGGCTGAGCTTTCCGCTTGCTGCTGCTGCTGGTGGGCATTACTTCTTGGAGAGATGGAGCGAGACATTGGGGCAGTCGAGGTGGAGAACTGGACACTGCGAGATCTGGGAATGGCACTTGAGGGACCTTCGTCGGCTGCTGAAGAAGGTTTGAACTCGGGAGTTGGAGGGCGAGAGCTCTTGGGAGAGGAGTGGGATGAGAGGGTGGCCATCATAGGACAAATGGAGGTGGAGGGCATATATATGAACATGTGACGCTCCCTCCTACCATGTAACTATTCCGAGAAATGTGCTTTAAACTAGCCTGTAAACTAACCTTGGAAGATAGGTAAGACCTTAGCATCTTCAGACACTCGAAACACATCATATTCAATTAATGACAGCTTATCCATCTTTTAACTGTCAGGTGTGTTACTGATATTATGACTCGCATATCAACGTTTGTCTTGGGCTCGCCTTCAGCGGTGTGCCATTCCTTTACTGCGCGAATTGGTGCCCGTCAGCTTCGTCCTTCTCCGCCTTCGTTATCTGCTCGTAGCTTCCAACAGTCCAGAGCTTTGCACTCATCACAGAGAAGCGCTCCATATTGTCAATGGTTGTGGCCTTCTCATAAAGCCTTGCCTCAAGGAATTCTATTCTGGATCCTGCTTAGCGGCGCTGGCATTTCTTACAGCATTTACGATGCTAAGCCATTAGTACTTGAAAGTGATGGGACATTCGAACTGCTTGGTTCGGAGAGGGTCAAACAAAAGTACCTCTCTCCTACATCACCTTTAACAGTTGAACAAGCAAACGAGATGTTACGACGGTCGGAAGACTCGCAAATGATTGGATCTGGTAGTGGTGTCCTTCGCTATGATACCATGCAGCTTCCCAGTAACTCGATATCAGAGGATGATTGTCTCTCGGCTACAGGTCGTGAAGACGGCGAAATCGAGTGGATGCTATTCGGTATTTATGACGGACACGCGTAAGATCTCCAAATTTGAGGCGAGGATCAGAACTGACACACCCAGTGGATGGGAAACAGCAGCGGCACTTCGTGACTACCTTTTTATTTATATAGCTTACGAGCTGGAAGCCATCTCATCGACGGGTGCCCCGAGTGACGGTATGTAAATCTCGGTCTTCTTTCACCCTTACTGCAAAATATATTTCGTGGACTCTGGTGCCCTCTTCGTTCTTCTTGAAGCTGTCTCCAGGCTCAAGTCTGAACTTCTCAAACGCAGACGCTGACCCAAATTCCCACACCCAGCCGCTCCTCAGGATGTCGACCGGGCGATCGAGAAGGCCTTTCTCAAGCTTGACAAAGAAATCATGGATCAAGGTGCTACAGCAATTACTGGGCCAAGTTTTCTTAATGAGGCAATGTCTCGGCTAGGCCCGGCTTACTCTGGATCCTGTGCCCTAGTATCATACTATCATACCGAGTCGCAGATACTGAAAGTAGCGTGCACGGGTGACTCACGCGCCGTCCTCGGTCGACGTAATGCTGCAGGTGAATGGGAAGCAATAGCTCTCTCAAGCGACCAGGTAGGTGGTTTGATCTTTGAACGGAGAGAAGAATAACCAACTCCGAAAAACTAGACAGGTCATAACAAGGATGAAGTTGCAAGACTGCATAAAGAACACCCAGACGAACCCAAGCTTGTGAAAGATGGAAGAGTTCTAGGTTTGATGGTATCGCGGGCTTTTGGGGATGGTAGATGGAAGTGGTCGCGTCAAGTGCAAGAGGAAGCACAGAGAAGGTTCTTCGGTCCGCCACTTAGGGAACCTCTCATTTCGCCACCTTATCTCACAGCGTTGCCGGTGGTGACTACCACCAAGATTGAACCGGAGAATGGAGACTTCCTTATCATGGCATCAGACGGGTTATGGGACCATCTCACAAGCGAGCAGGCGGTCGATTTGGTAAGCCAATGGCTCAAGACCTATGATGTTACAAAGGATGTTTCCCCTCCAGATCTGGCCCCCACACCCAATGCTATTCCTGCGCGTGAGATCTCGAGTCGACGCAACCCAAATCCAAACATGGCGTACACGTACGTATTTTCCGAGTTCATATTTCCTCTTTTGGACTAAATATTGAGCCTTGAGACATATCTTGGGAGTGTCTACTTTGTAGACATGTTTCAAGGCTCAACACACCATCTCGGATAGGCAATGCTGACGTTGAAATTACAATCTAGCGACATTCGAACCGCCGATGCAAAGCACTTTGTAATGAGAGACGAGAATGCGGCCACTCATCTAACTCGAAATGCATTAGGGGGAGGCAACGAGGACATGCTAGCTGGCCTGCTGACCGTCAGTCCTCCGTACTCGAGGAACGTGAGGTAAGGTACCTGAAATCTCAGCTATATACCTCTATGCTGACTCTCCTCTCTGATAGGGATGACATCACAGTGAATGTAATCTTTTTCGGAAAGGATGACACAACAATACAGAATCTTTGAAACCCGCGGCGAGTTATAAGCATTGGCAAGCAGCGAGCATGTGGTTCTGTATCAGAAGCCAGTCATGCTGAGCTAGTAGCACTTTGCCATGGAGACAGTGTGAAGATGCGATGTTTCTGACTCTAGTCGAAAAGAATGGAAAGGCAACCTTCACACGCTTGAAGGGTAAAGTAGGACATCAGCAGCCAAAGCTCTCAAGAATGCGGCCTCGACCCTACGGCTACCAGCGACTTTTTTGAGCACTGTGATTACATTGTGGCCTGCTGCCCGAATCTGCGCAGTTGGATGCGACAGATGGACAGGCTCCTCAGTTCCTGCAGGTAAGCCTGGCATAGAAAACCTTGTACGCTCTGGATAGGCTCTATCAAGGCGCAAGGTCCTAACACCTTGATTGGGAAGAGGAGCGATTGGCTGTGCGTAGAAAACCGAAATAACTTCGTCCAGCGAAGCAAAAACAAAAGCATGGGCCAGCCGCGGGTAGAGGGTCGGCGCCACTTTAGCACTCTCTGGGAAGAATTTTACCACTTTTGGCAGCCAATAATGTGGATTCTTTTGCGATCGTTTCAAATGCTCACTTCTGAGCAGTAGCGAATGCTTGTACAGGTACGTACCTAGATTACTCGTAGGGGCAATTGTGCCAAGGACGGCATGAAGGATCAGAATATTAATGTTGGTGCGTTCCACTCGGCTATTGAATCCATGTTTCAACTGACGACTTTTAACCCGTAATCACCCCCCCACCAGCCCCTACCGGAGCCAAGGCATAGCAATGGAAGAAGTTCAGCCGTTTCTGGGACCGAGGGGCCTTCCTTGGACTTTGAGTTTGGTTGTTTTGCCGTCTGCATGCTATGGTTCTGTATTTTCGGAGGAATCTGCTTCAATTGTTTGGGATCAAGTTGGTCGCCGTAAGCCTGGAGAGGAAGACTTTGATTCTGCTCGCTGCCGCATCACGATTCAGTCTTACTTTAAGTAGAATTTGGGCGCCTGTATTAGTACCTTAAAGCGAGACAAGATTAAAGGGCGACGATCGCGCTTCTACTAACCACGTGCGATTTTCTTCTCACAAACCTTAAACCTTGCCGCCATCCCGTTCTGCGCCGGCCATTCCCCATGAAGAAGGAAAGAAAGAAAAAAAAAGTCGAACCCCTTGCTCCTGCATGCTCGTGCAAGATTCTACCGTACATGTAGTTTGTGAGACTGTGATGGTAGACTGATCGTCGGTGTCCAAGGCACAAAGTGCTCTGAGGTGATGCCCCTAGGTAAATGATTGAATGATACGAGTAGAGTACCCGAGCTATCTGAATTACGTTAATAGGAGAAGCTGACTCCCCCTTCCCACAGTACTTTCTCCAGCAGCAATGTTAAATAAATGTGGTGAAACTGCCCAGCCTCAGATAGGTATTACCTTACTTTATCGTTGCGGCGTCTTTCCTCCCAGCTTACATGCTATCTATCACATTATCCCCTATTATTATAGCATCTAACGTGCATCTTATCATTACAATGTCACAGCGCCCCTCTTTGTCTTTGTTTCATGATTCTGACGGCCATTTGCGCTATGATATGATACCCACCAGCCTAACTACATGTGCCTTGATAATGCCACTTTGACTCCTCTAGGCGATTGTTTAATTTGACCTTTTGGTTCCTGAACGAAATAGAATAAGTACCTACGGTAGTCAGCAAGCAAGTCCCTGTTAGCGTCCTCGTTCCTGAGTCTCTTCTCAAGGTGAGGTAGTCCTGATCTCCTGACTATCACAAACCACCTTCCACCCTCATTTTCTTTCTCCTCCCTTCTTCACCAATCCTCCTCACATTCCTTTACCAACACTCTTTATTTGCGTTACAGAGTCCGAGACTCTTGCGTGCCAGTCACTACTTTCACTCACTCTTTTACATTGCTTATCTGCCTCTGCCATTCTCTCCCAGCACATTGCTTCCACCAACACTCGCTTCCTGAACATCCACTGCTTGCTCAAGACAAGCCCGCGTCATGCGTCTCTCTACCATTGGCCAAATGGCCTTTCTACTCGTTCATTCGCCCCTCGTTCACAGCCGTCTCGGCCCCACGATCTGCACTCCAGCTCCGGGAAGTACCGTGACTCCTGCCTTTGTCAAACAGGTCATCGTTGGCCTTGCACCCCTCATGTACGCACGAGTGGACCCTATCGTCTCCCCCAATAAGGCTTCAGCCCATGTGCACTTGGGCATGGGTGGCTCCAATTGGAATGCCTCGATGGAGGCGGACACCGCCCTCGACTCGTCGTGCACATCGACACAGGCCAAAGCGGACAACAGTGTCTATTGGACTCCAAGGTTGAGTTTTAGATCCCCCCAGAACGGTAGCTACATCTCCGTGCCTGCTACTCAAGAAAAGGTCTACTACAGGTAAGATCACTACATCGCCAGCCCGCCACTCCTCGCTGACCCTCCAGCTCTTCTATGCCAACTTCCGACAAGATCGTAGCCTTCCCACCAGGCTTTCAAATGCTTATTGGCGATCCTTTCAAGCGCAGCCAGCCGGATGCCACCCCGCTGGAGGGCGGAGGAATCTATCTCGGAAGAGACTCTGGCCAGGGCATCCCCCAACCAGTCCAGTTCACGTGTCCCACGGCGGACGGTTCGAATCCATATGCGAAGCAAAATCCATATGGTAATTCCGGCTTGGGCTTCCCTATGGCCAATTGCGACGCATCTGGGACAGGCCTGCGGTACGACGTTTACTTCGCCGATTGCTGGGACGGTAAAAGCCTCACGCAAGACCTCACAGCACCCACGTCTGGGAGAAATTACTCGAGCACTGCCGGCACCAAAAACGGTGAACAGAATTGCCCGGCAGGCTGGACGCATTTCCCAGCAATGCACATGGAAGTCTATTGGGACATTGACAGCTTCAAGACAAGCGGTGTCTGGAATCCTGCTAGTGACGCCTGGCCCTTCGAATTGGCGCAAGGCGATCCTTTGGGTTTCGGTCTCCACGGAGATTACGTGAGTTATCATAGTAGCGGTTCTATAACCTTTCTATAACCAAAGGCTGATGAAGTCCAGTTTGCCGGTTGGGGAAAAGACACTCTGCAAACCCTCATTGACGAATGTTATACATGTGATGGTGACAACGAGGTCGATGCGTGCTTGGATCCCTCCGTTATCAACACCCCCGACGAGATGAATGCATGTAACGTGCCGTCCCCTGTGGACGAGCCCATCTGGGGCTGGTTGGAAAATCAGCCAGGATGCAACAAGCGTCAGTCAGGCCCTCAGGAGGCGGTACAGGCAACTTGTGAAGAAGCTGGTTTAAGCGCGCCGACTACTCAACACACCGATGTCCCTGGATGGACTTACCAAGGCTGCTACCTGGATTATGTCAACTATGAACGCCTGTTGACTGGTACATCTGCTTCGCTCCCGAACCCTGTCACACCGGAGTGGTGCGCAGGTTTCTGCAGTGGCACTGGAACCGCGGATAACGCGCAGAAAGCGCAGACGACAAAATACCAGTGGATGTCGCTAGAGTACTCCTCCCAATGTTTCTGCGGCAATGACCCGCAACTGTTGAAAACCCCATCTAACATCGCCGCCAATGGGCTTGAGCAAGGCATGTGCAACTCGGTCTGCACAGCCGATCAGACCCAGATCTGCGGTGGATCCAACGGCCAGGCGTCGTTTTACAGCATCGATAGCGCTGATACCTCATCATCCAAAAAAGAGAAGAGGGTTTCGCACTTGCACCGCCACGCCCACGCCCACGCTCACGACAGCTCCTTCTAGATTCTAATCTACATTGAGCTCTGTAAGGGAGACCTTCCTCGGTCGAGCAGATACCTTGAAATGTACATTATCACTACTCAGCACATGTTTCACTTCTTCGAGGGTCCGATGGATTATACCCTATCAGACTTCGCATCTTCGTTTGGTACGGCATCGGTTCCCATGGCCTTAACCAGCTGTATGTTGGAATTCGTTCAAGGCACTAACTTGGACTATGACGGAGCATACGAGTTGGAAAGCATAGAGAAATCAAAGCCTTCGCATCATGTACATATTACATTCTAACCAATAGCCTTGAATTCATGATCGAGTGCGCAACCCGCAGCCAAGCATTTTGAACTTTCTCGGTATGAGTACTAGGCCGGTCCCGACCTATAAGTGACGACGCGTATCAGCTTTTTCGCCCTTCTGCGTGCTCTAGCTGCAGCGCCTTTGAGCGCGTCAGACAGGTAGAAGACGAAAGCAACTATGGATGTAGTTTTCATGGAGTCTTTCTCTACCCAAGACCTCCAACATGCGTGTTTAAAGCGGTGCAATCTTGTATGAAAATAGCTATCCCTGGACATTTCTCACTTAATTGATCTTTAGAATTCAGTGGTAATTGATGTATGATGGTAAAGGCACAGCATATCTTACCAATCTCACCAATCGTGCCCGAACCTTTCCTTTGCAGTGCCCAAATTCAATGTACAGGTAAGCAAGTCTTAGGGTCACCGCCGCCTCTCCTTTGTTTCTCTCTTACCTAGAAATGGAGTCAGTATGGTCAGTCCAAGCGACTTCCTGATTGACCACTTTCAAAACCGTCCGTCTCAACACTGCCTTGTTTCTGCGGTACCTAGATTGCCATGATTGCATTGTAAGACTTTGGAATGTTTCATATCGTTTTCTATATCTGTGGGAAGCGGTCTTCCATTCATGCATGATGACGTTGTTTACTCACACTTATCTGGCACACTTGCAGAAAATAAAAAGCACCGCAACACCATTGTACCAGCGCCATTAGGAATCGAACCTAATACTAGAACTAAATATCTCCGCCAAACACTTGCCTCATTTCTATTAATTCCAAATTACATGTAATTGATGGGTATACAATTACGCTATCGTCACGTCACGTCATTTACATCATCCTCTATACTTAAGTCCGAAGGTCGGCACCCCGCTACAACATAAACCCGAGGGCACCGCTCCGCCGTGACCCGCGGAGATAGTCTCACCAACCACACAAATCCTCAGCTTTGAAGCCTTCATTTCACCAATTCTCTTGGACCCTCCTCTAAAGCGCCACGGTTCACAGTCATATCTCTGAGGCTATTTTCCCCGCTCAAGATGTCTTTGTCTTCTTCATCCCCGTCGTCCCATGGCAAAACAACCATATGGAAAGAAGCTTTACCAGTACGCTCAACATCAGACTCCCATGCATCGACCATAGAATCACCTACCCTCTCGACCACGGAAAGCCATCCGGGTCCGAGAGCCCGTTCAAGCACAAGTCCTGATGGTCGTTTGTCCGCCTCGTTCTCCACCAGGCTGAGTGCCCGTAATACTCAAACCCCTCCGCTTCACCTCCATCTCCCATCGGCTGCTGTAAGAGTGTCACGTTCTCCGGGAACACTGCCTACTCTCGCAGAGTCCCCATCAAGAAAACCCTCAGCGCCTATTGATATACCTGCGAGGAAAAAAGCGGAAGGTCAGGTTTCACGCCCAACCACGCCCTTGACAGCACGGGCACCGCAAGGAGAGTACTTTACATCTTGGCACAAAACTGAACCTCGGATTAGCGAGTCCTTGACCCCATATTACTCTTCGCGCGCAAAGAAAACTTCCGCAAGTCGAGACCCTTCAGCTGCGCCGAGGGGTTTTGCAGCAATGAGTCCGAGGTCGGAATCGTCCCAGTGCAGACCCTCTTCTCCCCTCTCCCCCAAAATGTCTGTCCCCTTACCTTCGATCAACAGCAGCCAGAAAGCTAGGGCGCCAGCGCAAGGCTACAATGTGGCTGGGCTCCCCAAATACCACCCAGCAAACTTTCCGTCAAGAGACCACAGTCCGGCTCCTCCCTCACCTCTAAGCTCACGCTCAATCACCTTGCAGCCACGTTCTGGCCTTGGTTCGGATGCCAAACAACAGCTTCTACAATATCGGCGAGACCTGATCAACAATACAGCAAAAACCTCTCGCTCTCTACTCTCGTCAAGCGTCAGCTCCAAGCCAAGCCCCCCACGACTTAATCCTCTCAGGAGTCCTGGTGGACTGATGACACCACTCACGTTAGAAGGTGCTGGGGATTACTTCGGAACTAGTTCCTTGCCTGCCGGATTCAAGGAGGGAGATGGGAGAGAGATTGTGGAGCGTCAGGTTCAACGGAAAAACGAGAGGTGGAAAGATCCAGAGGCAAGATCAGGAAGCGTCAGTCCGGCCCTGAGCCTTAGCCCCACTGTGAGTCCAGCTGGCGGGCGAGGGTGATTCCGAGTACTTGGTCTCTCATCCAGGAAGAAACGCCTTGTTCGAGCCATTGAAAGCGAGCTCATGGCTAATTTATCTCCTACCAACCCTCATTACTCCGACGACTGGCACGATTTTGATGTCTATCGTACCAGTTTTAGTACTTCGACTTCAAGATATCTTCATGAATGTTACACAGGGAACAGCAGGACTGCCACCTAGATGCACGAAACGGGATATGAGCAACGAGCATCGGCATAGGCGTTCTGCATCACACTCGAATTATCAGATCTTATTGGCGCCCTTCGGTATCAGTACTGGCTTTACGCATAACCTCTCATAGACATACGTCCTGTCGTCAGCGTCTTCGACTCCTTTTGACCCCGATAATTCAATATGGATGACCTGGCCGTGATCGAGGTCGGGAATTGTCCACAAGATTACTGGCCATAACGGTTCGGAACAGCACAGCACCGTACGCTCAGGACCTCATTTTACGAGTCTGCCGAACATGGCAGCAACATAAGTGATGGCGGTTCGTGAATCGAAATTCCTTTTTGCATCATCACAGGCGTTCGGTCTCTATAGATTACCAGATACCATTGTCTCCGCCCATAGGGCGTCGAGCTCTTGCACGATTCGTTTCTCTAGATAGACAGAGAATGAATCCATCCCCCTCTGCCTGAGCCTTTCAACGAAACCTGACTTCTGCTAAGAACTGGTCTCCTTGTGAAAGAAGTGTGGTGGGGCAGTCAAGAGATCACACACGGCCCTTGCCTCGGGCCTCTTGCCAGTGGTGAGTAATCAGGAGCGACGACGTTTCTATGATTATGCCAAATTGAAGCAGCACCGTAGAGGAAGACTCTAGCAACATTGGTGAGTCATGCTGTACCATTACCATCACTTCCGGTATCATTATAAAGCGACACCAATCAAAGTTCCACAAGAACCTTTCGTTAAATGATGATCATGGTATCCATGAAAGCCTGCGTTGCTTTGACCACGGACGTTGGAAATAGCATCTAGACATAAGAGTTCACGGTAACTGCGGGTGCAGATATCGCTTCGACCAGGCATGGTTTCGGTCGCCAGCTGTGTCTGGAAGCAGTCAGATTTTCCAGGCGAGAGGAAATGTATGGTTCTATTTTGCGTGGTTCCAGGTGTGGCGTAATGATGACTTCAACAGCATCAACGGGGAAATCTCTTCTTCATTGACATCCTTTCTGAACCATTCATAAGCATGACCAGGTTTATGGAGGGTAGGGATGGGGGCACTGATACTCAAAATCGGCATGGAAATAATAAGTTCAGCGTCGTCACTCTCTGACAGCTTGCCCGTTTCTCCAAGTCACGTCAGCTCATCTGTCCGACATGAGATTCAAAGCCGACGATGGAATCATTATCAAGTGTGTGGCGCTGACTTGACTTGACTGTACTTTTTCAGGATACGTCGATCATGTCCCGTGCGTCGCTTTGTCAATCTGTTTCTCAACACTCGGGCCTTTCCTCACATACCATGCCAACAGGATCATCCTTGCCCCTCAGGATTTCCCACGCTCCAATTCCCAAAGCCTTCGGTGCCCTTTTGATACCACGTCCTCCCCCACCAATTATCAGATTACCGGGCCGGTACCGCTCATCGGCCTCCATCCTCCGTATCGCAGAGTGATGGATCCATGCATTTTCAGGCATATCCCTGACTTCGCCCCTGGGCAAGGGTATAGATATCGCTTTCCAAGATCCATCAGGTCTGAGGTCCATTCTGCGGAATGGAAACCACTCCATCATCTTCCATGACAAGACAGACCCTACTCTCAGACCGTTGCTGAACTCAAGACAATCGTGAAGCACACCTTTGGTCGCAGCTCGGAAAATCGTCTGCTGGAATTCGGATTCCTGTGAGGTCTCTGGCTCCATCCCAGCCGCCCCTACGCACAGTCTCGGAGTCAGCATTGCTTCCTTTGCGCAAGAAGCCTGACTGATGACAAAGGTCTGGGGAACAAAAGGAGATCTTGCTCCTTTGATATGTCTTACGACTCAGACTTCGGGACAAGATAGGAAAAACTCCGAGATACACCTCCATCCGGATTCTTGCTTTTCGGATTTTGGACTTGAGAACGGGATGTTGTCCAGGCTGATAATGAGTCAATTGAAGTCGATGCTGTAATGGAAACCCCATCTGACGCGGCGTTGCGCGAAATAGCAGGGCGCGTGGATGGAAGGCGGCCATGTGAGCTCCCTCGTGGATCAAGGTAGCCCTCTTCTACAGCGCTCAGACGAGCCGACATAGCTTTGTTGAGTTCGACAGTAGAGCGAAACTGCGATCTCCTGCGAAACCGGCCTGCACCCAACTGACTTGCATTTGACCCATTGCTCATCAAATTTTCTCTTGGCCCCGTTTTCTGTCCATGGGTCTCTCTATGATGCTCCTCGCGCTCGTGGGGTCTGGGGGTTTTTGCCTCGGATATCAAATCTGATCGGAACTTTGCCCGCCGTTCGTCAATACTGACCGCATGACGGATCACTCTAGCCGAGCTTCTGGCGATGTACGGGAATCTGCTCCGCTACATCCATGCATTCTCGAATCTCGGGACACTGTTGACTGGGCACAGATTCAGCTAGAGCCCTCATGCCTGATAAATAGGCGAGCGGAGTTACCAGTGTGAAAGAGGCCAAGAAAGCGAATACGTCGGACTGGACGACTGAAATTCTCACAGAAAGCCAGTAAGAAATCAAACATCTCCTTTTTCTTCTTCTCTTCCACCGTGTTCTCCTCTCTCTGCTGCCACCGAGCAAAAGCCTTCCATGCAAATCAAATCATCTCTTCGTTACCAGCGCTGAGTAGGCCCACGTGGTCAAGCATCTCCGCAAGAAAGCGTGCCACGTAGGCACCCCTACTGGAACCGAAAAAGAAGATGTCATCGTCTTCGTAGCACTATTGACGACTTCGGAGTCAGCATTTCCTGTTCAAGAAAGCGTTTCGAGTTTTGGGACGTGTCCTCATAGTATGGACGGCTCAAAGATTGGACTGAAGTACGGAATAATAACTCCGGACACACGTACGTACCTGCATCAAGAACTTATAGGTGCCCTGAGAAGCTGTTGGCTGTATGGCCTCAGTCTGTTTGAAAGGGTGACCTTACCGTGACATGTAAGTCAAAAAACGTGCCAACAGCAGAGTCTTTGGCTTTCTGATACCACGAGTTGAATCGGGCCAGGCGACTTGTATGTGAAATCGATAGTGTGTTGACATATGTTCCGATTCCCGGCTAAAAAGAATCGGACCACGTTGGCAGACAACGGAGGATGGAATACCTGATAATAGTGCTTGTCGCCGTTCGTACGGTCTAGCATCCCGTATATCTTCAGGATATTACTATCTGCGGAAGTGCTTGGTGCGGAGTCAATCATGTTCTCTTTCTCTCATCGAAGGACTCGTCCCACCCGAAAATTTATTCCCGGTACCATCGAAGCAGAGTATTATCTGACGTACGTTCAGCCGCCGGAGGAGATGTGAGAGCCGTTATGAGTACCCTTTTCCTTTGCCGATATGGGCCATACGACTGAACAGCAGCGGCATTGGAGCCCGTCCCCTGTCGTACACCATTCGTGCTGCCTTTTTGAGACTGAATTTTGGCAGATTACTTGTATCCAGGATAAGTCTTCACCAGGCAAAACAGGACCTTCAACAACTGGTGATCCCGCAACAAAGGCAGAGGAAAATTCAGATGCCCCACCCGGCTTGCAGTTGTTGTGGTGCGAGTCGCAATGATTACAAGGAGCAGATTTCTTTTGGCTCCGCCGCTCTGTATAAGCTAGATCTACGTAATGACAGCGGAAAGATTCGGCTTGATAATCCTAATTTGGGTCGTCATGGTGCATTACCGTTCAAACCGTTGAAGGCTAAGGGAACACGGTAATGCGAATGGAACTAGTCGCCATCTCGTCGTGTTCTACCTGCGGACTGTCAACTTAGACGTGTGTGGCGTTGCATAGCGGAGAAGAGGGGGCAAACGAAAGACATTGTTGCGGACGAAATGGTAGGACATTTGGCCGGAGCACATATATGGCGATTGGATGGAGAAGCTCGGCAGGGAAAAGGTGGAGAGTGGTGGATGCGAATAGGCCAACTTGATGTTTGATTGAGTGGATCTAGATGGGTTGGGATGCAGGACAGCGGTCAATTCGGGCAAGAGTCGAGAAGGTGAAAAGGGCAAGCTCGTTCTGCACATTCCCGTAGAGTCGGTTGTTGTTGAGTGCTATAGTCATCTACTTCTCGACTGCGGAGATACACGTGGAAGTTCGAAGTCAACGGAAAGATGTGTTGTACTTCAACGACATAGCGGTTTTGGATCGAAAAGATTCAACCAAAGGCCAAGCTCTGTCCTTTGATGGAACTTCTTCATCTTCGTCTGGCTCGTCCCTTCAATTCGGGTAGGGAGCGTCTTGATAGGTTTTGGGAAGATACGGTACCCACCGCGTGTCGGCTGGATGATTGCTCTTGAACAGAATGTTGCTTAGCTAGGGTCTGATGACATTACGAGCTAAGCCATTTCCTCCAAATACGGAGATGCTCGTGTGGGGTCAAAGTCGTCGCTCAAAGTCATAGTCTTGACATATACTTCCAATCCTTCATAGAAGAGACGTAGCTTAACAGCACTCGCATAGAATAGTGGCTTTGAATCGAAAACTTACGAGTATTCAAATCCCGAGCTTTTGTTTCCAATGAAACTTGTCCATTTTCCTTTAGACTCGTCACCCAAATGCATGTATGGAGGCGCGCCATGGATTTTGAGTAGCTGCGGTATGAGTACACTACCTTACGAGTAGTACCTGCCACGCCGAGCACGCCGGCTCGATAGCATACTTTAAGGTTACTTTCTAAGGCATCATCATTCATCTTGGCACTCATGCACGGTACCCCGTAGGGCTTCTCGAATAGGGAGACTTTATTACGCTAAGGTATTATATAACTTTGCTAGGTACTCGTACCTACTACCTAAGGTAAAGTACCTTATCAATTGCTGGCTACTTCCGTGCCAAGAAGATGATCCCAACCGTGAGAATAATCCGAAGAATCCGAAAAGTCCGAATGATCACGCCACTTGCAGCCGTTCAATTTATGTAATGTGAAGTAGAGGTATTAGGGGCTATCAAAGTTACTTCTACTCCTTCTAGTTCAAAAGCAATAAGCTACTAGCTTCTTTAAACACCTTAATTATTTCTACTTATAGATAGTAACTATTTCTTTTTCTTCTTAAATAGCCTCGAATAGTTCAGGGCAGACTTTATTACGCTAAGGTATTATATAACTTTGCTAAAAACTTTAAAGGTATTGTAACGGTACTCGTACCTACTACCTAAGGTAAAGTACCTTATCAATTGCTGCCATGCTGGCTACTTCCGTGCCAAGAAGATGATCCCAACCGTGAGAATAATCCGAAGAATCCGAAAAGTCCGAATGATCACGCCACTTGCAGCCGTTCAATTTATGTAATGTGAAGTAGAGGTATTGACTATACTTAAACACAATCAATGAACATCTTACACTCTCATACCTTCCCCACCTTGTACTTGACCTTGGAACTATGGCATTGACTCTGGTCGCACGCTTCAATTCACCACCATAATGGAAACTGTTGTTCCTCCACTTCGTCTGCCCAATTTGCCACTACTAAGTGGGATACAAAGCATTAGATTGCTTTCATGCACTTTATATCACCTCTGCGCCTGAGCCAACAGGAGCCGAGAAGCCGCTATTCATCTCAATCAGACCAAACATAAGGCACTGCAGCACGTCAGCGGTCGTGGTATTTCTGCCAATCCATTTGCTTTGTTGGCCGCCTCCCGAAGGCATGGACAGGGCCAAAATTGAGGTACCGTATGCGGCCTCCAATTCCCCAGACAACGCTTGGGACCATTGGATGGACTGGGACCCAGCATCCTATTCCGACCTAGCATCCACTGCATCTATGCAACTATCTACAGATGCCCATGATCCGCAGCGTTCTTCAATTGAGACGAACGAGTCACGAAACCTTAATCCTGTTATAGAGGAAGCTGATGCATCCCCTCGACCTGCCAAAAAGCGTAAAGCATCCACAGAAAGCGGCGACTCGGCCACACGCCCAGGCAGCCAGGACGCGAAATCAACGTCTGTTCAGAACAAAAGCCATAGCATCGTTGAGAAGCGCTACCGTACCAACCTCAACGACAAGATTGCTGATTTACGCAAAAGTATTCCAAGTCTTCGGGACGACGCCTTTACTTCAACTGAGACGGAAAGGCTTGCAGCATATCCAAAACACAACAAATCCACCATTCTGACCAAAGCAATCGAGTATATCCACCATCTCGAACTGCGAAACGCTTACTTGGAGAACGTCAATGCGGGCCTTAGGAGCCAGGCGCGCTATGCTAAGTCAGAAGTCGCTCAAGGCCGAGATACGGTCAGTGCAGAATTGTCAAAGTCTCCATACGCAGGGCCAGAGGACTTGCCATCTACGACCCAAGATTCTCCCATTACATCTGATGCTCCCCGAGGCATGATCCCTGTGCCAGATGATATCAGAAAATTGCAGAACAATGCGCCTCAGGAGCACTATGCCGACCGAATTTCTTCTAACGACCAGCAGCCTGGAGCACACTTCTCAATCAGAGGCGGGAAACTTATTGGGAAGCTCATGGTGGGATCCTTGGCTGGGCTCATGGTCATGGATGGATTCATGGAGAACCGCAAGGACCGAGAGAATGACCGTGGACTGTTCGCGTTACCCTTTTCGGCACCATTTCCAACGCTGCAGCCGCTCTGGGCATTGCAAGGCCATCTGGCATCGTTCCCGTTCGCATATCTCCTCCTACCGATGATCAAAGGGTTCTTGGTTTTCTCTGTCCTCGGGCTCGTTCTGTTTATGTATCTTTTCAACTCCAAACCGAGGCTTGGTCTCAAACATGCAACAGAAGGTAGAAGCGGGTCTCGCTCTTCAGCTTCTCCAATAGAAGTGCGTGAAAATGCATGGTTGACAGCGATACAAACACTAAAGGTCCCTCGGCATAGCTGGTTCCCCGAGATGATGGCTCTTATACTGGAAACGGGTGCATACATAATCAGGCAATTGCTAGGTTGGAACATTTATTCATGGCTGATGGGCAGAAGCGAGGAAGAAGAGATTGCCAGAGTGAGGGCGTGGGAAATCGCCATCGACGCCCAGCTGACCGGTGGAGATGCTGAGGTGAGCAGGAGTAGGCTCGTTCTCACCGTCTGGGCTGCCGGGACATTGCCCAAAACACCGGCCAGACTGATGCTAAAGGCTTTACATCTTCGCATTATGTTCTGGCAAGCTTCGAGGTGGCCCAGAATTTGTTCGGCTTTCAACCTCGCAGCCAGCCGACTCGCCCAGTATCAGTGGACTCTAGCAAAACGAATGCTTGACACTGTGGATGTCGCGACAGGATCTGAAAGTTTCGAACCGTTATCCGATCACCTCCTGGCCCTCCTGCAACGGCCGGCTGAAGACGTTATGACCGACTTCACAATACAGCAGGCGCATAATCTTTGTTGGAACAGGTCAGCATCCACAACATCTGAAGACGTTGGGGTTGAGGACATTGCGGAGGACACGGCCATGCGTGGCCCTCTTGATGCCCTGGCCTTGTGGTCATCTTCTCTTATACTGCAAGAGACACTGAGCAGCTTTCTTGAGAGTGGCGAGACCAGCCAGGCCCACCTCTCACAGATCGAAATCGCTCTTCGAACAGCGCCCCCAGGGTCGAGTACTTCTATTCGAGCTTTAGCAGCAAAGACCATCTTCTCTGAGCCCGATCGTAAACAGAACATCCACAAGCTCTCAAAAGCTCTTTTGTCCTCGAGCGCGGTCTCTTTCCCAGGCTCGCTTTCGGAAATCAGCGCCTTTTCGAGTACTGTCCGTAGAGATGTACTTACCTGTATCGAATGTGCCAAAGCTCTTGATGCATTGACCGGTCTCCGACCCGATCCCATGTCATTTGATAGTGCAATACAACTCCTGGATCGAACATACTCTGGGGTCAAGAGCCTGGATGTATTAGCATTGGCTGCCGCATACAATTTGATACTTGTCCTCATCAACGCCTCTGCGAATGCTGGACAATATTTGTGCAGCCTGAATCAGATCGTCCTGAACACCGTCGTACAAATGGACAAGCCGGATGATAAAACCCATTCACGCGCTCAAGAGAGGTTAAAGACAGCCTTACAAAGGCTTCAAGTACAGCGCAGATCATCGAATGCTTCAGTTGAGAGCGGATATGTGAGCATGTGAAACGAAGTTCCATTCGTTACTGCAGCCGAAACAAAGCTTCAGATCCAATGATATCTGCTCCATATTTGACGTCCAACCAAAACGACATCATTCGAGTACAGCTTACCCCGACGTTATAGCCCCTACCATGGATCTTTTCCATTGCGACGTCAAGCTGCTTACCTTGACGCTCTGAGGTTCTTTGGCACTTGGTCTTGCCGATGAATCTGAGACCACGACGATCCCACTAGCAGTATGCTTGACCCTCGACTTCGAGGAACCATCTGGTCCCTGGATGAGAGGCCGAGGGGACTTGAGAGTTGTAGCGACTGAGGAGTTCGCGGGAGATATCTTGATGGATTGTGAGTACACCTTGCCACTCAATGATACGGCTGTGTTAGCTGACCTTTGGATCGCTGCTGTTAGAATCGCGTCGTAATTGACAGGTTTGGGGGTTAAGTGCCTAGCGAGCCTAGGCATTTGGACAAGCGTTTCAAGATGAAACAAGAAAGTCTAAATGCATTCGCCACGAGTGTTTCGGTCGTCCAGAATAATGGGCCACCGGTGTTACCTGGAAGCAGCAAATGATTGCATCGATAGCCTATTAGAGTAGACGCAAAAAGGACTGTTGATATTAGCCTTGACACCTTTCATTCATTGCTGCTGTCTCCCCAAGGCGAGTCTTCAAATACTTCTCTTGCAGCCACACGGAACAGAAAATCGAGCGCTAATCATGATCATCTTCTTCCAACCCCGGACAACCCTCCATCGTCTCATCCACGTACTTGAATTTACACCAAAAGCAGTACTGATGCTCCTTCCGTAGATACCCTACCAGTCTCTTCAACCTTTCCTTTCCTTCAAGGTTCAGGAACTCATTCAACTCCTCGTCCTCCTCTTCCACATCTTCCTCCTCTTTTCCCAACGCCTGCCTATCCTGCTCGTCCTCCTCGAAATCCACATACGCCGCACTCCTCGAAAAGCCCTGATGTAGATCGTACCTTGCACGCCTCTCCCTCTCCTTCTCTTGCCGCTCTCTCACCAAACCTCTCCACAGAACATTCACCTTCTTCACCGGCACTTGATCCCGCCCCTCCGGCTGCTCCAACCCCTCCAGCACCCTCATCGCACCCCAAAACATGCCTTCAACCCTCTTCCCCTCCCTCTCCTTCGCAACCCTCTCCCGATAACCCCCCTCTTCAGCCCTCTGCTTCTTCTCCACCCCTTCCACCTCCTCCCTGAACTTCCTCTTCTTCTCATTCTGCATCCCCACGCCCCCTCTATCCTCCTTGACGGATATATGAAGCGGCTCGGTCCGCGCGTTCGGATTCGAAGAAGCGCCCAGCGCGGCTCCGGGCTTGAAGCCGAGCTTGGCCATCATCTGGAATCCTTTGGAGGAGTTGGGGAGAGCGGTGGAGAGGGCATCGTCGCGGGCGGCGGCGGCGGCGGCGGCGAGCTCGGCCTTGGACTTGGGGCGGGATCTCGCTTCGGCCTGCGCTGGCGGTCAGTCACTTTGGCTGACCTCGAAGGGCCTGACGGGGGAGGGTCGTACTTCACGTTGCTTGCGTATTCGGCGCTGGGTGTAGGTTTCTTTCTCAGCTGGCTTGGCGGGCTCTGCGATGGTCATGGACATGTAATCGTCGAGCTCTTCGGGGCCAGGACCAGCTGCAGGCGGCGATGGAGAATCGATTTTCGCCATGATGTAGAGGTGCATTGAGATGACCAAAGACAATCTTTGCCTGGTGGTTGGATCGAACGCCGGGTAACTTACGTGAAGCGATCTCGGGTTTCATGTCAGCTAATCTAAAAATAGTCTAGCGAGTTTCGACAACCAAAACAGTTGCTACTGTCTGTGGTAAGAGAATGGATCTTTGCAACATCAAGCCCCTGTATACATGACCTGGGTAAGTGCTGGTAGAAACTCTTGCATGCGAATGACCGAAGGACAGGCTGAGGTATCTAAAGTCTCCGCTAATGCCAACAACAAATGCACGCCAATTGAAACCATTTCTATCGTAATTCGCCTGCAATGCATCGCTAAATCCAGATTGGTGATATCGCCCAGCTAGATGCATGTCCGTGTCATCTAGTGCTTCTCAAAACTAGATCCTGACTTTAAGTTAGCACCGACGCTATGAAATCACAAGCCCGAGCGTGCGTACCTTGAAGAACTGTTGGAACTCTTTCGTGTCCGAGGTGCATAATGCCCGTAGATACTCATCAATCGTGCCACTATCCATTCCCATCCCACTCAGTTCTGCATCCCTTAGCCAGGTAAGGTACTCCTGACCGGTCTTCGTGTAGATAGCCATCTGAAGGGCCGCGGCCTCGCCGAGCACTTGCTTGCCCTGTGCATCCTTGGGGTCAAAATTTGGGTTGCTTGGAATTGCCCAACATGTAGGTGAGATTGTAATCATCATGAAGCGATCGAAACCAGGGAGTTTCGGTTGAGGATTTCCGTAAGAAGCATTGACATTCCCAATGGCTGGAGATTGCAGTTGCAAGTCTGGGCCGCCCCACGTGAAGACCATGCGAGTCAAGACTGAGAAGGCTAACTTGGCCGTTTGGAAGTCCGTGATATCTTTGGTGAGGTGTTCAATGGTTGAGATGACGGTCGCAAAAGTGGGTTGGTTAACTATCGTCAGTCAGCAACTGGTGTTTGGCCCTAGGTCACGAAAACATACCCTCACTCACAAGTACTGACTCCAGACCGTTATTGAGTATGACCAACAAGAATGCAAGATATTCACGTTTCAGCTCTGTAAGTTGGATCTCATCGTCTGTGCCAGCTACTGGCTCTGCGATGCCGGCGAAGACCCGTTGCAGAAAAGGCGTGAGAAGGGTGTTCAGTATATCATAAATCTCTGATTTGAAACCAAAGACTACTTGGTCAAGGAGCTTCATAAACAGAGCCATTTCGTCTTTGGTCGATCTTTCGGACAGAAGACCATCAATCCACCTGGGTAATTGGGGCAGGATCTGACTGCCCAGGACATTCAGAAGTCGGGAGAACGCAAACCTTGCCGCCTCGCGAACGTCAAACGAAGATCTGAGGCCCTCCAACGCAACAAGTATGGCTTCGGCCGACCTGGCAAATTCTTCAGATATCACTCTTGCGGGTGGGGAGGCAGTAGTTGGATTCGCTGCCGGCATATAATCCGAGAATCCACGAGCGAGGGTGCCCAAAGCCATAATCAAATGATGTACTTGGAGGATCGCTCGTTTGTCTCTTGCTTTCGCTCGGTCAATGTGCGCTTGCAAATCCGAGAACAGCGGGTGGGTGACTGATCTAACGAGCAGAACTTGGGTTTCCACTGGAATGGAACGTGCGGAACAGATGCAACCGATGGTCTCGTACAGATAGAGCTGGCTATTGAATCTTGCGACAGCTGACTGATCGTTTTCGGTTGATGACATGTCCTCGTTGTCGTTCTCGGATGTCTCTTCTGGCAACTCAGCATTGATTGGGAGCAGATCACTCAGAGATTGAATTACGGTCTCAGCGATGCTTCCAGTATGTTGTCGTACGTGTTTAACAAACCTATGGAAAAGATACCATGATCGCAACCTGACCTTGATATGATCATGATGTACAAACCGTACGAAGCTGTCCAGCACACGAGTGATGAGGTGGGGATTTGCTTCGAAGAAGCTGTAATACCGTTCGCAGATGATCATATACTGCAGCTGGACGGCTGGATGAGAGAATGAAGCGACATCTGCACATTTTCAGTAGGTGGCCTTTCGGTCTGGTAGTATAAATTAATGTACCTGTTTCGACAAGCTTGAACATCATCCCGATGAGTTGCTCAGCAGCTAGTGTGACCGGTTTTGTCTTGCTATAGAGTCCACCATGTCTGTAGCCCAGCTCTCCAAAGAGCTCCATCTCGTGCATAGCCAGCTCGAGATCCCTCCAGTCAAGCTGACCGTTTTGGCCCTGGAACCTATCGAACGTTGACACGACAACATTCCTGATCTTCTCTATATACATGTTCTCATCTACTGCGGCGACGGCTTTCTGCAGAACATGCAGTCGTTTTCGAAGCTCTTGAAATTCTGCCTCATCCGTTTGAGCATCGTCTTGGCCCCAAAATGAAGTTTCATCATATTTCGTCTTTGAAATTACAACATCAAGAATAAGGGGTAACATGGCAGAGCCCTCAGAAGCCAAGGTACTGCTGGGCTTGGCTTTCTTGCGCAATAATGTAAGGAGGTCGGTCAAACAAGGGATTACCGTAGAACATATCTCGTCGTACTCGTCCGAGAGAAAGTGCAATACATGCGGCAGGAAGGTCTTAAGTTGTGCACTCCCACGCTGCGATACCAAGTCGTTGCCTTGTGAACCATCCAAAGCTTTGACGATATCACAGACAACGTTGTTAACCAGCTTAGCAACACCTTCCGCAAGATCAGTGTCGTAATTTGCAGTGGAGCGCATTTCGGACAACTCTCGGCTTCCTACAAGTTGCGTAACAGCTTCATTAACCTTGAGAACGTCGACCAATTCAAGCTTGTCGCTGGCGCTCATTTTCTTGCTCAAGATGTCGATGAAGGCTTCGATTGCGGCGTCCCTCCTCTCCTGAATTGGTTCATTACCATCTGAGTACTGCTGGGAGTTTAGGAACTCGAAGAGTAGACTAAGCAGAGAATCATTAACGGCCATTGAAATCTCTGTCCAGGTGACCCATCTTCCGATTGTTGTTAGACAAAGCTTCACAATAGAGTCATCTCTAGACCTCCAATGCTCCAGAATTTCATGCCATGAAGACGCGATCATCGCCGTATCCCGCTGTCTTACTAGATCCTTGAGATCATTATCTCTTCTTTGTTCTTCGGGTGTTCTCGGTAGTAGAACATCTGCAATATCGTCATGCACGGAAACCAGTATGCGAAGGTACAGCATGACCCCTGCCGCATTGTCCCTTGAGGTCGAACCAGTGGTTAAAGTTAGATTCAGGATATCGTGGAAGAAAGACGTCCAATGATTAGCATACAACGCCGTGAAGAGGTTCGTAACGGTTTGTGTAATCTTGTTCTGGATGGATACAGGATCAAGCTGGACGTTGCTGCTGCCAGCAGCGCCATAGGTGTTCTGCATGTATGCAAGTATGTTATCCCTCAATGAAATCATATCTTGGTCCACTAGATGTCCAGCTTCTATAGCATTGTTGACAATGTCGAGTGAGACATGGCGGACCACCTCTGAAGGCTTCGGGTCTCGCAGAGCCAGCGAAAAACAGATTTGCCATCCTTGCGGTTCGGAGCGTAGCTGGTTGAGGAAGTCGAACGCTTGTGATTTGAGGGACTGTTCGGCACGAGGGTTCCATGCGATCTCGATAGCATTCTGGACCTATGTTCAAGACCAGACGTTAGAGTCATCGGCGTTGATACAGTAGAGCAGCTGGCTCGACATGCCTGTGCATCCATGCCGGACCCGTCCTCTCAAGAAACACTAAGAGGCCAAGAAGACCTCTACGCACGATAGAGTCTCCTGTCCAAGCTGCCGGCCAGTCTCACTGGTAAAACCCCTGGAATGTGCTACCGAGTCATAGAGGCAGGTGTTGTCCGCTTTTGAGGCAGACTACTTATAGGGTAACAGGATTGAGGACGTTCAAATATGTAGAGCTCAGGATTCTAGGCCAAAAGGATACGAATGATAATTGTTGTTGATAATAGAGACTTGGATTAATGTATGTTTTATTGACTAAAGATTGTCACGCGAGAATGACGGTTGGCGAAGTCAAAAATTTGAGTGTACACATGAGCCGCTAACCGCAATCCACGAGCACGATTGAACTAATGTGTGGGAGGAAAGAGTACTATAGAATCATATAAGTCTTTTGGGCTAATGTGTATGTGGTAAAGCTATAGCTAATCTGAGGCCAGTGAGCATGTAAGACACCCCGGCCCCTCATCGAAGTGTCGGATCAATAACATCTACCTCTTGACCATCGACCGTTTCGTACCTTTCCATTGTGAGGCCTTCATCAATCAAACACCGCATCTCTAGCTCATCACGTAACCATTCGCCACTTTCTCCTACGTCGTGATGTGCACGCCCCCCAAGCCAGAAATCACCACCCTTCGAAGCTCCTACCCTCGGAGTTTCCTCATGATCGACCACGCCGACGTCATCGTCAAATTGCATATCAAGAACCCTCTCAGCATCAACATCCTGCTTCGTTGCATATGTTGAAGTTCCCTGCAGAGTCTGCCGACTGCAGAGTCCTTCCTGATCCATCAGCAGCTTCCGGACCCCGAGGTCTGCTAAACCATGACGAGACTGCAAGTGGATTTCCAGATCATACTCTCTCAAGAAGCGGTGACTACAGCCTAGCACCAGGCAGGGAATATATCTTCCACTTTCTTCTTTATAGCCAGCGCCTGTAAGTCGTGTGAGGACAGACACTTGATGCTTCGGAGCGGGCTCATCGGAAACTCCATGCTTGGTCTGTCTCTTGGTTTTGCGAGACGGTGCGAGACCTTGATGAGCAGTGCGTATGTGTTCTTCTAAACTGGCCTTTGTCTTCAAAGGTTTGCCACAAGAATTCGATCCGTCCCGATTTGCGACTTGACTCAACGTTGACGGATCACTTCCACCACAAACGAATCGATTCTGATTATGACTGATCTGAATATGCATACTGAGATTGCCCTTCTTCGTGAAGCCTCGCCCACATCCTTGTTCAGGGCAGAAATGAGTCATCAAATCGTTGACATCAAAGCCTCCATGAAGTACTTCAAGGTGACTCTTGAGATCCCGCAACGATTTGCACACTTGTCCACACTCCGCGCATGCCGGAGGATGCTCGCTTTCTACATGCTCTCGTAACGCTGCGTGTGTTGAAAATGATGCCTCTCGTTTGTCTGGGATTGGGTCGCCGGTGGTACTTCGACATTCCGGCGAGCATATAGTACACAAGAAGCTATTGCTTTCATGGACTCTTCCAGTATGAGACTTCATTTGCCCTTCAGTGTCAAAGCCCACTCCACATTCGATTCCATCAAAGTCCAATACTTCGCAGATGAAAGGCTTCTTCCCTTCGTGGACGGTCAGAATATGTTTTTGCAGCGTCCCGTGCTTCCGGAAGGTTTGACCGCAACCACCCACTGTACATCTGAACTTCTCCCTGCCCTCATGAGCTGCATCGTGCCTCTTCAATCGCGTTGCCGTAACAAAACTTTTGCCACAGCCTTCCCATTCACATATGTATTCACGGACATTCGAATGCGCTGATTTGACGTGGTGCTTCAGATGAGATTCTCGGAGAAAATCCTTGGTGCACAATGCATGAGGACATACGAACGGTCGAGTGTTGGTGTGAGATCTAACGTGCTGAGCTAACTTCGCAGGACGATTGAAAGACTTGTCGCAACCCTCGTATGTGCAGCGGTGAATTTTGAGAAGATCGGAGGGATGCCGAGGGGATGCTTTGGGAGAAATGGGGGTCAATGGTGTTGCAACACTGCTGATGAGGAAGTTGTCTTCGTCCACATCACAAGAAGAGTCCGAGTTATAATCGGAAGCGTCGGAGCCTAGACGATCAGTCAGTATTTGCTATGATGGGAGCCATTGCTGAGCGAACCGTAGTCGGTGGGCGTGTTGTTTCCTCGGGCCCTTTTTGCACTTTCGCTGATTGTAGACATAGCCTTCCGCTTGATGCCACGGAGGGGTAGCTCAATGCCGCCAGCATCAAAGATCGGTGAAGCGTCCATGTTCACATCTTGTCAGCGTCGTTGCGAAATAGAGCTTGTGGGTCTACAACAGGCTAACAGCTAAGATTCGGCGTGTGCGAGGAAATCTTGGCGCTGTCGGTCCACTAGCGCTGCACGGCTCAATGTAAAATCTTGTCGTTCTTTGGCCCGATGCTCTTATCATGTAATTGGTATGAAGATATCACCACAAGGTACCTCACAAAGGCTGTCAATTTGGGGTTAAGAAATGCCGATGTCTAAGGAGAACTGTGGATCTCGAAAATGCCGTCTCATTACAGGGTCCACGGCCAAGAGAATAAACTACTGCTGCATAGACTGGAGCGCCAAAGGGAGCTGGAAAAGGTGTCAAACCTGCCCAGCGCCCGTAGTGCTTGCCTTACCCACATCCCTGGCCTGCTCCTCCAGCACGCTTTTTTCAACAGCCTCCAATCCGTCAACCCCTTTCTCATACATTCGATATATCTCTTCCTGATAGCCATCGGCTATCTTCTCAACAAACTCATCCTCTCTCCATCTACTACCGATCAAGTCCTCAAAGGTCTCTCCTGGTTTTCTTTCCACGGCCCAGACAGCTTTATATGCGCTTCCAAGTGCACATGCATTCCCACCTACGTCGAGGCGATAGACCCCCTCTACGCCGCCCAGGATTTCTCCTGCGAGCTTTGCGATGGCGGTATTTCGGCTGCCACCTCCGACAAGATAGACTCTCCTAGGCTGAGCTGGAACATTTTGGGGGTTTGGAGATGGGGGAGCTACGATTCCACGGCTTCGTAGGCGCAAAGATAGCAACTGAGATTCGAGGATGGCTCGGCAGTCGTCTTCGGGAAGTTTCCATGCGGATGGAGAAGAGACAGTTGGTTGTTGACCAGTGTAAGTGAACCTGTATATACCAGCCTGGACGTTCGGGACAATCTCAGGCCGAGGGAAATAGAGGGCTATCTTTGCCGGAGAGCTCTCAATAGAAGCGCCGAGAGGGCGAGTATGCGTAGCATGATAGTTGAAGAGTGACCATCGGTCTGAAATACCAGGAGGGGTCGGTGGAAGAGCATCCCTGATTTGTTCCCGCGCAAGGCCCCCTGACTAACGTTAGAACGAGGTTGTCGGGAGGCACGGAATAAACGAAAGGGGCAGACCATTCTTATAGCATAGCATGAACATATAAAGACCAGATGTAGTAGGGCTATACCATTCCGGAGTCAGCGTCTCTCTTAATAGAAAAAATGTATAAAAGGGGAAAACACAACTCTGGTAGGGTGCTTACTGATTCATAAAGTGTACAGCTGGGTCTGGTTTATAGTGAGGCGTTGACATCAGGAAAGTAGTCGAAGTGCCGAGCGAAACGATTGCGTCAAGAGGCCGAAGAGGTAATGCAAGGATAGTCGAGGGGTTGTCGCCAGTGAACGGGGCTATCGTACATGACGGATTGAAGCCATAACGTCGAACAAAGTATTTTTGGACCTCACCAAAACTACCTCCTCCGTCTTCCGGTACGTGGCCCAATTTGCTTTCAAGGTCGGAGGGACCAGCGGCTAAGGCCATCAACTTCTGATTGTAGCTACCTGCCTTGATGTCAAATAGATTCATGCCACAGACGTCTGCGATATCGATGGGAGCTATTTTGCCGACAAATACCGAGGCAAGAAAGGAGGACACCAGTGAAATACGAGAAGTCTTTGAGTACGCGTCAGGGTGTTTAGATCTGAATCGCAAGATTTGAGGACCTGTAAAACGCTGCGACTCTTAAGTCAGCCAAGACTGAACGAATGTACCATTCACACGAAAACAGAGTGAAAGCTTTCATTCCTTATACTGGGTCGGATATTTCACTTGCAATGGGAACATGGAGCTATTTGCCGTGGATCGGGGAAATAAACTTCGTCTTACATGATGAGCCTTGCTACCGGTATGTAGGGCTAATTGAACCTCGTCCCCAAGATGTCGGTCAAACGAGTCGCATTGCTTTTGCGTACTACTATCCTGCCAATTGGGGCTGTAGGGGTAAGAGAACGCATGGTGTAGTTGTGCCTCCAGCGATTTGCCCTCATGCAGGTTTTGCAAAGCATGCTCGCCGTCTTCACTCCAGTAAACACTGCCGTGCTGCTGCCCTGCGCCCGATATCCCTCTCACTCTCCCAAAGTCAATCCCTTTGTCTTGCAGTCTCTGCAAAACCGCGTCGATAGCCTGCAGCCACATGGTAACGGGAGCATAAACTTCGTCCTCAGCTTCATTGGTAAGTACACCGTTCTTGATGCCAAAGCCAGTAGCATCCGCATCAAAATCGAAAACTGCTTCATAAGCAACCTTGAGGTCGGAGGTGATCGCAATCCCTTTGAGCTGCTGAGTTGAAAGGTCGAAGCCCAGGTAAAGAGGGCTCTCGTCGATCATTGTTCCCAATGCGATAGTTTGTTGGAAACGCGGTCGTAAGCGCAATAGTTCATAAGACACTTTACTTTAGTAGCAGGTGTGATGTCCGCGATCCAGCAAAGCCGTTTGACGCGAAATGAAATGACGTTTGTTTAGTCTCAGAGGAACGAACATACTCCGGCGAAAACGGCAGCAATGATCAATAGAGAAGGGAGTGGTTAAGACTTTGTATGACCTTTTGGGTCATTTGCACGAGTAGCAAGTTGAGAAAAAAAGGCGTATTGCGATTGAGACCTTGAATTTAACGAGTCATTCCCGGTTATTTATTTTTAGTTCCGTTTAGCGGCCTGTCAAAATCGCTGATAGGATGTGCGCATTCAACCGGGATCAAGGAAGGTTACCCGTAACCCGGCATATCCAGTCATCCCATTTCGCCGTGGCTATGCAAAGTTCCCAAGCTTTGGCAATAGAGGGTGAGAGAGCTACTGTAATTTCATGTATCTCCCTCCTGTCAAATCCGAACAAAACATTATCAACTCCTTTTTTTTGCATCACCATTGGATAAAGCCTTGTCATGGGTGTGGTCGATGGTGTGATTGTGAGAGTGGCTGTCAGTGTGGTCGAGGTCGTCTGGCTCCGGGCTGCTTGAAGAGACGTCTGCACCAATGAACTCGTCGGCAAAATCTGGCGCTTCGTCGCTTCTGGCCACAAATCTGACTCTGATTCTGCGTACGCCTCTAACTTTTGAACCAACCCTCTCTCGGACCGCGTCTTCTACGAGACGCGTCTCTTGCACTGTCCATTCTCCTGGCACGGCGAGCTCAACGTTCATCAGATAGTTCTGTCCCCCTTTAACCCCTTGCACATCTCGAACTTCGATTTGGTTGCCCATGACTCTACCAGATCCAAAACGGTCCTCTCCTAGTGCCTTTGAAGCGGTTGTTCGAACAGAAACCTTGATTTCCTCTGCGACGCCAACGTCTGCTAACTCAAGTAGGGCAGAACCAGTGTTGCCCCAGCCAGCTCTGATAACCATCATTGAAACGACAAGACCTCCGATGGGATCGAGCCATGAGACATTGTCCAACACGTGGGAACCGACAATAGCAACGAGAGCGACAATACTGGTCAGCGAGTCTATTCGGTGGTGGACGGCATTTGAAGCTAGGACGGAGGATTTGCGCTCCTTTGCAATTTTCATAGCTGCAGATAAACGATGTTAGCCACTGTCTGCATCACAGATAGCTGTTGCTCCAATACATGGGCTCGCTTCCATCAACGTGAGTAAGTAATATCACTTGATGCAACGAGATGAGCGGGACTACTGCAACTGGAGCTGTGCTTCTCATAGGAGCTCGTTACGAGAAGGGAGAGTAGTGATCTGATGATATGCGTAATTTTGAGAAGTGCAGTGCTACTGAATAAAGGTGAAAGGCAAAATTCGAATACTCCTGGCAATGAGATTTGACGAACCGACGAAGCGTTGGGGGAAATGAAAACTTCCGAAATTTTGGGCTTGACTTACTGGCACGATAAAGATACTCCTTGACTATTATAGAGCCACCAGCAATCCAGGCTGCATGAACGTTGGGGATTCCCATATCTGCTGGGTTGTGGCTATGCGAATGTCCAAAAACTCCACCACCATGACTATGGCCATGTACTGCCATTGAAGAGGCAGCATCGAGGAAGAATTGCGAGTATAATAATTCACACGAATGCCACCCCAAACCAATGCCACCTGCAAGTAACAGGCTACTGACCCCTAGCGACCCCAAGCTTTCGATTTTGCCATATCCGCTAGGAAATCTAGAAGTTGGAGGCTTCAGCGACCAAGACACCGTTGCCAATGTCAAAAAGTCGGAGACGAGGTCTGTGAGGGAGTGGAAGGCATCGGCGATGAGGGATTGTGAGTTCAAGAAGTAGCCGCCGAGACCCTTGCCTATAGCCATGCAAAAATTGACGTAAAGACCAATTCGCGTAATACGGACACCGGCGTCCTTTTTGTTTGTAGAGACAAGGTACGTATTATCATGATGATGGTGCTGATGCGAGTGGCCGCTGTGCGGGCGCGCCAGGGTTGTGGAAGTCATCATGGGCCTTAGACGATGGCGGAAGTGGTTACTCGAAGGATATAACAGAGAGCGGGTGTGGTAAGTGGTAGAGGAAGATAGTATGACAACAGAATTCAATGGAATCTGCGTGTGACGGCGATGTGTCCTGACCAAGACTCGGCAACTCAATTTAGGGGAGAGAGATTGGGTGAAATGAGCACGCGCCTCGAAGCTTTTCCAGGCTCGAGGAAGCGGCATGAGAGCAGCACTTTGGACGCTACCTCCAGGGTGAGCGTCAGATGTTACTCGGCCTATACGCTTGGTACAGACGAGCACATGTGGACGGACAACTGAGTGCGGCAGTATCTCTTCGTAACAATGCCCTCAATAATAATCTGAATAATCTGCCTACAACTTTAGTGGCCCAAATAAATATTATCGCAAAAGGCCCCACCAGGCCGGCGATTGCTTTCAGCCTCCGTCTTTCTCTTGTCTGTATCCGAAGATCCATAGATGCATGATCACTTCATTTTCTTGAACAATCTCATTTCCTCCAACACCTGCATCAATGTCTCTTTATGAAGAAACCTTTGATGCGAATACCCTACACTGGGCCCTTACCTCCTCCGACAATCATCCCTGGATTTGCCAATACTCCGACAGGTGCTAGACATGCCTTGACCAGATTTCTTTCTCCTCAGGTTTTGCCGAATACTCATCTTTCTTCCCTCGCCAAAGTTTCTACAAAGACGGTGCTGCTTACAGGAGCTGGAATATCCGTCGCCTCCGGCTTAGCTGACTACCGTGGCACGGGAGGCACATACACTTTGAATAGAACATATAGACCCATCTACTACAATGAATTCACCAGCAACCACGAAGCTCGGAAACGTTATTGGGCAAGAAGTTTTCTGGGATGGACCAATCTGCACAAAGCGAGGCCTAACGTCGCACATAATGCAGTGAAAGATCTGGGCAAGCTGGGACTGGTTAGCAGCGTGATTACGCAAAGTGGGTGCCTTGTGCATATGTTTACACATCCTATCAAATCGCTGCAGGAGCATACTTGATTTGGAACGTCTTCAGCAGCAGCTAATTCAATCGGTGCTCTCCAGATGTAGATTCTTTCCATTCCATGGCACACCCTGACTTGCCGACTATAGAGCTCCACGGTTATCTACGTTCCTTGGTCTGCATTCATTGTCACAATCAGCTTCCCAGGAGCGATTTTCAGAATTCGCTATCCTCGTTGAATCCGCAGTGGGCAACATTTCTGGAAGAGATGTTGGCAACTGGAGCGTTGAACTCGGAGAACCCTGCGGAGCGAAAGGCAAGAGGGCTTAAGAGTAACCCTGACGGAGACGTGGATGTACCGAATGCCCCATACACAACCTTCAGGTACCCTGCCTGCCCTACATGTCTCGCAAGTCCCCCAGCCTTGGCGGACGGTACAAGAGCTTCGGTCGAGGTCGATGATGACGGCGCTTGGTCGCCTACCTCAAACGCTGGCGTTCTGAAGCCTGCCGTCGTTATGTTTGGGGAGTCCATTGCCTCAGATATCAGAACCGCAGCCGAGAGAGCCATAGACAAAGCCAGCCGGCTTCTAGTCGTCGGAAGCAGTCTGGCCACCTATTCAGCATGGAGACTGGTGAAAAGGGCGAAGGAACGACATTTGCCAATAGGCATCCTGAATCTAGGAGGGGTCAGAGGAGAAGAAAGCTTTTACGCAGGTCTGGAAACAGCCAACGAGGGCGAATTGGGAGTTCGATGCAACGAAAGCGCAGATCAATTACTGCCTGAAGTCGTTGATAATCTACGCCACTACTAACTTCTTATGCCGGAGATACGCCAATTTCTGTCTCGAACAGCTAAAGGCAGCCGCTCTCAGCATCCGTCCAGGCCTCTCAAGCCTCGCAACTCATGATATACATCTTTTAGGAGCTCAAGGCTGTGGTAAGTGAAATTGATGCGGGCGATGCTGTGTTGCCATCTCGGCCTCACAATTAAGCGCAGGACAGTGAGGTCACAATTGCTTGGAGCCTACCTCTAGATCACTTCAATTCTGAATAAGCTTTCACATGCGCCACTGCTGCATTTGGGGTCCATGCGGAGATGCTAAGCAAAAGCACAGGAGATGTCTTTAGGCAAGGGGTGTTCCTTATATATATGAATTAGCATGCAAATCGTCGGCACCGGCACCCAACCAGTAGCCGTTCTACTGGTTTTTGGAAAAGGCAAAGTGCGGACACCATGTCCGTGTTCACCTTGCATGCGCCATGAATTATTCGTTATCTCCAACAGCTCTACCATATCTGACCCTGTAAATCACCATCTTAGCCATCGTTTGGGCCAGGCGTCCCTAGTCCCCACCGGCGGAAGGTTCAGTCAAATCGTGCAAAGAGAGCACGCAGCTGCGGTCATCATTCAAGAATGTGAGGCGGATTCGGTGTTCAGACTCAAGGGTCAAGAAGTCTTCGAGAGTATTCAGCGGGAAGACACAAGGGCATGAGTAGGTGGGAATGCCAAATGGTGGGATCGTAATGTGAAGAGTATAATGCTGCAAAGTCCATTGAAGACTCCGCGAAGCCATCTGTTGCCGTAGCCCTACAACTCAAAGTAGGGCCTGTGACGATGGTATGTACAACGAGCAGGCTAAATAAGCTTCGAAAAGTTAAGCAAGCGATGAGATGGCCTAGAAAATGGATCTTGACCGGTTTTTGGGTATCTTCAAGGCCCATTAGTAGCTGTAAAGCAACACGCGGATTCATTTGCTATGCGCCTTGCGCAATGCATGCATGTCCAATTGCCATAGAAAGTAACGCCACTAGAATCGCCATGCTCCAAACATCTCACAACAGCTCTTCGCATGTCCAGTCTTCATACCTAAAAGATGTCAATCCCAGAATGGCAATGGAATAACAAGGAAGTTTCATACTTTCCGTCGGGTAAATACCGTCTGACGACCAAAGGTATCTTCTTCTCCCGTAGCTCCTTGATAGCAATTTGTAACGGATCCGTCTCTCCTTCGAGATCGACTAGGACAGGCGCATTCATGCTGTAAATCATGTTGGGTCAGCAGTCATGATTCGATTCTTCTGCGCAGCTGTGTCTACTGCATCAATCTTGGCCGCAACCCACGGGAGCATTCCCTTGGAACCACTCGATGCAGCTCAATCCACTAGCTGGACCATGGCTACTCCAAAGACTCTCTAAGTCGCTGGGATGGAGAAGAGCAAACCTAATTTGTAACGCTCTCGTCCCCAACACCCTCGCCCTCTCATACTTAGTCATGTATGGCGTCGTCGATCTCTCATGCTCTGGTATTTTCTTTGCCTTCAATCCCAGCACCGCGTTCTTTTTTCCTTGTTGATGTTGATTTACATCTCCACCTCCGCCATTGATCTCCACGACCGCTCCCCCAACGCCGTTCGTCACGGGTATTAGAGCGTCTGGATCCTCCGTACCTCCTGGGGCGGGGGTTTGCGCGTTGGGGTTTTCGACATCGTCAGGGTCTTGAGGAGAGAAGGGTTCGTCGTCGTCGTAAGTTGGCTCATAGGGATCGTAGCTGTAAAGAAAGCATTTAGTGGGGACTAGGACGGGGAAAGTTGGAGCGCAAAATGAACGCAACTGACCCATCGTCAGCGTCGTCACCATCGCCGCCGTAGTCCGACATATCTGGAAAGAAAATCTAATATGAATGAGATGTGGAGAGAAGTGACAATTGCTGCTCTTCAAATCCCTTACTCGTCTTAGAAGCGGAGTTACTCTCGGACCGGTATCGAAACACTACTCTAGCGTATCTCTACTTATACAAAGAGAGATGTAAAAGGAGCCACCTAAAGTACCAAGTTTTTCTTGTGCTTCACTTTGTCCGAGACCCGGGTGGTAAGGTCTGCCTTTGGAAGTCATTGAAACACTGCAATCGTTGAAGAGCATTTAACCAATGAAACATGCCTGGAGAGGAGTAGGCCAAGCAAGCTACAGCTTATGCTGTGCTCTAGATCTATCTTTCTTTCTTTTGCTCTTCCTCTTTATTCCTCTTATCCAAAATCTCATCAATGATGCCCATCTCCAGAGCTTCCTCCGCTCCCATAAAATTGTCCCTCTCCATTAGCCTCTCGATCTCATCTAAGCTATGCGGCCGCGTCAAATGCCTCTGGTAGATCTCATTCAGCTGGCGCCGGACCCTCAAAATTTCCTTTGCGTGGATCGCAATATCGCTCGCCTGCCCGAAATATCCTCCGCTTGGCTGATGAACCATGACACTTGAATGCGGCAAACAAAAGCGCTTGCCTGGTGCACCGCCGCACAGGAGTAAAGAGCCCATGGATGCCGCTTGACCCACACAAGTGGTGGTGACAGGAGACGAAATGTATGTCATTGTGTCATAAATTGCCAACCCAGCCGTAACAGAGCCGCCAGGTGTATTGATGTAGAGACTGATGGGTTTTTCTGGAGAATCCGCTTCCAGGAAGAGCAGTTGTGCTACAATGGAAGCGGATACGGTCTCATCGACTGCACCGTTGAGGCAGATGATGCGTTCCTAGAGCGTAAGCAGTGAGCAGGCGGCAATTGAGAAACAAATACTAGGAACAAACCATTAGCAGCCTCGAGAAGATGTCATCTTTTTAGAACGTCAGCTATTGGCAATTGATCGTGTAGGGTTATGGCTTTACGAGTACGCCAACCACCTCCCTAGCTAGTCAGTATGCTTGTATCGATTTCCGAAGCGGTGAGGAAGACCTACAATGGTCTCAGTAACATAGGGTGTTGGCGTCCATGCTCGCGACGGTTGTGATCCAGCATGGCCGGAGAAGCGTCTTAAACCTAGCCTAGAGGCATTTCGAAGGGCAGCAGCACTTAGAATTGGGGATATCGGTGCTCTGCAAATATTGAACACAATCATAATGAACATCGGTAAGAGCTAGGGATGAGAGGGAAAGGGAAGCTTCATTCAGGTAGTCGAGCTTGGTGTCGCGAGAGGTCTGACGTGGCCAAAAATCTTCCGCCGCCGGCGAAATTGCTCTCCGCAAACACTTTTCCACCTTTCTCTCGGAGCACTCACCAGAGGTGATGAGAAAATGCTTCCCAACAAGGCGCATACCGATCCTACGATCATGGGATCATCGTGGTCTAAGAACATTACGACGAATTGTCTCTCGAAATCCAGCTGTGAAGCAACTGAGCAACGCCGAGCTTTTGGAGATCATTCATCAGGACAAGGAAAACGCTACCTCTACAGCGACTGCTCAAACCAACTCGGATGGCCTTGACTCACAAAAAGACGATTTTCTCCCACAAGCAGCATCGCCTCTTGCTACTCGTATACATCGATTACCTCAGTCACCGTTGACAGATCCGGGTCTCGTAGCTGCTCGAATTCGTCACAGAGCAGTGAAACCCCTTCCATCCGGAGATCCCTCACCATTCCAATTGAAGCTGCAGAAAAATCCTTATGGTATACATGCAATGATCTCTGGGACAAAGCATAAAGCTAACAAGGATTGCAGCCATTGCACTAGCGACTCCACCTCGACTATGCGTCCTAACAGGCCTTCGACTGCCAAGCTACTTCCAGATTCCCTTTGGTGTCTCGACACACCCAAAAACTGGGGCACCATGGCATCTTCCAAAGCTCTCAACACAAGTAGTGTCCAATCCTAGCGATGGCAAGATACCCAATGGAAATCCCGAAGGGATCCCACCGTCTTTTCTGGAGCCCGACGCATCAACGACTATGGAAAGCCCCATGCGTACATTATCAAGCACACACTTCCTTGCAACCCGCCAAGTCCTCGCGCACGTCTCGAGCCTTACACCTCCTCATTACAATAGACTGATGCCCTATCGTTGGAGACAGGACCCCAGCGTCAGATTGTCCGAGATAGTCTGGCGCGAAGACATGGATATCTTTGTTCTTGAAATTCTCCGAAGAAACGTATCAGAGACATTATCATATCTCGCCTCAAGGCCGGCAGCTTATATTGCTTCGTGCAAGAGTTATGATAACATCGATAAGCACGGTCAAGTTGCCGCCGTGCTATGGCTAAGGCAAGACGCCGAAATTTCGATCCACGACAAATCGTCGACTAGCGATGCAACGCCATTCAACGTTAGAGAAACAGGGCCACCACCTTACGCGATGCATTACCACAGAACCCGCTACGTACCATACTACAACCTAGCCGCCCTGCTCGGCCCCAGTCAACTCAACGCCTTGCAAGAAAGCCAGCCTGATCACTATGGTGACCAGTTTGCAGTCATCAAATTGAAGCGTACCACGGTGAAGGTGCAATTAGAACTGTGGAAGCTGTTGGGCTACACTGCTCAGGATCGAGTATACGGATAAGCGTCGATAGATAGATTTGGCCTGATAATTAAGCTTCGCGGTAGGTTTGAATGGTGGATGATGGAAAATTTAGTCCGCTCTGGTCAATATTTTCACGGTCAAAGATGTTCGGGATCTCAGAGACCTTCACTCTACCGCATCGAGAAACTGAAATACAAAGGCATTTGAACATGAAAGAATTTCGATGGTTGTAGTATGTACAAGAGCTCAAGTCAAGACATTGATGCAAGCCGTAAGATCAATGCAAAAACTCAACGGATGATACCATTGATCCGGGTTCAACGCCCTACCCTGCAATCCTAGGCGTCCGAATAAATGCGCAGCCTTCAGCACTAAAGGCCGTCCGTACTGTTCAGCTCAGAAATGCCCCTCCGGCAACCACAAGATTCTGTCTAGTGAATCGGACCTTGTACACTGGGCTCTTCTTAGTTGGAAATGCACTGATCTGATCCGACGTGACCACCACATCTTTTCCCTTCTTCTTCGTGCCCGCGCCGGCCACAGCCTGCATTTGCGCGGCATTTCCATCAATCTTCTGTCCAACACCTCCTTCCCCAATGACCCTGCCCTGCCCACTTGCATCGTTCCCAATCGCAATGTCCCAGATGCGGACCGTACCGTCTGCGCCTCCGGAAGCAAGGACGGTTGATTCCACACTCCAGCTTAATGACCAGATTCCTCCTTTGCCGTGGCCACGCATTCGCTTCTTAAGCTTTCCTGGACCAAGATCCCAGAGGATGATGGTGCCTGCGTCATCAGCAGAAGCGAGTATCTTGCCATTAGGACTACAAGCCAAGGCTGTGATGTTGCCGGTATGACCTGTAAACATGCGCACAGGGTACCCGTTTGCAACCGCCCACATACGAACAATCCTGTCACTGCTTCCAGTAAAGACATAGGCACTGTTTGGGTGGAAGCATACAGTATCTACATCCTTATCATGACCAACAAACATCCGGAGATCCTCGATATGGTCCGTCCTCCACAAGCGACATGTTCTATCGAGTGAGCCAGTCAGGAAGTAGAGACCGAATGGGCCCCATTTCACGTCCCACACTGGATAATCGTGACCCTTGTAAACGACAAGACAGGTCCAGGCCTCAAGCGACCAGAGGCGTACGGATTTATCAGCCGAACAGGAGAGAAGGTGTTTCGAGTTGGTAGAAGGAGCGTGAGGATTCGATGAAGCGATAGACGGCGAGAATGAAACAGCATATACAGGTCCCGAATGACCTATCAGACGGCGAGACGCAGATGGTGGCTGTTCCGTAGACCCAGGTTGGACTGTTGTTGGTAAAGCTTTGCCGTCAAGGCTCCAAACACGAATGTAAGATTCGCTCATACCTGCAGCTACGAGCATATTGTCTTCAGAGAAGTCCAAGCAGTTGATACTGAGACACGTTTGCGTGTCAGTAGAGCCTTCATGCAGAGTGAGAAACGGGCGACTACCTGTCGTATGTGTTGTGGAACGTGAACATTGTGACACTGACACCAGGGCCCACGCCTCCAGTCCTTCCTTCAATCTTGAATCGATCGCGGTCTTCTTTGACCTTTTGAACCTCCATTGCGACGTCGCGGGCGATAGATGGCGGTAGTTGCAACTCGCTGCGAGTAGGTGCGTCTTCACTTTCTTCCCGTTTGATCCGCTGCTCAAAGTGTTGAATAAGCGAGTCTTGCCCTGTGAAGGGAGGATTCTTCGCATCTTCTTCGTCTAGTTCTGCACGAACGTCACCCATCAAATCTGACTCCAGAGGCATATGCCCAAGCTTCAATCGTGTCAAGACAGTTGAACCAGCGCTTCTGTCTACATTCGCGGATCCAGGATTGTGACCCGGAATCCCTTCATCTTCAGCCGGGTAATCCTCGTTGGCTCTCGCCCGTTTGAGCAGTCTTGCAAGACTATTTTGATCGTCTGCAACGCGGTCGATGGTTATAACCTGTAGGTAGCTCTGTATCACTCCTACTATGACGGCCCCTCCATCCTTTTCCTTCGACTCCAAGAATTGAACGAGGTTCAAGAACGCCACCTGGCTGAGTGTGATTCGATACTTATTGCTGCGATAGATCTTTGCAGTGTCGTTGTTGAGGACATGCTCAGGCATTGAGATAGGCTGAAGCGCTCGCAGATCGTCCTCGTGCTCTTTCCCAAATCCTGACTTGAACGACTCTAAGAAATGGCCGCTGTCCTTGGGAAAAAAGTCTGATGCGAGGTTGAGGAATGAGTATACGAAGATCGGCCAGAGTAGACGTCTAAGATCAGGCTAGGAGGTTGTCAGTGGGTGCAAGGCCAAGCTCAACTTTCACCTCACTTTGTAAATGTCGAGACTCTCTTCAATCCACGATCGCATCAACCCTTGGACGAAGTTCAGTAGGATACTCAAGAGCATGGAACAACACATGGCGCTCACCAAAAGCTTTTCCGTATTTGGCTCCCCCAGTCTCTTCAGCCTTGGTGTTGACGGGTCTACCCTCAACGTCTTGATTCGCAGACTCTTGCCTCAGCATAGACTCTGTCTTGCTATAGCCCTTTTTTGATAGATATTCAATGACCTGAGAGTCCACATCAGCGCCCATTTCTTTGACGTGCTGAGATTGAATAGGCAGAAGAGACGTCAAGACATGGTAGTAAGTCTGTGCTCAAGAGGTGTAGTTTAAGCGGTGAAGAGTGACAAAGAGTCTGGGGATTGACTCCCGTCGGCACAGAGGCAAGAAGGCAAACGTATGAAACTAAAGCTAGCCAAGAGCCGAATGGACCGGGCTCTTTAAGGTGTGGTGAATCTGTGTGCGATCCCGATTACACACCACTTCATCATCGGTCAACACCGACACAGGATGCATAACATTTGTCGGCCTAGGCTTTGGACTGACATCTTCTTGGTTTGAGTAGTGCTTGGATGGGTTCCTGGGCGAGCTCGCTTCTTGGAAATCCAGTGTATGATTGCCGACGGCATGCTTATAGGTGCCCAAGCCGAATGAGACAAGACCTTCTTTGACCGCCCGTCCATATTTTCTAGGAGTTTGTCTATTAGAAGTTTGGTTGCTCATAGCGGCAAGTCGCCTAGGATCTTGATTTCTGAATGAAGAGTGACCGTTTTGGTCTGTTCCTGTGTAGCTAACGCCAGCAGAATCGGTGGACACTCCTGATCGTGTACCTCGAATTGCTGGTGAGCTGACAGGAGAAGGTCTGTATGAAGGCCCCAGTCGCGGATCCGTGACGTCGCGCAACAAGCCTTAAGCCTCGTACTCCAACTGATGATAAGGCCGGTAAGAATTGGGCTGCTGCACAGGGTTCGGCGCGTCTAGATCGTCGTATATGCTTCGATACTCTTCTGGAGAAGGCTCCCGCCAAGGATCAAGAATAGAAGGTGGTTCTGAGCATCGATGGGATTGCGTTGACAGATCAACACTGGCGGACGGGCTGTGACTGCCCATGGCCGCTCGCTTACCGCGCTGCTGAGGGTCCGAGGATACTTCCATACTAGGCTTTCCTTCGGCGTCTCTTCGCTTGCGCGATGAACGAGTGTTACACTCGCTCGAGGCAAGAGATCCGGCTTGTCTTCCCGAGGCAGCTAGTAGAGATACATTGACTCCTTGTGCCGATGCCTGTACGGATAGAGACGCTTGCTGGAGCGCAGAGGTTTGAGGTGCTTCGGATGATGCTATGCGCTCGCTCCTTCGCGGATATTGTAGAGGTCGGGCTGGTCAACCGATAGAACGTTGATTGGTGCGTGGCTTTGCCATCTTAGGAGAGACAGGTTCTGGGCTAGAAGGAGCGGTGTTGTTTGACTAATAGAGCATGATATGGAAAGCGGGTCCATGCGTGGGAGTCGCGGCTAGCACATGGAGTGTTGATGCCAAGCACCGCGCTAGTAGGTCTGTTCTACAATTTTCGAGCCGAGTAACTTCCAGTTGAGGGAGAAAGGTGGCGGAGTTCGCCGAAAACCCACAGGCTTCCGTCGCAATCCGAGACAGAGCTTACAAAAGGAAGGCAAACAATAGATCCTAACAGACGTGAAGCAGGCAAAACTAAGCATGAAATTTTTTGCCTTACAATGCTGTTCAGATTTGACTGGGACATGCTTCCGGATTGTCCATTACTCGTGCTAGATCCTACTTGAGGATCTGTTCTCTGCTGGGATGAAGCCATGCCACTGGCGCCGACGCCGTTGGCGGTAGGTCGAGGTCCTGAGGGATTCCCTGAAGGCTGCCCTGACATGATAACGGTTTCGAAGAATGATTGACGTTCATGCAGGAGACATTATTCCCTATATTTTTTATGGGGTGTATGTGATATCATGGTCGTTGTCCCAAATTAGAGCGTGGAACATGTTATTTCGAGTCGGACCAACATAGTGGCAGAGAAATGAGACAAGAAAAGTAGCTGAGCACGGAGACGTTGAAGGAATTTAAAGTTATCCTGCCTCCCTGCCTTCCGCTCGGACGCTAAACCCAACGGTTGAGCCGCATTATCTTACTTTACTTATGCAAGGCACTTTTAATGCGCAAGTGACAGCACTGATGATCGATCTTCATGAATCATGACACTTTTCTCTCAGAATCTGTAAATATCTATCTACCTTGACACCTTATGAAATTGACGTACACAAAGGCTTTGAAGGCAGTTTAAATCTACAACATGTCCCCAGACCATCCCCCAATCTTCTCTGCTAGCGATCGCATCAAGCAGTTAAACAATATTGACAAGGTAAAGCGCTGGCAAGGACCTGTAATATAAGAATGGATACTGAGACTGAATGTAGGATGTTGCTAAGCTACTGCAGTCGGCAGGTCTGGCCGTCAAAGCTTTGACAAAGCCCATGGCCATTGCACCGGCAGAAAGCTTGTCAAGCCGGCCTGTACCAATAGAACAACAAAGAGAGTCCTTCACTGCCGCGACATCGCAATACTTTACTCTACTTTCTTTGGTAGATGTGAACCTTAGACGCCAGATCTACGCGCTTGAGGAGGCCGGTGTTCTGCCTGCTGAAGCAGTCACCAAGGAGCCACCCACAAGTATGGCTGTTCCTTTAGCTGCCCAGGCTAATCCTCCGAATGCATCACCACCGAGAACGGCTGGGGGAAACAAGGGAGTCATTACAGGTGGTGGTCTCGGTAATCTGGACGTAGGTTGGCTTAACAGCAGAAATGACAACGTGGGAAAGGAGATGAAGGCAGAGTTATGGGAAGAAGCTGAAAGGTTCGTTTCCAAGCTCGAAGAAAGAAAATCTGGTTCGGATCGAGAACTTGACTTCCTCAAGGGTGATGGCGAAAAATAGGATGCATCCGCATCATAAGAGCTGGACGGTAGCGGGACAGAAATGGAGATTATTGACGGCTCCTTCAGAAAGCCATCAAGCGATGGAGGGGACCGGCCCGCCACTTTGTTTTCACAGGTCACCCGATATTGGATCTTCGAAAGCAGCAAGAATGGGGATGGTCCAGCATCTATGCCTTAACCAAGACGATTCGAACGCGTTGTGTATGGCAAACGATTTTCGGCGGGCAATGTTGCAGTCACTTCAGACATCATCGAATCCGGTTCGGCTGGCGCTTTAGCGATAAGCTCTGTGACACCTCCAGTGAATGAGGAAGTAGCGATGCTGTAGTTCTCTTTATGTCACTCACTCCATAGACCACTTGTATCATTAGCAGATACTTTTTGGTAATCAGACCCATCAGAATTCGGAAACTTATGAGCTTGCTTTTGTATCAGCATCCATTATGGATCGTGATGTCTTCGAAGAGAACATGCGGGTGAAGCGAATCCCTGCTCAGCCAAGCATCGGAAAAGCCGAAAAAGTTCCTGCACCTCGATGCTCTACCGACACAACTGATACCCTTTTTAACCTTGACATCAGCTCCAATATATCCAAGATTCTTCTACCAATGGATGCTGAGGATTCGCCGTGGGGTGGTAAGTAATTATCCCAGGACAATCGTCCCATTTGCCATCTTAATTGACAGTAGGCAGATGTTCCCTCACGTTCAAGCTCCAATACCAATCTTACCAAAGCTACAGAAGGAGTAGAACAAGGTCTGTCTGATAGCCGATTCATCTTCATTCTCAGGCTTATGGATTTTCGCAGACTCGGCAACCAAAGCAAAACAATCGCAGGCATCCTCTCTCTCGGCAACTTCTACGCCAAGATCCCCAAGTGCCAGAGGCCCTCGGACCCCACGAAAGGTCGGAGCACAAGCTACACGCCTAGAAGCCATTGATGACTCTCTTGGACCACTCGGCCCACTGGGCGAGAATTCCAATCTCTCAGAACCCGAACTACCTCCTGTACCCCCATCCAAAGAGCAGACACTACCCACGCGCAATACCCGCTCAACACCCTCGTCGCAGCCGCCTGTGAACAAGGGTATGATAGACTCGGCAGACCTCGTGGATGACGACAGAAGCTCAACGACGTCGAAACAAAGATACCCACAGCAAGGCCATTCGGCTCCTGGGGGAATAGAGAACTCAAGGAGGTCAACGCAGCCTAGCGTTAGTATCGAGCAGGCTGCAAGACCCAGTTTTGATATTACAGTTGGTGATCCGCACAAGATCGGAGACTTGACTAGCAGTCACATTGTTTACCAAGTTCGGACGAAGGTATATGCTCAACGTCACCGCCAATCTAGAGAGACACATTTCTAACTATGATAGACGTCCTCAAAAGCATACAAGCAGCCCGAATTTGCTGTCAGCCGGCGTTACCGCGATTTCTTATGGCTTTACAATTCGTTGCACAACAGTAATCCTGGAGTCGTGGTCCCGCCGCCACCAGAAAAGCAAGCCGTCGGTCGTTTCGACAGCAACTTTGTAGAGTCGAGGAGATCTGCCTTGGAAAAGATGCTAAACAAGACAGCCGCCCACCCAGTACTTCAGCACGATGGTGACCTCAAAATATTCCTAGAAAGCGATGCGTTCAATATGGATGTCAAGCATCGAGAGCACAAGGAACCCGGCCTCGGCGAAAGCAAAGGAATGTTCAGCTCTCTGGGACTTGGCAGCACCACCGGCGGCAAGTTTATTGAGCATGACGACTGGTTCCACGATCGGAAAATTTACCTTGACGCTCTCGAAAATCAATTGAAAGCTCTCCTGAAATCTATCGATGCAGTAGTCTCGCAGCGAAAAGCACTCGCAGAAGCAGCAGGCGATTTCTCCACTTCGTTACATGCGCTTTCTGCGGTTGAACTCTCCGTGTCCCTTTCCACACCTCTCGAAGGGCTATCGGACCTACAGCTTCGCATCCGCGAACTTTACGAACGCCAAGCCCAACAGGATGTGCTTACGCTTGGCATCACAGTAGACGAATATATCCGTCTCATTGCGTCCATCAAAACTGCGTTTGCCCAGCGCCAAAAGTCCTTCCATTCCTGGCACAGCGCCGAGGCAGAACTCCAGAAGCGTCGAGCTACCCAAGAGAAAGTATTGAGGAGCGGAAAGACTCAGCAGGATCGGTTGAACCAATTACAAGCTGATGTCGGGGATGGGGAAAGGAGGAGTCATCAGGCGAGACTACTTTTTGAGGACATGGGGAGACTTATGAGAGGAGAGCTGGAGAGGTTTGAACGAGAGAAAGTAGAGGATTTCAAAAGTGGGGTGGAGACATTTTTGGAGGGAGCCATTGAGGCGCAGAAGGAGGTATGTCCACTCTCTGCGCTCCTGATTCATATTATTTTTAATCCAAGACTTCAGTTGATCGAGCTATGGGAGACTTTCCTGATGCAGCTCGACGCCGACGAGGACGGAGAACCTTTTTTCAAACCACCCACAGTTGCTCCAGCACCATTACGGCCGAGCGACGAGCAGTCCGAGGGCGGACAGCAGCACCGAGCGCAACAAAATATTACGAGCGAATCAAGGGAGGATGGTGAGGTTGAGCATGGGGCCGCGGCTATTGCCACAACTGAGCAAGCGGAATAAGTTTCGGTTCATGTAGATTTTAGGGAGTTTGAGCAACCCTCCAAAGCTGCTGATTCCTGCCAATGAAGTACTAAGACAACTACACTTCATGGAGAGGTCCTTTGCTTGGCGTATATATGGCGAAATGTTCATAGTAAATTTCTTGGCAAAGCTCTTTTCGACACAAGTGTGACTGACTGCCTGGCGGTAGTCTCAAAACGCCACCATATTCAACGCCAGGACAGCACCTGTCCCATATACACACACAATATTGTGACTCTACCTTGGGCTTTGACTGACTCTCAGGCAGCCACCACCCTTCCACTCTCAACAATAATCGTCTTATCGAGCTGCTTCTCTGTCTCCCCGTACTCAACCCTCTTCCACGTCACAATCCGGGCCTCGTTCATGTCGAACTCAAACACCCTCACCCGCCGATGATATCCTCCGTAGCCACCATAACCTCCAAATCCACTGCCTCCTGCATAGCACATCCACAGCTCCGGCTTGTCGTCCGCAGACTTGGATAACGAGCAATAGTCGTTCACATGGTCATGCCCACAAGAGACAGCTAATACACCTTCCTCAACCAGTGCGTCTTTGAAACCGCTATTGAAGCCTGGCGCTGTGGGATTCTCGGGCTGGTTTCCGGTGGACAAGACAATGTCATCAACAAGTCGGTATTCAGGGAGCGGGATATGTATGAACGCCATGTCCATATGATGATGTGTATAGCCCTGATGCGAAGCACTATTTTTCAGCTCCAGACTAGTCGTCTTAAACCAGTCTATCTGACTCTTCTTGAGCCAGTCGTAGCCACGGAATTGGCGTTCGTCGGGGCTGTAGCCGTGGGTGTCCAACAGGTACAGAGTGAGAGCGGAGTGCGAAGACGTACCGCGCGCAAGCACTTCGATATAGTAATTCCCTATACCGTCCACAGTCGTGGGCCCGAATTCGGAAAGTGAATAAGGTAGCGAGTGGGTAAGCCGCATAAGAGCTTCACGCGAAAGGGAACCCTCGTCATCGTGATTTCCGAAGATAGTTGCAAATGGAATCTTACGGTCTACCAAAAGATGAGCGAATTTGAAAACCGCGGATTGAGCGTCCGCTGCTGTCTCGCCATTAACCTGGTCACCAGAGAGAACGACGAGATCAGGGCGTTCGCTGTCCAGGACTGAAGATACGAAAGCGAGCGTACGAGGGTCTGCGTCACATTTGCCGCCGTTATGCAGTGCAGGTTCGGGATCGCGGCAGATCCCAGGACCAGTCGAGAGGTGCAGGTCGGCTACTTGAAGGACCTTGAATCTGCCATCTTTGTTTACGTGGAGGGTTGGCCTTTCCACGTTCGCTGGAGGGCCGCGGCGGACACTGAGGTAAGCTTCTTGGTTTTCGCCGCCAACATTAGGGAGGACGAGGGCTTGGGAAGCGAGCATCCATCCCGGACGCGCTTCTACAGCGTCTGAGCCAAAAAGCACATCGACGGCGGTTACTGCGTTGATGCTATCAGATTCGCGGTGCTTGGAGGTGCGCTTGAGCCAGATTCCTGCAGGGCGAGATTCCCAGCGTTCGGCCCCCTGGTCCTTTTCCGAGGTGACGGGATCCAAGCTCGCTACCCGAACATCCAGGATGACTCGGTCTTTCTCAGTCAACTCTGACTCTCGCTTCCGTTCAATGTGCAAAAAGGCGTGAGTAAGCCAGCCGTGTGACAGGTACAGATCCTTTTCTATTCGATGCCATTTCCCCGGGTCTAGCTTGCAGCTCGAGAGGATGTTCAGTGTAGAACAGGTCGCGACCGTTATGTCAGTGATGACAAGACCGGGATGGTGAGCAGGAAGAGCGTTGTGTATCGCGTCCGGGAGGACATTGAAGCGGTTGTCAAGGACATAGACAAGAAAGAGAATTATGAGTGTGAGGATGCCGAGCTGGACGGAAGTGCGGACCTATCGAGACATCAGTAAGGATATAGAGTGTCGACTCATCCAACGTACAATCCTGCGTGTCATCTTTAGCCAAGCTGGAAGGTTGAGGAGCTGGGCGGTTGACCCTTCTCAACTTTTCGATCCTCTGCGGTCATGGGGTTACCAGATATGCTTTCACAACAGAGCACCCAGCTAGGTGCTTCCATTGGGTATCTCGAAGCATGCCACATTCATGAAAAGAACTAGTCAGAGGAGGAAAGCTCTGCCCATGGCATAAAGATGATTATCGAGGACTTCGAAGCCAAGAAAACAAGGTTGGTTTTGACTGTACTCAAACGGACTAGCGTTCTTTTGGCTCCTGCAGCCGAACACAAAGTGTTCTCGCATGTGCATGTTCAATAATAATGCATACGGAACGCATCTCTGTATTTTAGGGCTTTCATTAAGGTCTATCAAGCTGAGAGATGAGAACGTTGCTTCGAAGCAGTGGGTATCATGGTGGACTGCGGTTATATGTTGCAAAGAATATTCCAAACCACCTGCATCACCTGCCTATCCTTCCAACGCCTCGCTGCTTGATCCAAGAATCATCTTCGTCGAGGCACATTTGCTGACGGCACACCTTACTTTCGCTCCCGAACCCTTTCATCCGCAACGTTCTCCATTCCACTAGATCCTATATGCTGCGCGTCAAGCATGGGTATCTGATCGATGCTGCTGCTTTCGCTTCGTTTGTGTCCACTCTTGCCACTTGTTTCATCGCTACTCCGCTGTTGTTGCGGTGTTACTGAGCCATCTTCCGCCTTTGGCGTCATCAAAGGACTGCTGAAAGCATCCGGGCTGGTCTGCCATTTCGCAACGTCCTTCTTCATTTGCTCCAATTCTTTCTGAAAGCGGGTTCCGAAGACGTCAATGTAGTACGTCGCTCCGTTGTAAATGCTCCAGACAAATAGTGACAGCAGAAATATTGCGCTCGGCCACCGATACCAGAACCATACTGGGCATGGTAGCATGCTTCCCAAGGCATAAAGGTATTGTGTGAGCATGAACGCGGGTTCTTGTAATTGTTCAGGAAGTCCCAGTATTAAGCGTCCGATCCAACTTTTGGCATAAGATCTACGTAGCCAGGTGAAGCTTGTAGGACGGCCTGCAGCAATCTTTTCTCGACGCCTTACAGTAATGAAGAAGTGATACGAAAGTTGCCAAACGGCGTATGGAACGGATGACCAGGCCATCATGCCTAGTAGGGAATAGTGCACCGCGCTATCTGGGGAGCTTTGCGCGATGGCATATATACCTGGGAAGCGTGCTAGCTGGATCTCTGGAGGAGTGAGGTGGACCAGACAATGTAGTGTCACTGGTGGCATGATATGGATAAACAGGCTGTCGAGTTTAGCAAACGAAGTTGGCTTTACGGCGCATCCACTAACCTTGTAACCTTGTCCAAAGAATGGAACACCATGGAGTTTCTCCACATTGCAATGGCGACAGCATTGTTTCCATATGCCAAGCAATACGTGCTTATGAAGAGTCTTTTCGATCTCGGTGCAACCCAGATCGTCAGAAGTAAGAGAAAGTTGACGAAGTAGCACATGTCCGCCAAGAAGTAGTGATAGCCCCTTTTGTGGTAAGTATAGAAGCGAATTGGCATAAAGTAGCAAAGCTGTGCTGTGAACCAAATGTAGAACAATTCAGGGTGCCCGCCAATTAGGTATCCGCTTATGAAAATGTTGAGCACTCCAGCAATGAAGGAAAGCTTCTCTCGGGCTGTCACAGCTTTTGTGTCGTGCCACCTCGAACCAAGACGGTTTACGGAGTCGCTCATGCGTTTCCTGTACTTGTCAAGTTGCTCATCCGGTGGTGGTAGACGCCTTCGCCATTCCTCGACCACTCTGTCCTTCGCGTTGGACGTGGACGACTTGATCTTCTCACGTTGCCGTCGTACTCTTTCGGTCTGCGCCGATAATTTGGTCTGCCATTTTTCAAGTCGCGAAGGAAGTGCAAGATTGTCCAGGAGGTCGAACACGGTAAGAGTCTCTAAAGGGGTTTCCCATTCCTCCTGGTAAGAGCTGAAGTCCGAGGTTGACGCGTTCCTGGATAGCAGATTTGGGCTCGGCATTGGGGAGGAGAGCTCGGGCGTCTTTGGATCCAGGAGCGGAGAACCTCCATTCACGGATGCAGTGCATGATCCCTGGGTAGAAGATCTTGAGGCCTTAGGTGAAAGGTTATCGTCGGACAGAACAGACTCCGCTCTGGATTCGGCGATGCCTGTAACATCTGGCATGTTGCTGTTTTGTTGGCGGAATGAGGCAAGGGCTGCTGTGAGGGAGCCGGGCTGGGTGCCAAAGGACCGAGGGCGGCTTTGGCGTAGAGATACCATGTCAGCTCTTGAATGTAGTTATAGTGCTAATTATAGTGCTGTCTTAGGAATGCGATTGTGAAGGTAACATGCTTACAGCAGGTAGATGATGCGTGTTTATGAGGGGTGATGCCTTTCAAGAGCGACACCTGCACCCCACCATTTAGTCTTCCCGTCGCAGTAGGTGAGTGAGTACTTGGAGAGGAAGGGGAAAAACTGTCGCTCTTCGCAGTCCTCTCGATTTTCCTCCTGGCAAAACCAAGAGGACTGATTGGCCATTTCGACCAGCAGGATATCACCGAGGTTTAACCAGCCAGAGCGCGTCACGCGTTCCCATTGCTCGACCCTTTTCAAGTCACAGTCTTGACGTCGAAAATCGCAATCCTAGGTCGGAGTCGCAATCGTCGTTATAATGCGACCATTTTTCCTGTGTCCTCAATCATAAGCTGACCGTTGAACTCTCGCTCATCACTGGAGTGTTTGAGCCTCACTGCCAAAATGGGGAAGCTCATCCGTCTCGAGCTCTACAGTATGTCTCACACCCACCCAAGAGGCAGTGGTGCGTTGCGCTGATGCTTTGAGCAGACTTCAAGTCCTACAAGGGCCACCATATCCTCCTCCTTGGAGATTCCTACTTCACCTCAATTATCGGCCCCAATGGCTCTGGGAAATCGAATTCGTAAGTGGCCCTCGAAACGCCACGATATTCCCTCACTTACCTTCGGCTAGAATGGATGCGATTTCTTTTGTTCTCGGCATTAAATCGTCTCATTTACGCTCAGCTCACCTTCGCGACCTTGTTTTTCGAGGTCGAGTACTGAGAACTTCGAAAATCAATGGGGACGGCTCAGCAACAACCAACGGTGTCAACGGTCACACGAACGGCGATGCAGGCTCGGATCAGGAAGAGAGCCAAAATGGCACGCAGGAACGCAATGACCCCAAGAGCGCTTGGGTAGTGGCCGTCTACGAGGACGATGCTGGCGACGAGCAATTCTGGAAGCGTACAATCACAAATCAAGGCGTTAGCGAATATCGCATTAACGACCGCGTGGTGTCCGCGCAGCAATACAATGAAGCTCTGGAGTTGGAGAACATTCTAATCAAAGCTCGAAATTTCCTGGTTTTCCAAGGTGATGTGGAAGCTATCGCATCTCAGTCACCTCGAGATCTGACGCGCCTTATCGAACAAATTTCCGGCAGTCTCGAGTACAAAGCGGACTACGAGAGATTGAAGGAAGCTCAGGAAGAAGCTTTGGAGAACCAAAATTTTACTCTGCATCGACGGAGAGGCATCAATTCCGAGATAAAGCAGTACACGGACCAGAAGAACGAGGCCGACAATTACAACAAGAAGGCCGATGAGAGGGATCAGGCTATCGTGACCCACATACTCTGGAAATTATACCATTTCCAAAGGGTAATTGAAGAGTCCGGGGCGGAAATCCAGAAGCACCAGGAAGAGCTCAAGGAGCAGCGACGTGGAATCGAGAAGTACGATAGAGTTCTAGAGGAAGCCAAAAAAGAACAGGCTAAAGTCGGCCGGGATGTCTCTAAAATTGAGAAGACCATCAGACAGAAGGAAAAAGACATCGAAACCATGGAGAACGGTATAGTGCCAATTACTGAGAAAATCGATATAACAAACAAAAATCTCACGACCAAAAACAGTCGGATTGCGGAGCTCTCGAAGGAACATGATATCCACTTCAACAACGTAAAACAATCGACCAAGGACTTGAAGGTTGTCGAAAAAGCACAAGCTCAGTGGGAGGGCGAGTTCACAAAATTGGCTGAACAAGAGGGTCGTGAATTGAGCGCAGCAGATTTGCAGCGCTATAACAAGTTGAGGGAGGAAGTCAATAAAAAGACTTCGGCTGACCAAATCAAAGTGGACAGTCTCAGTCGTCAGCAGAAGGCCGATGAAGAGACAGTCATGAGCTTGAAAAGCAAAGTAGACACTGTGGATTGGCAGGCCCAGAAGCTAGGTGAGGAGTTGGCCGAGATCGGCGAGCGTAAGGACAGCGTCAACAGCCAGATCAAACAGACTACGAAGGAGGTCAATGGCAAGAAGAAGACGTTCAATGAACACACTTCTGAACGACTTCGTCTTGCGCAATTAAGGACGGAGAAAGATGAGAAGCTTCAAGAGGTATTGACGAAGCTACTGGAGGCAGAAGACGGCAGGAAGCAGAACGAGAAAGACCTCCGCCTAAAGGCTACTATCGCCGATATGAAGCGTATTTTTCCTGGTGTCAAGGGCCGAGTAAGTGAACTGTGCAAGCCCGTCGAAAAGAGATACCAAACCGCGGTCAGTACAGTCCTCGGGCGCAATTTCGATGCAGTCATTGTCGAGAACGAGAAAACGGCCATCGAATGCATTCAGTATCTGCGAGAACAGCGTCGGGGTCAAGCAACGTTCATACCTCTGGACACTATCCAGTTCGCTGCCTTGAATTCCAATCTCAAAGGTCAATACCGCGGTTGCCGAACGGCTCTGGACACAATCGACTATGAGAGGTCCCTAGAACGTGCGTTTTCCTATGTCTGCGGTAATGCTGTCATTTGTGATGATCTCGTCATAGCCAAGACCATCTGCTGGGAGAAACGCAATGATGTCAAGGCGGTCACTCTTGATGGTTCAATCATACACAAAGGCGGCAATATGACTGGTGGTCAGAGTGGCAAGCAGGACTCACGGCGATGGGAAGACACGGAGGTGGAAAACCTTCGGAAGCTGCAAGAAAAGCTAGTTTCGGAGTTGGCAGCACTTCCAGAATCGCGTCGCGGCGCTTCCGAAGAAGAATTGCTCCAAGGGGAGTTGACAGGTCTCGAGCAGAAATTGACATATCTTAAATTCGAAGCCAAGGCACATGATCGAAACCAGACTAGCAAGCAAAAGGAACTAGCTCACGCTCGACAAGAGCTAGGAGCATCCAAGCCAAAGTACGAGGCGAAGCTTCGAGAACTTGAAGACCTCGAGAGCACACTGAAGGGGTTTCAGGATGCTGTCAGCGAAGTACAGGACGACGTATTTGCAGATTTTTGCCGACGACTTGGGTACAACAACATACGTACCTATGAGGCTCAGCAGGGCTCATTGCAGCAGGAGGGAGCGCAGAAGAAGCTTGAATTTAGTACACAAAAGAGCCGTCTCGAGAGTCGAATTAGCTATGAGCAACAGCAACTGCAGGAGATCAAAAGTCGTATCAAAGTTGCGCGAGATCGTGCTGCACAGGATGAGACCCTCGTCAAAGAGCTTGAGGTCGAAAAAGAATCCTCGCAAAATGAGTTGGATAGTTTGATGGTGGAGCTAGACCAACTAACCGAGCAGCAGGAGCAACAGCAGGTCAAGGTCAATCAGAAGGCCGAAAAGGTTGCAGAACAGCGTCGTGAGGTGCAGAAGAGAAGCAAGACTGTCGATGGTACCTTAAGAGCCATATCAGGTTTGGAAGCTGATAGACAGCTTAATGCCTCCAGCAGGTACACTCTTTTAAGGCGCTGCAAGCTCGAGGACATCAGCATCCCGCTAGAGGAAGAATCAAGAGGTCTCGACCAACTACCTCTTGATGACGTTCTCCAGACTGACACTGGTGCCTTGGACGTGGATGACGACCCAGAGGCGAGCAGTATACCTGAAGTTCAAGACTACGGCATCGAGATTGATTTTGACGGCCTTGATGAGGATCTAAGGGAGGTATGGATATTCCGTCTGGGCTTATATGCATCATGTCTTTGCAATGCTAATTACCAGCATAGAGTAATGACGAAAAGCTAGACTCCGAGTTGCAAGGCCGCGTCAAAACCCTAAATAACGAGCTGGAAAGCATGGCACCTAACATGCGTGCAGTCGAACGTTTAGGGGTAGTGCAGGATCGACTGAAAACTACAGACCGGGATTTTGAAGATGCACGAAAGCGTGCCAAAAGAGCGAAAGATGACTTCCAGGCAGTGAAAGAGCAGCGATTCGAACTTTTCAGCAAGGCTTTCTCGCATATCTCGGAACAAATTGGGCCGATCTACAAAGATCTTACCAGAGATACCTCTCTACCTATGGGCGGTCAAGCGTATGAGATACCACGGTCATTCAACTTCTTACTACTTTTTGCTAACCATCAACAGATACCTGGACATGGAAGACGGCGACGAGCCCTATCTCGACGGGATCAAATACCACGCCATGCCACCCTTAAAGCGATTCCGCGACATGGAGCATCTTTCCGGGGGTGAGAAGACCATGGCTGCTCTTGCCCTGCTATTTGCAGTCCACAGCTATCAGCCGTCTCCATTCTTCGTGCTCGATGAAGTCGACGCTGCGCTGGACAATGCCAACGTCGCGAAGATTGCGAACTATATCAGAGACCATGCAGGACCCGGAATGCAATTCATTGTGATTAGCTTGAAGACTGGTCTCTTCCAGGGTAGTGAGGCGCTGGTAGGGATATACAGGGACCAAGGAGCAAATTCGAGCAAGGCGTTGACGTTGGATGTAAGCTCTCTCCTGTTATTGCATTTATCTGGGACCACTCTGTGCTGACACTGATTTCTGTAGTTGCGCAGGTATCAATGATTTCTCGGCGATGTCTATGTCTTGCAACAGTTTGCTCCCTTCAACATTTTCTTGTATTCATGACTTTTGTTGTGCTCTCGGTAGCATTGGCTTACAACAACGATCACGGGAAGGTCGTATGGATGAGGCCCGGACGGCTTGAGCGATCTATCATAGATGATGATGTACAGTCGGAATGAATTGTGATTCTTGCTACCGGCGAAGAGACACAGAATACTAAGTCACCATGCCACGTATATATTGTCGCTTCCATCTCCTTGTGTGCTATTGAGATGAAGGTTTTCAGCGGAACACGACGACACTGAGGGTGGAGCCTGCCGAAGAAGCAGATATTGCGGGCCCCGTTTCTAGTTCGATGTTCCGAGGATGCTGTCGGACTGGACACGTGATACACCATCATTTGATTAGGCTTCGGAGTATGACCTATACTCTAATCGGTATTGGCATCCTGGAAGATAAGTGACCGAGCAGGAAGTGAGCATTTTGCTCAAGGATGTGGCACTACCCTACCTGCTCCATTCTCCAATCCCGAGCCCGTCCAGACCTTTATTAGGATGTTTCCAAATCTATTTCTATATTAAGATTGCTGCTGACCAAGTCTCTCATCCTTGATTGGTGGGTGAGCCATCACCAGATCCCATTCCATTCTCCCCAATTTTCTGGGAAATACGTCGCTTCCAGGCCAGGACAGCGGTGTAGAAGAGGGCTCAACACGTGCCTTAGCGGCCTCTTTGGCCCCACCAGTAATATCGTCGCCCACGACCCATTGAGTATCTGCCATGAAGAAGGATTTTCCGACTCAGGTCTCACGCGAGCTTAATTTTCACCAATTTGTCGAGTGCTTTCCCATCATCCAAGGCCCAGGCTGGGTCCTTACCCAGTTTCCACACCCGATTATTTCCTCGAACGTGAAGATAGTGAAAACCCTCGCTGGTGAATGCCCTTCTGGTGCCCATGAAACCTCTCCACATCCAGTACCCTGCCTGTCTGAAGGGGAGCGTGAGAAGGTTAGTCTTTGCGAACGCACGTAGTCGCTCTTCCCGCAGAGTAATTTCAGCAATGGTTGCCTCCAACTTCTGCTCCGCGTCGTCATTGAACATGTGTGAGGATATCGTCACGTCGCCCGGAGGCACTGTGACAAGCTTTCGTCGCCTGAATGGTAATATCGGAGTTCGTTCTATTTGCAGCAACAAAGACCTAGACCCTGGTCCTGACTTTGATGAAGAGGGAAGAGTGCTAATCGTCCTGACCATGTTTTGTGGCTAACGTCTAGGTCAATCTTACAGCAGAAACGCCCTCGATTGCAACCCTTCTCACCTTGAAAAGCATCCAGAACCCTCCACAGGCGATCATAAAGCTACCAACACTTGTGAAGACGGGCACCCACTGTGGCACACCTCCTGGCTGAACGTAGAATTGAGTCCGGAAATTGAACCATGCAGCGGCCAGAAGACCGCCTCCAATCGCATAACACCCGAAAAGATAGTGACCGTAGGATGAAGCCTGATATAGTAGAGTTGGAGAGGTCCGAAGGGCCAACTTTTTGTTGAGAGGTTCGTAAGCAGCAGGCTTTCGAGATCCAGAGATTGGAGTCTGGCTAGGTTTTGGGGTTGCTCTTTTAGGCGATTGTGGGATCCCAGCTCTCCTTTGAGCTAAGCTTTGAGCGCTGTTAGAGATTCGACATCTTCGACAAGAAGCGAGCAGCTGGTTACGCCTTCCAAGGCCCCATGTAAACGATTGAGCGAACGAACCAGTCTTGAAGCTTGCCTGCAAACTCATTGAGTCGACGGCGCCTTCAAGCTCGAAGCAACGCCAAACTCTAAGCCTGCTTCAAAGCTCTGGTCAGGAGCACATGCATGTTGTCAGGAAGTAGCTGTTCAATTTCGCGTCGATGATCTTCAGTGTCAAGTGTGCAGAAAGACTCGGCGTCGGCGATATATTTATTTCTAGCTCCGGCCGCTGCCCAACTCAAGCTTTCTCCATTTGTCCAGTTTCAGCTTCATCTTCACGGCCATTCCGGATTTTTAATTACGTGCGAGGTACAGCTACTTCATGTGCATAGAAACCTTCTACTCTTCGATAGCTCCCGGACATTCATGGCGTCGTTATGCACAGTAAGCAGAGAAGTCGCTCGAAGCTCGAGCCGACCATTACGCACTCATGCTTGCTACAGAGGTCTGTCGTGGAATTTCAAAGCGCATTGGCTTCACCTAGTAATAATGACGCCCCTGCTGATTCTTTTGGTAGGTTTTCGAAGCTGCTCGAGGATACTGGCTGCCCAAAATTTTACAATGCCAGCAATGTCACCCACAATGACCGAGGGAAACATTGCATGCTGGAAGGTTAAAGAGGGTAAGCAGTCTGTGGTGGGTCATTAATCGACTCTATGAATTTTGCTAATGTCTGATCTTACAGGAGACTCTTTCTCAACTGGTGATGTCCTCCTGGAAATTGAGACCGATAAAGCCCAAATGGACGTGGAAGCACAAGATGATGGTAGAATGGCGAAAATAACAGTACTTGACCCTGCTGCCGAGTCATGACTGTAGTGACATACTGACACTAATTGTGTGACAGCAAGAAGCTGGATCAAAGGGCGTAAAGGTTGGCACTCGGATAGCTGTGTTAGCAGATATCGACGACGACCTGAGCACATTGACTCTTCCGGCCGCAGAGTCCGCCCCAACGCCCTCGGAACAAGAAGATAAAGCTAGCATTAATGCATCAAAGTCATCAGAATCTCACGCTAGTGCATCACCTTCCTCAGGAGCTGAAGATTCTTCTACAAAACCCTCGAACCCCCCTGCGCCCTCTACCTCCCCAGGCAGACCTCAAAAACAACTTTATCCGCTGTACCCATCGATCGCTCAGTTACTCCATGAGAATGGTCTATCCAGCTCTGAGGCAGATAAAATCCCCGCTAGCGGACCCAAAGGCCGATTGCTAAAGGGAGACGTTCTAGGATATCTGGGCAGAATATCCTCAACTTACTCCTCCGAACAATCCACGCGGATCACCAAACTTGGGCATCTAGATCTCAGTAACGTCAAGCCCGCTCCGTCCAAAGCAATGGCACTATCTCAACCAAGCAAAGCCCAAGCACAAAAAGGACCGGGCCCCGAACTCGAACCGACTGACACGGAAGTTGCCATTCCCATTTCTTTATCATCGGTGATATCTGTCCAACAACGCATCCAAGCGACTCTAGGTGTTACCCTTCCCCTCTCAACATTCATCGCGCGCGCTACAGAGCTTGCCAATGACGACCTACCACGCTCTGCGGCTACGAAACCAACAGCTGACGAGCTTTTCAATGATGTCCTCGGGCTGAACAATGTCAGCACAAAGACCTCGAAAGCCAGGTACGCCCCGCAGATCACTGCGTTGCCGACGAAGCCCTTTACGGAGAGAGCTGGTCCGCGAAGGCAACAAGACATATATGACATGTTGACTGGCAGGTCATCTACAACAGCTTTGACCAAAAAGTTCGGAATACAACCGCCAGGTATGATGGCTGGTTCGAAGACAGGAGAGTCGACAAATGTCTTTAGCGTCAGTGCAGCGAAGGGAGAGGAGAAACGAGCGAGGGTGTTTTTAGAAAGGGTAAAGACGATCTTACAAGTCGAGCCTGGGAGATTAGTTCTCTAATCAGAATAAGCGGACAGATAGTCCATTCCAAACCCCAGCTACTGTGCTCTGTGTAGACACATGTATAGCTTTTGCGTGTCCGCTATGTAGATGATGAGCTCATATTAGCCAAACGCCTTGCAATCGGTACTCTCCCTTGGATAAAGCTCATGACGCTCGTCGGTCCCTTCATAATCCTCAAGTTGCCAGCAAACCCCTGCTAGATGAACGCTTATGTATTGATGCCTTACCCATTGATTTCGGTTTTCCTCATCTGATTACACCCCACCTTTCCATTCTCGCCCCTGCTCCTTCGCTCCCAACTCCATCCCGCTCCCTCTTCCCGAAACATTTCCAAAACCGCAAGGTCTCGTCCCCAGCACCAGTCACAACAGTCTGTCCGTCAGGGCTCATCGCCAAGTACAGTACACGATAAGTATGTCCCGTTAGGCTCGCTACCTGGGTCATGCTTGGGTACTTCCAGACAACTATCTGGTTCTGGCTGTAACCGTGCGTGGATACAAGCTCATTGCTGTTCTTCGACCAGGCGAGGTTGCAGACCTGGGACCCTGTGTCAAGCTCTTGTATACAGGTTCCAGTAGACGTATTCCAGAATTTGATACGACGATCTGCTGTACCACCACCTGAGGCAAGAAGGTTATGTTGGTGAGGTGACCAAGCTATGGCCTTCACTGCTGCGGTATGTTCACTGAACTTCCACAGAGGAGTTTCGGATAATTTATCCCATACCATCAACTTGTTGTCATTACCGCCGGAAGCCAATTGGCCGTCCTCGGTGTTCCAGCGTAAGCCGCAGACTTCCTGCTTATGGCCTACTAGTTTTCGCAGATATTGATCTGGCTGTCTGACGTCACGGTGGAAAATAAGGCGGTCTCGGGAGCCTGAAGTCAAGATGTGGTCATTCCAAGCTAGGGCGCCCACACGAGCTGTATGCCCTGTCATGGTACGCAGACGTCGCTGCTTTTCCGCATCCCATATCTGCACTAGCCCTTTGTTTGTGCCGATCGAGACATGTGTGCCACGTTGAATCCAAGACACGGAAGTGACGATGTCGTCTTGGAGTTCGCAAAGTTTGGTGACCCGACCTGAGGTGGAATTCCACATGTAGACGCAGGAGCCCAACCCTACGCCGAGAATGTTGCTACCGCCCCAATCCACAAGATTCAAATAAAAATCGTCCGCAAGATCTGGCGCATCGAGTACTTTGAACGGAACCTTGCTGACTGCTCGGGGTGCTTTTCGCGGGCTAAGAAGAAGCCTTTGACTATCGAAGCGGACCGGAGATAAACTGTAAAGATCCGAACGTGCGTTGAGATTAGGCCCGTGCCGACTCTGTGGCGTCCTTGATGGTGTTGGGTGCCCGGATATATTTGTATGATGGCGAGGGGACATGTACGTGAAGAGGTTTTTGTGGGGTGTCGAAGGTGTAAGGCTGGTGGGGAGTGATGAGGATGAAAAATTTGTTGGCGGCGTCCTTGATCTGGACGGATCGTTGATAGTGGTTGAGTGGGTGGAAGTTAGGTCAGGTGACAGACTAGGAGGTGTTGGTTGCGGAATTGTATTATCAAACAGTTCGGATCGAAGAAGAGTGGAGAAGGTTCGATTTGCTTCCTCAGCTGCAGAAAGTCAGTCTACGATTCCATATATGCAAGGTGTGGCAGAATGCTACTCACTTTTCTGGAAATGGAGCTCTCCGTGAGGAGTCCTTTTCTTGGCTTTCGATGGTGTCGCAGGCGATGCATCGTCATGTAGTAGGCTGAAGCTGGCCTGGAGATCTTGACCCTCTCGGTTCGGGATAAATCTAAGTGCGAACTTGCGTTAATTCCCATTCTGATTCGAGCTGTAGCACAATTGGCTTGGGCTATTCCTCTTCCGATCACGCCAACGTCAAGATGACCAAAGAGGCCACCATATTTCGATCCAATCCCCGAGAATCCTGTAAAATCACAACGACTGAGACTTCTACTGACCTGTCACCATATATTCTTTGTCTTTTCCTACTCGGACTGGCGCCTGGTGTTTTCTCTCTTACTCGTCCGGCGTCCTCCATATCCTTCAGTGCTTTGCTCAGGGCAGTGGAGTCCACAGGTTCTGATCCTGCTCTTTCAGCTCCGTTCGTAATGTGACCGTTGGTAGGATTGCGCTTGACAGCCGCAGAGGGTGTTTTGGTATCCGATGGAACCAAGGTTGGGATGTGTGACTTTTCCATAGTGATGATGAAAGAATGATGTAGGAAGGGATTCTAGGCTATTGCACGAACAATATGTGGCGTTCCGGAACGATAGCTTGTGTTGAGGGGTCGTTTGTGAGTGTAGAATTCTGAACGTGTAGCAAAATATCAGCCCCTATGCCCGCCAAAGGTCGTCCTCGAGGCGGACTGCGAATTTCCCCTATTGCGATTGACCCTTCCGTATCAAGCTGGCAGCGGGCGTTTTCACACTTTTGAGGTCGTCCAAAGGTATGCAGCGAGTGCTCGTCGAAGAGATTGATGATAGTGTCGATGTTGTTCGTCGAAGCTACCAATCAGAAGCTAAAGGATGTTCCGCTTCTTCAGTCTTAGCGCACTCAATGCTTGGCAAATGAAGAAGCTGCAACTGGCAGATAATCGTCCACGAAGAAGGGGTTGAGAAAACCATGTGTATGCCCGTCCTTCAAGCCAAGTGTGTTAGACTTACCAAAGTGTTAAGATCGCAATCATCGTCAGCAAGCCTACGATGTGTCAAAGCACGCGCATTTCTTGACCAAGTGAAAACAATCTTGATGCGGTTTAGTCACGATCGCCCTTTAGCGCTGCGTCTGAAGCTTACCTTTGAGCCTCTCAATGGTTGGTGCAGAGTGTTGGGCAGTCCATAGTCATATAACGCGCATCCATACATTGTTTACCTTCTCCCACTGCAACAACGCACCTCCGCCCAGAGCGATTGGTTCCATATATATTTTCCATCTCCCGCTGCTACAGCGCCCCCAGCTTTAGAATGGACGCCTCTGCGAGCGCAGATCCAGGCCACGAGCTTCTCTCGTTCATCAATGCTTCACCCACTCGTGAGGACACACCCTCATGACACCCATGGAAACCTTTGACACTTTCTAGCTTTTCACGCCGTCAGTTTACTCAAACAAAAACTCGACAAAGCAGGATTCAACTGTTTACAAGTAGATACACTGAAACGTCAAGCCTATGGCCAGTCTGCTTACGTCCTTCCTAGGAGAAAGAGCCGTGGTCCAGAACGTGTAAAGCGGGTGGGAAATACTACCTCACACGCAATGCTTCAACCATTCTAGCATTCGCGATAGGGAGAAAATGGAAGGTCAATTTCTATCGCATTTCTTTCCATGCAGGCCTGCAGTAGACTGGCTGCTGACCTACCGTCACTTATCAGCCCGGAAACCCCGTTGCTATGATTGGCGCACATACTGATTCGCCGACGCTTCGAGTGAAGCCTATCAGCAAGAAGCAGGGCGACGGCTTTATTCAAGTCGGTGTTGAGACTTATGGTGGAGGCTTATGGCACACATGTACAATTTCCTGTTTCTCTCTGAGTTTTGACATAAGGGTTGTAGCTCATGCCATCCACAGGGTTCGATCGAGATCTTAGCATGGCTGGCCGAGCGATGGTCAAAGACAGGAACGGACGCTTTGTACAAAAACTAGTCAAAGTTCAACGGCCAAGTACGACCTTTCACTATCATGCTTTATCCATATTCAAGACTAAATATTAATCTAGTCCTAAGGATACCTACCCTTGCCATTCATCTAGATCGTCAGGAGACGTTTGCTTTCAACAACGAAACTCAATTGTTTCCCATTGCCGGGCTTATCGCAGCAGAGTTGAACCGTCATGGCGAGGGTGACGATACCGCAAAGGCTGAAACACCGAGAGAGGGTGGCAGCTCCACTCGTTTCAGTCCACTGAAAGCGCCAGACGAGAGGCATCATCCCCATGTCGTTGAAATGATAGCCAACGAGGTCAAGGTTGCTCCCTCCGAGATTGTTGACTTCGAGATGGTTCTGTACGATACCCAAAAGTCATGTGTTGGAGGCCTCAACGAGGAACTCCTGTTTTCTCCCCGGCTCGATAATCTCGAAATGTCCTTTTGCAGCACTGTGGGTCTTATCAATTCGGTTAATTCATCGTCTTCTTTGGACGACGAGGAATCAATACGGCTAATATCACTTTTTGACCACGAGGAGATTGGAAGTAAAACCGCTCAAGGCGCTGATTCGAACTTTCTTTCAGCCGTCATAAGGCGCCTCTCTGTCCTTCCTGGGTTTGGAGGCAACGCAGAACCCGACCCAGATGCCTACGAGCAAAGTTTGTCAAAATCGTTTCTCATCTCCGCAGACATGGCTCATTCCGTGAATCCAAATTACGCCGCGAAGTACGAGACAGACCACAAGCCAGAGATGAATAAAGGCACTGTGATAAAGATCAATGCTAATGCACGCTATGCTACTAATTCACCCGGCATTGTGCTCGTTGAAGAAACTGCTCGCAGAGCGAGGGTTCCATTGCAACTATTCGTTGTTCGCAATGATTCAAGCTGTGGAAGCACGATTGGGCCAATGCTGTCAGCCGCGTTGGGCACGAGAACATTAGATCTAGGGAACGCACAATTAAGTATGCATAGCATAAGAGAGACTGGGGGTATCTACGATGTCGACTATGCCATCAAGCTGTTTGAAAGCTTCTTCGTGCATTACAATGAGCTAGGAAGAAGCTTGACCATCGATTAGAATCCGCAAAGGGGTAACACAAGGAGAGTGGTATCAGGTCATTACATATATCAAGCTCCAAGGCCAACGCCATTCCAGGCACATAAAGCACCTCTGAGATGCTTCCATATACTCGTTTCCACCCCCATTTGCACGTTACCCCCATTTGCACGCTCTTAAACCCGATAAATCGGATATAGATAGCCACCACTACTATAGTTACTACTACTACTTAGTTAAATAGATTACTATTATATTCTATTATAATAGATATTATAATATAATTATTATTATCTATAAATTTAATATAATAGAAAATTCTACTTTAAACTTTTTTTTTTAAATAATATATATTATTAATTTATATTATTATATAAATTAAGTTTATAAATAGATAAAATAATAGCTATTAAGATTTAAAAATAATATAAACTTTATTTATATAAATAATATTAAGTTATATTAAATTTAATTAAAACTTTTAATATTAAAAGCTATTTAAAGTTAAAATATTATTATTATAAATTTAATATAATTTAATATAATTTAAATATATATAATATAATAAGTAAAAACCTATAAATTAAATTCATAAAGTTAAATTTTTCTTTTTTCTAAGTTAAATAAAGTTGAATTTTTCTAAGTTAAATAAAATTTTAGCTATACGTTTTTAATCTATATATAGATATATATATACGAAGAGAGGCGCGCTAAGGCCTAATTAGGAAGGTATATTAAGTATAAAGAATTAATTCGTAATAATTATCTATAAAAAATAGAGAAAGACTATATATATTCTTATAGTAAGAAGTATTAAAATATTAGAAAGAAATAAAGATAATATATTAATTAGTAGTATAAATCTTATATTATCTTCTATCGTAGTAAAATCTTTTAAATAATAAAATAGCTATTAAAGTAAGATATCGAATAATTTTAATTCGTTTAAATATATATTATTCGATATTTCTTCTATAGAGATCTAATTAACTATAATCGTCGTAATAAATTCTTCTCTTATAACGTTATTATAGTAATATATTACGAGTAAAGATCTATAAATTAAATTCATAATCATTTTTTTTTAAATCGAGGCTATCGAGTAAATTTTGATAAGCGATCTTTAATGAGCGATATCTAAATTCCTTATCTTTATATATCTATAAGACTAAATTTATTTATTCTTTCTTCATCTAAAAGCTTACATTATACTCTATAGTTTAAATAAAATATTAATAAAATAAATTTAAAGAAACGCGCTAATAGAGGCTTTAATAAGAAATTAAGTTAAGCTATTATATTTCTAAATAAATCTATTAAATAGATAAATCGATTTTAAAGAGTCTAAAAGAGATAGCGAAACGGTTTTAATAAATAGTAGTTAAGGGATAAAGAAGATATTAGATTATTTATATAACTAGCGAATCGAAAGAAATAGCTAATATTATCTTATATTTTTATATTTAAAATATATATTAATAGTATTACTTATAACTTTATATATTATAATATCTAGAGTTTTAATAAGATCTTAATTAGATAAGAAACGATTAAGTTATAATTAATTTAAGATATTATTCTTTAAAATTTTCTTATATATAACTTCTCTATAAGATAAGAGACTTTTTAAGCGAAGTAAGTATACTTAAAAAACTACTATTTAAAGTATTTATAGTCTTCTTAACGTCTTAAATAATTAAGAAATAAGTATATTAAACCCTTATAAAGAAATAATCTTATCTTAGACTTTATAATAAAAAAAATTTATTCTTAATATCGAATAATTTTAATACGTTTTAAAAAGATTTTATTATTCTCTAGTATATCTAATATTTCTAATATCTATTCTTTCGAAGTATTTAAACTCCTCTTTACTTTATTTTAAATCTTTCTTTCTTCTTTCTTATAATAAAGTTTAATATTAAAAGAATAAATTAAATTAAGATCTTATTAGAGTAAATTAAATTTTAATAAATATTAATTCTATTAGATAATATCTCTAATAAGATAGACTTAATAGATATATTTTAAAATATTATTAATAGTCTATAATTATAATATTAGATTAAGTATTAATTTAATAAATTTATAATTATATTAAATAAAATTCGTTAGAAGCGAGATAATTTTCGAAAGATTATTACTCGATATTATATCGTTATAATAAAAAAGAATCTAGTTATAAATAATATCTATTAGATTTATAGAATAATTAAGAAGATAAATTAACTAGTTTAAGACTTTTAGAAAGATATAACTTTTTTATAGCGAAAAGTTAATAATCTTAAAATATAATTAATAAAAGACTTATAACTATTATTAATTAAGAAAGAATATATATCTAGATATTTAAAAGAGAAATTAATTAAGATCTTAAATCTATCTCTATTTATCGATGATATTAACTCTATCTAAAATAATTAATTCTTTAAAATAAAATAGAAATTTAAGATTAATAGCGATTATTATCTTATTAAAAACTTTAAGATAATCTATATAATCTTATAACTCGATAATAAGACTATATAATATATAATATATAGAAGACTTTAAAACTTTATTAATTTATATTAATCTTTTATTAAGATTATAAATAAGTTAATTAATATTTATAAGAACTTAAATCGATATAATAATATATTATATAATATATATACTCTATAATAAAAAACTCGAATTTTTATTAACTTCTATTTAGACTTTATTTAATTAGATATTATTCTTAATATTAATAAAACTCTTATATTAGAGAATTATCTTTTTAAGAAATTAAGAAAGAAATTAAGGGAGTTATAGTAGATTATAAAAGATTTTACTATCTTAAAGACTATAAAAGAATATCTTTAAAAGTTAAATAACTTATAACGTATTAATTATAAGAATTTTAAGTTTATAAAGACTATTATTAAGTTAATTATAATATAAATATCGACGATAATATTCGCGATTAATATATATCTTATATCTATTATCGAGTCTAATTTAAGTATAATTACTACGCCTTTAAATATTATAATTAATTTAAAATTAAGAAAATTAATATACTATAACTATAATAAGAAAGATTACTATTAAAAGAACTATATAATAACTATCTAAATCGAGATTAATAAAAAGACTTTTAAGAAAGTATAACTTTACGCGATAGAAATAAATAAAGAATTTAAAATTAATAACGTCGATATTACGAATAGCGATAATTTTTCTTTAAATTTAGAAAACGAATAACCTCTTTTAAAGTTATGATAAGAGATACTTATAAAGTATATCTAATAGATACTCTTAATAACGCTTTAATACGTCGTTCTTTTTATATATAAATTACGCTATCTTTATAAGAGAGAGAGTATTTATTTTAAAACTCTCTTATAGATAATAAATATATCGATACTTATATAGTTATAAATAAGTTCTTAATTCTAGCGATATATAAGGCCTTATATCTAAAATTACTTTTACTATTATAATTTAAATTATTAAGAGATTATAATAACTAGATTATAAAATAATTAATTATATATTACTTACTTCTTAAATAATAATAAAAAAAGATTATTAAGAAGAAATATATTTAATATTAATTATATTATTAAAATATAATATAATAGTCGAGAAATCTTAAATAAATAAATATAAGATAGTTCTTAATATATTATAAGATAAGATACTCTTTCTATTTAATCGATATAATTATAATAATAATTAGATATTAATAATAAACGAACTTTTCTTTCTATTAACTTCGAAGCTTCGATTATTTATATTACTTATCTTCTTATCTATTATACTAAAATAATAAAGCTCTCTCTTATCTATCTATAATAATAAGATTAATTTAAATATCTTTTTATTAAATAAGAATAAGAATAATAAGAAGTCTAAGTTTATTAATATCGCTAAGATTAATATAGCGATCTATTATTAACTAGCTCGTAAAAAAGATAATAAATTATTTATATTAATAATAAATAAGATCTATAATAACTCGTTAATATTATATATATCTCTTATTATTTAAATATCTCGCGATTCTTATATATTAATTAATAAACTCTATCTCTATAACTTAGAAAAGAAATATAAAAGATATTACGATTTTAATTATCTTATTTAGATTAATAGTATTAATAAGATTAATTCTAAAAAGATAAAATATAAGCTATCTATAAAGTATTATAATTATCTTAATATTTTCGATAGAATTAAGACGAATATACTTTCTTTATATTATTCTTATAATTATAAATTAAAATTTAACGATAGCTTTAATAAAATAAAATTTTCGAAAAGTAGAATCTATTTAATATTAGAATATAAATTAAAATAGATAAAGAAGTATCTAAATAAATATTTAAAGAAGGGATTTATAATATTAAGCTATATATTATTCGCCTTATCTATTCTATTCGCGAAAAAGTCGAATAAAGAATTACGTTTTTATATAAACTATCGAAAGCTAAACGCTATTACTAAAAGAAATTAATATCTAATTTTATTAATAGATAAGATTTTAATAAGAATCTAGAGATATAAATATCTTACTTGATTAAATATTATAGCCGCGTTTAATAAACTACGTATATATTTCGATAGCGAGAATTTTACTACTTTTATTATCTTTCTTAAAGTATATAAATATTAAATTCTCTTCTTCGATCTAATTAACGAATTAATTATATATTAATAATATATAAATAATATTCTATTTAAATATCTAAATGATTTCTATTAGATCTATCTCGATAATATACTTATTTATAATAAGATAAAAAAGAAATATATTTAATATATTAGATAAATTCTTTAGAAATTAAGAGATATCGACCTTTAGATAAATATTCTTAAATACGAATTTTATATTTAGAAAATTAAATTTCTAGATTTATTAATATCTATAGACGAGTTATAAATAAACTTTATTAAAATCTAGACTATTATTAAGTAAATTATATCTATTAACCTTAAAGAGATATAGACCTTTATCGAATTTTATAATTTTTATTAATAATTTATTAGAGACT